ATAAACTGATATTGTACATTACAAATTAATCATAGATTATCACAAGAATGAATAATTCTATTGCTTATTGTGTCATCATCTTTTCGTTAATGAATATCATAATGACATGCATTGTTGTAATTACTAAAAAGTATTCATTTATCATCTATTTCTAGATTCAAACTCACTAAAAATTTAGCTTATTATTATTTCTTTATTTATTCAGTGTTTTTCATTTTCATTACAACATTAACAGTTGCATTAAGTTCCATAGTCAGCTATTTATCAGAACAATGATATTAATCATTATAAATTTATATACAAAAATATTTTTACTTCTATAAGATTTATGGGATTTTGTATTTGACCATATATCTCTAATAACAAACAGAAACCTAGATATAATTATTTAAATGTTTCTTTAATTTTCTTTAATATTCTTAATTTGGCAGTTATATAGAATAAATATCCAGTTTATTAATTTGTTTTTTTTATTGCGTAATAAAAAGATGATGCTACGAAATCAATAAAAATTATTACTTCTAATCTCTTATACCTCATTATTATTATCATCGTTAATATATATTAAATCAATCTTTATAGGTATATAATAATATTATTTCAATAAAATTTAAAAATGAAAGCGTCCTATGACATTGTTAACTCAGATTCCTTAATATAATTAATAAATTCCTCTTATGAACTTGATCAGATGACAAACAAATGGATGTTTGGAGAGTAAGATCAATAGTAAGTTTCTCCTCCTCTAAATGATTAAATAAGGAAATGTAGACCTTTTGAAAAACATAACTAATCAATAATTAAGAATAATCAGGAGTTATTTAATGTAAACTATTCAAAAAGTGTTTATGTAAATAAAATAAACTCTCTAATTGAAATAGCTCCCACTAATTAAGAATCTTCAATATCATTAAGAAAAGAGTAATATCGAATTATATACAATATAGATAAAAGAATTATCTTAAAACAAAGAAATCATTAGATAAAGATAATGGATATTCCCATGAAGAATAAGACTATGATGATAGCAATAAAATAAAACTGGCAAAAAATAGACAATCAGCAAGAGATTCAAGAAAGCGTAAGAAAATATATGTCGAGCTTCTTGAGTTAAAAGTATCTGAACTTAATAAATAAATTGAAGTTCTCCAAAAAAATGTTGAATAACAGAATATTTTTATTAATCATTGTGTCAAGATACCCTCACTTGTATTAAAATTTCTTAGTAAAATTAGATATCTGATTTTAATTTGAATTATTAAAATTAATTCTAAATATTAAGTTAGAATATCACAAAAAAACAATTGCAAATTTTAGATGAGGAATTTGGAGTGAATTCAGAAAAAAGAGATTGTTTGTGTAATATCATTTTTAATACTCTTGTTGATCATATATTGCCATATGATTTAAAGAAAACAATTGAAACAGCTATAAATAGTAATTCATATCTTAAATAAATAGATCTTGGTATATTCAAAGTAGGTGAACAATAAGAAATTAAATAATTGATTGAATTTTAACAATAATTCACCTAATAATATAAGAAATTTGAATTGTAATGATTTTAAATAACTTAATTAATAGAGTTGCTTTTGATATGGCAAAGTCATATGAATATATAAAAAGAGAAGCAGAAGGACTTGAAAAACTAAAAACTTAGTTGATTTAACTTTTGGGTCCTTAAAAATATGTTAAAAATGTTCTTGATTTACAATAACTTCAGCAATAGATTATAGTCAAAGAAGAAGATTTAAATTAGAAAGGTCATACAAAATATGAATTATGAGCTCGATTAAATTTATATAATTATATTTTTATTTAATGGGTAATTGCAATAATACTCGTGATCTAAATGTCGATGAAATAAAATGTAAATTTACTTTTTGACTTAAGTGCCAAATAAATGCGATTATAATTTTTTGTATGTTATTGGAAGAGGTGGATTTGGAAGAGTCTGGAGAGCAGAACATAAAAAAACTAAACATTAATATGCTATAAAAGAGATGTAGAAATGCAAGTATATATTTCTTAAAGTATTTAATAGAATTATTAATAAAAAAAGTATTGGTTCTGTAATGAATGAGAGATACTTATTAAGTAATCTGAGACATCCGTAATGAAATTTGTATAACTAGATTTTTAGTAAATATGCACACAGCATTTTAAGATCGAGAAAGTCTATACTTAGTTATGGATTTAATGACAGGAGGAGACCTTAGATTTCATATATGTAAAAATAGGAAGTTTAGTGAAGAATAGACAAGTAAAATAAACCATTTTATACTATAAGAATTTTTTGTTATATGTGTTCTTTTAGCTTTAGAGTATCTGCATCATAATACTGTTATACATAGAGATATTAAACCAGAAAATTTAGTATTTGATAAAAATGGTAAATTTTTGTAAATAACCAGAGTAGGATATTTAAGATTAACAGATTTAGGCATTGCGAGGATATGGAAACCAGGAAATGATGGAGATACAAGTGGAACACCTGGTTATATGGCTCCTGAAGTTATGTGTAGATAAGTTCATGGAGTAGCATCAGATTATTTTGCTGTTGGAGTTATAGCTTATGAATGTATGATGGGAAAAGTAAATTATCAACTTAAAAGTAGAGACCATATTTAGGTAAAACTAGAAAAGAAATTAGAGATTAAATATTATCTAAATAAATTACTATTAAACCTAACTCAATTCCAGAAGATTGGTCTGAAGAGGCTGCAGATTTTATTAATTAAATGATTTAAAGAAAACCAGTCAATAGATTAGGATTTTATGGACCTGATGAAGTATTTGCCCATCCTTGGTTTAAAAATGTTGATTGGGATGCTTATTTAACATAATCAAAATAAGCTCCTTATAAAATTAATGTATAATAAGTAGAATTTATATTTAGTCAAGTTCAGATAATTTTGACCAAAAGTTTGCCAATATTAAAGATCCTGAAGATGAAGCTTAAACTAAATTAAATGCTGAACTTTTAAGAAGAGATTCCATTTAAGAAGCATTTAATGGATACACTTATAAATCCTAAAATTCGTAATAAACAATTTAAGATTAAACTAATTCAAAACCAACAACTTCAATGAGTTAATAAATTACTCCTACTAAAAAGAAATTACTTGATTCTGAACCCTAAAGTGAGCTAAGATCTTAAAAGAAATATCATTTAGTTTAAACTCCAAGATTTAATAAAAAATTAAACTTTACTGCTGATTAACCCCTTTCAGAAAAAGGGCAAACTAAAAAAAATTTTGATTTTTGATTAATTTATATTAATTTTTATATGATTTTATTATGAAATAGCCAAATAATGATCTGTAACATGAAAATATTGTTCATTCCAAAGCTTTATCGTTTAATTTATGCAAAAAATCATAAGCTACTTAAATTTTATTGTTGCAAATTTCTTTTGTAAATTAATTGAGCATTTACTTAAGCATTTTTCTTAATCTTCAGTCAATCTTTTTTCTGCTATTTTGATGCATTTCTTGAAACAAATTTGATCCTATTTAAATACTTTGGTCAATAATTAAATCTGTGCTTCTTTTTATATAATCTATTCACGTGATTCCATAAATAAAAAAATTAATTTAATAATTTTAATCAAATATAATGATTAACATAAGAATCATTTTAGAAAAATATACTTTCAGTTTTACATTAAGATTACACATTTTAATTTCTTAATGCTTAAGATAATACATTCTCTTTAATTCTCTCAGTAATATTATACTCAGTTGTAATTTATCTTCTATTTTTCAATTCTTTTCTTTATCTTAAAGCTTAACTTGATTTTGGCCTAATATTAAATGTTTTAGTAATAGATTCCATTCCTTTATTAATTTTATTTTGAATTGATAAGTAATTGTTTGGCATATCCACAAATTCTACTCTTTCATCCATTGTAGTTATTCTATTAGTTGAAATCTTATTAAAATTTGCTAAAGATTAAGTCCTTTCTAAAGCATTATCAATAAGCCAATTAAAAGAATGAAGATTAAAATTCATTTTACCTCCATATGGCTTATTCAATATATCTTCTAATTCTTTTTTTTTATCTTAAGCCCAAATAATAGGTTATCTTTTTCCTTTACTTGATTCAATAATCATCATTCCTAATAATTTATTTGCTACTTTCATTGTCAAAAACTTGCTTGTTCCCTCTTCTTTTTCTTCATTATTTACGACACTATCAGAAATATCTGCATGAAAAAAACTTATATAATTTAGATATGAGTACTCAAATTAAGTATTTCTTTTTTAATGTTTCATTGGAGAAATAGGCGAAGCCATCTCCTATTTTGAAGGAATAATATCACTTTGAGCATTTAATTTAGCAAATAATTCTTTTTGTAATTCAATCGGAAATTACATAACTTTTTTATCCTCAGAATTAGCAATTCGAAACGCTTCAAAAGTCTTTAATTTTGGATCTTAATTAGTAATTTTTAAATACTTTCTTCGTGTTGTCTATCCTTTATGAAAAGTCTTATCTTTTTTTCTAAGTAATAATGCAATTTTTTAAGGACTTCAATTTCTTTTATTTTATTAAGTTTCCCTCTTAATTCCAATCTCTCATTCATTTTTTTCTCTATATTTTTTTATTTAAGTTTTTCTGAAATGTATAAGAATTCTTTAACAGATCTTATTTCGTTTATGTGAGAATAATATTTCAATTATTACACTGACTATGTATTCATTACTTTATTGATATTCTCTTATTTTTTTAAATACTCTTCTTTAGGAATGAAAGCTTCAGTTTCCTTTAATCGTTTCAGATAAACCTATTCAACAGTTGTTCTATGAGGAACTTATAACTTAGTTGTAATTGTAGGAGGTTTCGAATGAATTAATTATTATTTTGCCATAAGAAATTAATATAATTTATAAAAGTCATTATAAAACTGTGAGTTTCATTTTGAGATAAATGAATATAATTGGACATCTAATTATTTGAGTTTTCAAAATAGAAACATAATATAACAAAACTCAAGCAATTAAATTGTTTCCAAAAATGAAATTAAAGATAAATAATATTTATATTAATAATAAGTATAAGTCAATCATATGAAAGACTTTTAGTTCATTATAGATCTCTTAGCTTCATGAAATTTAGTATAAAAGTCTCGATTATCATTTGTTTTAATAGATTTTTTCTAACTAGATCTTTCAATAAAACTGATTGAATTGTTGTTCTCCTTTTCTTCTCTTAAAGCTTAATTATTTCCTATAATAGAATCTCTAGTTTTATCTTCAATCGCTTTTTGATAGATATATTATTCTCTTTGAGTAGGATTGATTGATTCAATTCCCCTTAAAGAAACAAGTTATAATTTAAGTCCTCTCATATCATTGATCATTTATTGTATAGAACCAGAATCTAAACAAAATTTTCCTTAAATAGTAGGACTGATTTTTTCATATCTAACTTGTTCAACTAAATTTTAAATCTTCTTTTTTTCTTTAACAACAAAATTACAGGCCTCAACACATAATGAAACATTAGGACTATTAGTTCCAAAAAATGTAACAAGTTAATCATTATATTGATTAACTCTATCTGTTTATAATTTAATTTTAGCCATCAGACCTTCAATTTCTATAAGCTTATCAGCAACTAATTCATCAGCAGCCTATAACATCTCTTATTCTTTTAACTTTAAAGTTTTAAATATATCTTCAAAATTTGATGTAATCTACATTTTTGCTTATCCTACTAAGTCTACTAAATCTTATTTTTTATTCACTATTTTACATTATTCATGTAATAAATATTCACAACAACTTTACAAAGACACTTAGAGTTGATTTCCATTTTCTCTTATTAAATCAAAAGATTTTTAAATATTTCTTACTTCATGATTTTTATGTAATCCTTACAAATAGCATTCCATACAGAAACATTATGCTTCACATGTAAAACAATACAATACACAACTTTCTGTAAGATGTTATTAACAAGTGATATTACAAAGTTATTATTATGATTAATTATGATATTCTACTTATTATATTTGTTGAGATTATTTTGTTTCTAATATTTCACTTCTTTGGTCAAAATCATCAGAACAACAAGATGATTACGGATTCATTTCTAGTAATACTTGCACAGCAGAGGGATCCAGCTAGGTTTTTGAAGAACATATTTAACAAATTAATGGAGGGTACATACTATATTAACCCCATTTTTAAACAGCTTTTGCTGCACAATTCAAACATAAATTGNCATATAAATGACTTTTAGTTCATTATAGATCTCTTAGCTTCATGAAATTTAGTATAAAAGTCTCGATTATCATTTGTTTTAATAGATTTTTTCTAACTAGATCTTTCAATAAAACTGATTGAATTGTTGTTCTCCTTTTCTTCTCTTAAAGCTTAATTATTTCCTATAATAGAATCTCTAGTTTTATCTTCAATCGCTTTTTGATAGATATATTATTCTCTTTGAGTAGGATTGATTGATTCAATTCCCCTTAAAGAAACAAGTTATAATTTAAGTCCTCTCATATCATTGATCATTTATTGTATAGAACCAGAATCTAAACAAAATTTTCCTTAAATAGTAGGACTGATTTTTTCATATCTAACTTGTTCAACTAAATTTTAAATCTTCTTTTTTTCTTTAACAACAAAATTACAGGCCTCAACACATAATGAAACATTAGGACTATTAGTTCCAAAAAATGTAACAAGTTAATCATTATATTGATTAACTCTATCTGTTTATAATTTAATTTTAGCCATCAGACCTTCAATTTCTATAAGCTTATCAGCAACTAATTCATCAGCAGCCTATAACATCTCTTATTCTTTTAACTTTAAAGTTTTAAATATATCTTCAAAATTTGATGTAATCTACATTTTTGCTTATCCTACTAAGTCTACTAAATCTTATTTTTTATTCACTATTTTACATTATTCATGTAATAAATATTCACAACAACTTTACAAAGACACTTAGAGTTGATTTCCATTTTCTCTTATTAAATCAAAAGATTTTTAAATATTTCTTACTTCATGATTTTTATGTAATCCTTACAAATAGCATTCCATACAGAAACATTATGCTTCACATGTAAAACAATACAATACACAACTTTCTGTAAGATGTTATTAACAAGTGATATTACAAAGTTATTATTATGATTAATTATGATATTCTACTTATTATATTTGTTGAGATTATTTTGTTTCTAATATTTCACTTCTTTGGTCAAAATCATCAGAACAACAAGATGATTACGGATTCATTTCTAGTAATACTTGCACAGCAGAGGGATCCAGCTAGGTTTTTGAAGAACATATTTAACAAATTAATGGAGGGTACATACTATATTAACCCCATTTTTAAACAGCTTTTGCTGCACAATTCAAACATAAATTGTGATCACATTGAAGTGATAGAATTTAATCAACCTATGCTCCACATTTGCAACATTCCAATAATTCACTTTCAGTATCAGACATTTAGCAGTTAATATAAAATTACTGTTAATTTTATTAATTAATGAATTAATGTCTTATTAAGCTTTTAGAATTATTAAATTAATTTTATGAACTTACCTTTCAAAAAATCATTTAAATACTTTTTAGAGGAATAATTATTAGACATAATAATAAAATATCATCCATTTAAACTTTAAAACTTAAATTGATTGATTAATGATTAAAATACCTCTACATTTAATTAATGTTCTTCAACTCCTGTTTCTACTAAAGGTGAATGCATTTCTCGAAGTGCAGAATCTGAAAAGGAATTTTAAAAGTGTATATTACCAAAGTATTTTTTTATATTAAATAATTCTAGGTGACACAATTATAAAAAGGGTACTCGAAAAATATATTTTTGCTTAATTTTTGTAATGATAGATAATCCAAATAAAGTCATTTAAACAGAATATTTTATAGTATAATTGATAAAAGAAAAAGCTTTGATAAGAGTCCGTAAAAAATGAATTTTATTGTATCAATATATTATATATTGAGGAATTTTTCGTTGTTTCTAAAAATTGATAGATAATATATATCGCAAATAAATTAATAAAATAATGAGTATAGGATTGGAAAAGACGGATTAATAATATTCTCAATTAACAGATTAAGGAGAAGAATCTAGCATTCTAATAAGTACACAAGACCCTATAACTTTGTATAACAAAGTAAATATTTAATGATGAATATAGGTTATAAAAGTATATAACGTAGATGATAATAAAGTAAATGGTATAGCTTTGAATTACATGATACCAAGTAAAGTTGTTCAATTCATTCATAACTATCTAAGAAATTATTTAGGTATGTTTGTCTTTTTGTTAATCCTTCTATTGCTTCCCTTTATTAATCTCTTATTTTACATTATGCTTTTTACAGCTTGGGCTAGATTACGTTAAAATTAATCTATCTTCTAATAAAATTTAAGTATGCATTTAAAACAAAATTGATTAGGCAAGGTAATGGATCCTTTTGCAAATATGATTGAAAATTCAGAACTTTGTGAAATGATGAAAAAAAATTATGTTATTTTTGATATGGAAATTAAAGAAAATGAAGGTTTACACTTTTCTAATCAAGTCAAAGAAATGATTAAAAATAGATCTAATGGAAACAATAAAATTAAATATACAGTCTATCATTAAATATTAAAAGAATAATTTTTTGGATATCCTGATTCAAGAATAATATATTTGAAATGGATTTTAGTCTCCACTTTAATTATAGCAGTTTAAATAATATTAGTGATCATTTATTTTTCTAAAATTTGATAATTTATATTTCTTAATATAAATCAATTAGTAAATAAAAATAAATTCTGTAAATGAAAATTCATCTCTTAATCCCTTTGAATAAAGCTTTAAACCCATATAAATAGCATATAGAAATATTTTATAAAATATTTTATTTTAAATTGTAAGAAAATTTGATAAAAGAAATCATTTTTATGATGTTATAGCATATTTCAATTGTGAACTAATATATTTTCTTCACGTTAATTTTTCTCAACTAAGTTCAGTGTTTTGATAATAGCATCGCTCCAATTTTAAGTATACCAATCATATTATTCCTTTTCTCTTGGATTAAAGTAATCAAAGCATTCTTAATTGGATGAATCTTCACTTAATTATAGAAAACTTTTCCTTTATTTTTTTATTTATTCAACCCTTAAATCATTTATCATATTAACATCTTTATGATATATTTCAAACAAATATGAATTTTTTATTCCTACTTCATCATAAGCATAATCCATAGAACTTCCAAATGCTAAATATCCAACATTTTTACTAGACATACCTGTTTCACACATGGGACAATGATCTTCTTTAATTATGTTCAAGACTTTCATTAAGTCTTCATAATTTGAGGCTATGCATTACTTTTGATGATTTACGTTCTTCCATTGAATATGCATATGGTGTAAATAATCCCGCACTTCCTGAATGAATGGACAAGAACATATTTGGATTATAAGATTTCAAGAGATCCCTTACAGCTTTAGTTTCTGGTTCTGAAAACGGCTCAGGGCCTGAATTGGTTTACATTTCCATATCAGTTTATTTTTTGAAGTGAGCATCATAGTTTCGATTTAAATCTACTTAGTTTTCATTTAATCTTAAACAATATTCTCCATTTTCTACTCTCATTCTTGATAAAGGATTAAGATTTAAAACCATTTTAATTTAATACTTACTCACATCATACTTATTATTACAGATTGAATCCAATAAATGTAGACCTTTCTTTATTGATAATTTAAGTACCTGTTTCTGGACTAATTAATTCTCTTGCATGTTCTCCAAACATTAAAAATGCTTTAAATTTTGCATTTTCATTTATTGTAATTACATCAACTTTCGGGTCTTCTACTAAAGTTTCAATCTTAGCACAATTAGAATATTATTTCAAATTGATTGAATCAAATTAATGATAAAACTCAGGGAGAGCAAAACTTAAGTTTAATAATAATAAAATAAACATTTATATTTATATATGCTATTCAAAGTTTAGAATTTTATTTTAATATTGATATCTATTATGATTAGTTGAAAGAATTCTATATTTATTGTATCTAATTAGATCATGATTAGAGATGAGAAAGCTTATTTTAATCAAAGTTAATTGAAAAAGAAATAATATGAAAAATAAAAATTAATAACAAATCTTATTGGATAAAATTCAATAATTGTTCATAATATAGACATAGATTTATCAATTTATAGAATTTTTACTAGATCTTTTAAAATAATGACTATTTATAATTAATAAATTATTCTTATGAATTGGAAATTTTCGACATCATATTTTGACGACTTGAAACCTAAAGAAAAATTTTGGAAAAAGCAATTATATAGTATTGAAGATAAAAAGATAGAATTTTAATGTTTGCTTTTTAAAAAAAACTCTAAAACGGGATTTTGGATGAGTAAAAATTATGTGATATACGAATCACAACTAATTAAAATAAAAGTATGTGAAAGATGTTATAAAAGCCTCATTCATCTAAATGTCATATTGTTAATCTTAATTTATCAAGGATTGAATAGGTTAAATATTAGAATAAGCTTGAAAAAGAAATAATTAATAAAGTATGCATTTTTATGAATTGAATAGAAAAAATATGGGTTCAGATTAATAAGAAATACTGAATTTAGAGAATTTTATAGTAGATCTAAAGAACAAAATTCCTTATTATGGGACAAATTAAAAAAAGAAGCATTTCTTTCTTAATTTACAGAGTCCTATACATTAAAGAAAATGATAGGAAGAGGGAATTTTGCAAAAGTTTATTAAAGTGTGAGCAAGTAAAATTAAAAATTGTATGCTGTTAAAATTTTTGAAAAAGATAAAATGAAGAACTCTGAAATTGATAAAAAAGCACTTTTAAAAGAAATAAACATAATGCGTAAATTAAATCATCAAGGAGTGATAAAATTGCATGAGGTTTTTGAAGATGAAACAAATATATATTTTGTATTAGATTATTTAGAAGGTGGGGAATTGTATAATCATATATAAAATAATTATAAATTTCCAGAGAAATTAGTAGCAAAAGTAATAGCAACCATTTTGAATAGTTTGGATTATTTATAATAACAAAATATCTTACATAGAGATCTTAAACCAGAAAATATGATATTGAGAAATAAAGGAATTTTGGATGATATTGTAATTACAGATTTTGGTTTGGCTGATTATTATTCAAATTAAGGCAATTATCTATTTTCTAGATGCGGAACTCCTGGTTATGTAGCACCTGAAGTATTGCATGATGAATTATATGACTTTAAAATTGATGTGTTTAGTGTAGGATGCTTAATGTACATATTATTGGCAGGTAAATCACCATTTAAAGGATAGAAGTATGATGATATTGTAATGAAAAATTATCATTGTTAAGTTGACTATAAGAATATAGAAAATCAGATATCAAGTGAAGGATTAGCCTTATTAAAATAACTCTTACATCCAAACCCAAAAATTAGACCTGTATCTAGAATTGCTTTGAAGAATGTTTGGTTTTAGATAAATCTTGAATAGAGTCGATATTATTAATTAAATTGTCATTAATCAGATATAAAAAAATTACCAATTAAATCTAGTTTATCAAATATAACGTAATTAGGTTTTAATTCCAATTTAAAATCTAATTCTGATGCAAGAACATTTTAAAATAATAAACAATCAATAGAGGACAAAGATAATCTTATTAAATCAGCAGAAATAAGAAATTAACCTACTGCTTAATATGATGATATAAATTCACTAAAAGGATTGAATAATAGTGAAAATTATATTGTAATGGATGATGATGAATCTCATTTGTTCCATAGTTTAATCTAATATTAAATAAAAAACAAATGCAAATAAACATTAGATTTCTAAAACTTTTCTCATATTAACAATTCATATACAAATTAAAATAATTTTAAGTAGTATGAAGATGAAAATTAGAAAGAAAAATTTATAATTAGAAAATTTTCAAACAAAGTAATGTCGAATTTAAATAGTCTTGAATCTCAATAATGAAAATTATGTATTTTTAGCAATATTAATTTTGATAATTATTAAAGGAATAAAATTATATTTATAAATGCGTCATTAATAATGTTAAATAAAATCTTTTATTCCTTTCCACGTTTCTGCACAATATTTCCAAAAAGAAATTTTGCCATAGATTATCTCTAAGATGTTGAAATTATAACAAGAGATTACTATGGAAGTTTAAGAAATATTCTTAAATCTTTTTCTAATCATAAAATCAACCTTTCTGATATCGAAACATTGAAATTGAATCGTACGACAAAGTAAAATAGTATTAACTATGATAGAGGCTAGAAGATTGTTGTAAAATTAACATTTGAAAAGATAGATGATTACAAATTTAATGAATTACTTTTTGATCTCTAATAAAGGTATGATGAAGTTGTGATAGACAATGATTCTTAAATACCAGTTGTTCCATGGTATCCAAGAAATGATGAAGATCTTAAAACAAGTATTTCAATTAAATTTTACTTTAGTTGGCTTAATTATGGAAGTGAAAGAAGAGAACAATTAAGACCATCCTTAATTTAAAGATTTAGTGTATAGAAAAAGAAGAGAAGAAATAGCTAAAATATCTCAATAACATTTAATTGGAGAACCAATTCCATATATTAGTTATAATTAATAAGAAGAAGAAACATGGAAAAAGATATATACCATTTTAAGAGAACGTGTTGAAAAAGTCATGTCTCAAAGATACCTTAAGAATTTAGAAAAAATAGAAAATGCTTTAGGATTTAAATATAAAATACCTTAACTAAGAGACATTGATGCTTATTTGAAAGCTGAAACAGGTTTTAGAATCAAAGCTACACATGGAATCCTTAGTCAAAGAGAATTTTTAAATGCTCTTGGTCATAGAGTATTTTGTTGTACTTAATATATCAGACATCATTCAACTCCTGAATATACTCCTGAACCAGATATAGTTCATGAACTTGTGGTAATATAGATTCTTAATAAAAAGGGTCATGTACCATTATTTGCTGATAAGGAAGTTGCAGACTTATCTTAAGAAATAGGAATTTTATCATGTGGAGCTGAATAAAAAGATTTATCAAGACTTGGAACACTTTATTGGTTCACACTTGAATTTGGAGCTTGTAAAGAAAATGGATAAATTAAAGGATATGGAGCAGGAATTGCTAGTTCTATAGGAGAATGTGATGTATCTTAAAAAAAATAAACTTTTCTAGAATTTCCCGAAAGCTAATTATGAAAAATTTGATCCATTTATTCATGCTGACAGACCATATCCTATTTAGACTGTTTAACCAACATTTATGTACACAGAAAGTTTTGAAGAAGCTATGCAAGAATTGATTATTTTTGGAAAAAGTCTCTAAAAACCATTTGGATTATACTATGATTTTATTGAAAAAGAGTTAAAAGCTACAAAAAGAATTAAAACACATTTGTTAAATCCATGATTATTTTATTTATAAAAATCATATTCATGATATTTATTTGAAATATTTATACCTTATAATTATATTTTAAATTTAGAGTTAAATTTAATTTTTTAAGCTCAAAGTTACTCATAAACTTTAAAAAATGCAAATAAAAAGAGTTTTTATTTTATTCAGCTAGCTTGAAAATTAAATTTTTCAACTCAGATAATTAAAAAAATAATTATAATGTTATTTAACTGAGATTATTAATTTTAAATGATCTTAATATGTTTAATAAATTATAGTTGATATAATCAAAATTTTCATCCTTTTTCCCTAAAAGGAACTTTATTATTGATTCCCTTCAAGATCTGGAAATCGTTACAAAAGATAACTGCTCTAGCTTAATGAAAATTTGTGAATTATGCTAGATTCATAAAATTAAATTTTCAGATGTTTAAACCTTGATATTGAATCGCACTGAAATGTAACTTTAATACCTCTATTATAGTGATTAAAAGACTATCTTAAAGTTGACTTTTGAGATTTTGGATACATTAAAATTTAATACATTAGTTTCAGAACTATAGCGTACCCATGAATAGGTTTGGATTAATAAAAGCACTGATATTCCAGTTGTTCCATGGTATCCAAGAAACGAAGATGATCTTAAATCACGTATTAAGATTATATATTTTAAAGTTGGTCTTCTAATGGTGGTTAATGAAGAAAATAACTAATTTCATCCTCAATTTACAGATAAAAAATACAGATAAAGAAGGGAATTAATAGCTAACATTTCTGAACAGCACGTCTTTGGATAAATTATTCCATAAATTGATTATACTGAAGAAGAGGAAGCAACCTGGAAAAAGATGTATTCCATTTTAAGAGGATAAAGTCAAGCACTTTTATCAGAAAGATACCTCAAGAATTTAGAAAAAATAGAAAATGCTTTAGGACTTAAATATAAAATACCTTAACTAAGAGACATTGATGCTTATTTGAAAGCTGAAACAGGTTTTAGAATCAAAGCTACACATGGAATCCTTAGTCAAAGAGAATTTTTAAATGCTCTTGGTCATAGAGTATTTTGTTGCACACAATACATCAGACATCATTCATTTCCAGAATATTCTCCTGAGCCAGATATCATTCATGAAGTTCTTGTAAAAACATAAATGTATTTTCAGGGTCATGTACCATTATTTGCTGATAAAGAAATTGCAGACTTATCTTAAGAAATAGGAATTTTATCATGTGGAGCTGAATAGAAAGATTTATCAAGACTTGGAACACTTTATTGGTTCACACTTGAATTTGGAGCTTGTAAAGAAAATGGATAAATTAAAGGATATGGAGCAGGAATTGCTAGTTCTATTGCTGAGTTAGAAGTACGTTTTTAATAATATTAATTTAGAATTTTTCTAATGCAAAATTTGAAAAATTTGATCCGTTTTTACATTCATAAAAATAATATCCAACTTAAATAGTTTAACCAATATATTTATATTCTGAAAATTTTGAGGAGGTAGCACAGTAAATGATAATTTTTGGGAAAAGTCTTTAGAAATCATTTGGATTATACTATGATTTTATAGAAAAAGAGTTAAAAGCTACAAAAAGAATTAAAACACATTTATTAAATCCTTGAAATAATATTACATATCACATATTTTTTTATTATATTCTTCTTTATTTTAATTATTTCCTTAAATCTTCTGGATCTCTCTCTAAGGATTTATTCCAAATATACTTTTATTTTTTTTCCTCTTATTTTATTTATTCTTCATGAGTTGAAAAATGATCATAGGTATCTAAATTTTAATATTTCTTAATAACATATCTTATATTTTAACCTAATACATCTAATCTTCTTTCTAATAAAGATTTAATTTAAGACTTATTATAATAAATTTAAATTTACTTCAAATTTTGGAAGTTCTATTACTTTATTTTCCTAATCCTCAAATGAATAATAGTATTTTTTAATTTTATTGTCAGATAAGAATTCTTATTCAAATTCTTTTTCAGATAATGGAGGATTTACTTAAAGTAATTAAGTTTTGTAATCTATTTTCATTTTAAAAATATCAAATTCAACTACACAATCTTCAAATGATTAATATGATAAGCTATTCAAAAAATCATAATTCGATTTGATGTATTCAGCTACCAAATATACCTTATCACTATATCTAGGGATCTTTTCAAAGAAGATTATACTCCATATTAATGCATCCAATTTAAAATAGTTATTTTTAACTGTTTAAATGTTGCGGTTAAAATGATATTCTAAATATTTTCTACTTGTCTACATGTATGCTTCAATATCTCTAACTAAATCATGTTTTTTTCTTAAATGAATTTTATCTACTTCTTCAGAGATATATCTATCACATGCTTTAAATAGTAAAGTGGCTAAATTATTTGATTCTCTAGTATTAATTTATTATAATCTATTACAAATTAACCAAATGTGAACATTAATTATAGATAATTCAATATGAAAATCAGGAGGAATATCTAATACTCTTAAGAATTCAATGCAATTTGTATATAACATAGTTCTAGTAAATAATGTTTGAGCAATAGTAAGTAGTCTTCTTTTAGATTTTTATAAAGCATGCTTTTCTAATAAATGAAATAACAATTTTTCTTTTATTGATACTTCATCTATTTTCATCAATTATTGATATATTTGAATCTTTTAATTTAATAACAATGGTTCATAGATTGGTCTTAAATCATCATATAAATTAATATCACGTGCCATCCAGTTTTTCATCAATTCAACTCTTCTTTACTAACTATGTGTCCATAAACATTTATCTTTTGATCTTTGTTAAATTTGATATTTAAAAAATTTCTTTTATTTTAAAGCTAAATATCTGAATTCAATCTCTCTTTCTAATTAACTAAGAGGATCTCCAAAAAAAAATACTTAGTAAAGTTGTAAAATTTAATTTCTTATTTAATTATATTAGTCATATTTAATTAAAGGAGGCATAGCTCCATTTATCAATACTTTCTTTGTGTATTCATCCATCATCGGTTTAAAGTGTTCCTCACTTATTATTGAAATAATATATTAGGAATCCATCTAATCATTATCATACATATTTTTTAATCTGGTTTCACTTAATAAAATTTTTAATGGCTATAATTGCTATATTTATAATTAATCCTTGATATCCTCTATTTATTAGATGACATACATTCTTCCAGGAATCTCATGCTTCTAAGTCCATCTTTTTTGTAAAAAAGCCCTCAATTAATAATCATATTACATAGATAGATTTAGGATATCGCTCCAATTCATAGTCATGCACGATTGATTTATTTCCTATTTCTACTTTTGCTCTTTAATGTTAATTAGAGTAGACTGAAAACCTATGAAAAAATTTTCTTAACATAAATTTTAATTATTTTATTAAAATCAACATAATATAGATATTAATTGTATACTTTTTTTCAAAGTTTGAATTATTAAATCGTTATAAAAAATTATCTACATTAATTTCAATTAGATTTAACTCTTCTTCTATAACTAAATATTTCTTAATTTTGGATTCATTCTTACTAATAAATTAATAATATACCAGCTTAACATAATATTTTATAAATAAAACAGATGAGTTTTAATTTCTAAAAAAAAAATAATTTGATTATAAATATATATATCTATCCCTTAAAGTCCTTGTAAAAACAAAATAAATTATAAACACCTTTAAAATCTCTTCTGGTAAGAATTTAACCAAAATTAATATTTCCTAAAAATGAATCATATTAACGAATAAAGTCAATAATCTTCAAGTGAAAAATGTATTGTCAAAAGAAAATTAATAAATTATTAGAGAAACATAAGAGTTATATTCAATCCATTTAATTGGGAAAGAAAATCTTCAGAATATTAGTAAAATAGAAATTTTTCATAAAGTATAAGAGCTTCAAAATTTTAAGGGAAAACTTTCTTCCAGAGAAAAGCATAAGTCGGTGTCTTAAATAGAAGATTCTCTTCAAGATCGTAGGATTAGATTTGATATAATGTATATTTATAAGTTTTAAACTTTTATCTCATAATTAGTAAAAATAGAAATTGTATAAATAAATAAATAAAGCTATTAAATTCAAAAATAAAGTTTAAAAATTGAATGGTGAATGAGAATGGATATATTTATAAATGAGGATAATTTTAATGAAAAACATTTATAGTTTTAATATAGACGATTTCATTCTTTTTCAGAAAATAATTTGTGTATTTTTCAATTGTCATGAGGTTATTAAATATAGGGTAGTTAATACTATTTTAAAGACCTATAAATTATTGTTTCCCTCTATATTGATTGATATAAGTATTTATATTTATTCATAACAAACGAACGGATGATAATCAAAAGTGAATTTACATATATATTTTTAATATACCAAAAGAAATTCATAATTTAAATAAAAATTAAGAAGAAGAGGGGATTAATAATAGAAATGAGAAACTGTTTGTTTATTAATATACTTGAATATATTGCAAGTTTATCAAAGAACTGAACCAGCAGCTGATGCAATCTTTGGCCATAAATCGGCAGCTTCTTTTCCTACAGGACCTGTAATAGCAGATCCTTTCATTTCACCTTTAGGATTAATGATAACACCAGCATTGTCTATAATTAATAATAATTCAAACCTTCGAAATAAATATAATATCCTTCTCGACGTCTGTATGGTTTTCTTTATCTAACAACGACTGCTTACATAACTATGATAGTAAATTTAAATTACCCTTCTTTCTAAGTGCTGGCTTACCCTATTTGACTGAGCATAAGACCATATCACCAATGGAAGCAGAGGGTAATCTGCTCAAATGTCCTTTAATTCCAAAAGTAGAAATAACATAGATATTTNTATCTATCCCTTAAAGTCCTTGTAAAAACAAAATAAATTATAAACACCTTTAAAATCTCTTCTGGTAAGAATTTAACCAAAATTAATATTTCCTAAAAATGAATCATATTAACGAATAAAGTCAATAATCTTCAAGTGAAAAATGTATTGTCAAAAGAAAATTAATAAATTATTAGAGAAACATAAGAGTTATATTCAATCCATTTAATTGGGAAAGAAAATCTTCAGAATATTAGTAAAATAGAAATTTTTCATAAAGTATAAGAGCTTCAAAATTTTAAGGGAAAACTTTCTTCCAGAGAAAAGCATAAGTCGGTGTCTTAAATAGAAGATTCTCTTCAAGATCGTAGGATTAGATTTGATATAATGTATATTTATAAGTTTTAAACTTTTATCTCATAATTAGTAAAAATAGAAATTGTATAAATAAATAAATAAAGCTATTAAATTCAAAAATAAAGTTTAAAAATTGAATGGTGAATGAGAATGGATATATTTATAAATGAGGATAATTTTAATGAAAAACATTTATAGTTTTAATATAGACGATTTCATTCTTTTTCAGAAAATAATTTGTGTATTTTTCAATTGTCATGAGGTTATTAAATATAGGGTAGTTAATACTATTTTAAAGACCTATAAATTATTGTTTCCCTCTATATTGATTGATATAAGTATTTATATTTATTCATAACAAACGAACGGATGATAATCAAAAGTGAATTTACATATATATTTTTAATATACCAAAAGAAATTCATAATTTAAATAAAAATTAAGAAGAAGAGGGGATTAATAATAGAAATGAGAAACTGTTTGTTTATTAATATACTTGAATATATTGCAAGTTTATCAAAGAACTGAACCAGCAGCTGATGCAATCTTTGGCCATAAATCGGCAGCTTCTTTTCCTACAGGACCTGTAATAGCAGATCCTTTCATTTCACCTTTAGGATTAATGATAACACCAGCATTGTCTATAATTAATAATAATTCAAACCTTCGAAATAAATATAATATCCTTCTCGACGTCTGTATGGTTTTCTTTATCTAACAACGACTGCTTACATAACTATGATAGTAAATTTAAATTACCCTTCTTTCTAAGTGCTGGCTTACCCTATTTGACTGAGCATAAGACCATATCACCAATGGAAGCAGAGGGTAATCTGCTCAAATGTCCTTTAATTCCAAAAGTAGAAATAACATAGATATTTTTGGCTCCTGAGTTATCAGCACAGTTAAGGACTGCACCAACATTGCATGCAAGTGTAATTCTCAATTTAATACCAACTTATCCTCCTCTTCCTCTCTTTGACATTCGTAAATTTAATTAATTTTAAAAATAGATTTGTGAATAATTTAAGTGTTAATAAAGTAATCACCATGGTCTTTTAATCTTATTGAATTACTAGCATGACTCTGATAAAAAATTTATTTATGAAAAATTTAAAGCATCAAAATCATCAAATGTTGTGAATTTCAACGATTATACTATTTTATAGAATCTAATTGATATTACATTTAAGCAATTCTCCAAAAGAATCTATCTCATTATCAGAGTCTTTATAACTTGATCTATCTGGATGACTTTGCTTTCTCTTTTATTAATATTATTCAATTATTGCATCTTTTGGAACAGATATTGATTATTTTAGTATCATACTTTATTTTATAGTACCCCTTCCTGATCTTTAGGATTAAAGTGTTTTTATTGAGTTTTTTTAATAAAGTGATTTGATATCATTAGTATGTATGGAAAAATCTAATTAAAACTCCTTACTTTATTTAGATCCACCAGATTCAGAATTTTTAATACTCTTTACAGACTATTTATTGTGAAAATCTAATCCAGAAACCATCTAAAATGATTTATAATTTGTTTCTGATGTTAATTTTGTATAATGAGAAATAAATGAAGATTCTAAAGCTTCTAAAGTTGTGAATCTATCTTCTTATTTTGGCTCTAACATTTTCTTTACGAGACTTTTTAATTCAATACTGACATCAGGCCAAGGAGATTTTTCATAATTCACTTAACATTTTGAATTCAATATTTAGATTTAACTTGGTTTTCCTCTAAATGGAGCATATCCTGCAGTCAACTATTATAATTATTTATTAATACTATATATAATATACAACCAGCACTAAATACATCTCCTTTTTAAGTATATGGATAACCTCTAAATATTTCTGGAGCTAAAAATCCAGGTGTACCTGCTTTACTTATTAATTCTTTTTCATTTATTTCTTCTGCAAATCCAAAATCAACTAATTTTATATGAAAATGATCTTTTGATTCCATCATTATATTTTCTAACTTCAAATCTCTATGTACAAATCCATTAGAATGCATTTCAAAAAGAGCATCTAAAATTCCTTTCATCAATTATGCTATTTATTTTTCTTATAATTTTCCTTTGGATTTGTAAAATTGATATAAAGTACCTCCTTAACAATATTCAATAATGATAACTAATTTATCTTTTTCTTAATAAACTTCATATATTTATTCTATTCCTGGATGACTTAATGTTTTTAAAGCTATAACTTCATTATATACCATTTACTGCACTAATATGTTTAATAATTTTATACTATGAATTTATCTTTATGTTTATTTTCTTCAAACATATTTCTATAAATGACTTTAGCTGCAAATATTTATTCATCCCTCTTTCTTTAAACCTTATAAACAGTAGCAAATGCCCCGCTTCCAAGAGTATCTATTTACGTATATACGCTATCATATCCTCTCATTAAACAAAATTCTTAGAGAGATTCACATAATTTTAATGTCTATTCAATTTAATGATCAAATATAGATATTCCTATTCCTTCAACTCTTTCTAAATATAAAACTGGCACATTTAATCCTTTCTTTGTTTTTTAATATGAAATTATCACTCTACTATCCATACTCAATTATACATACCCTTTTGGATCTTTATCTGCCTCCTATAAAAATTTTATTAAAAATTACTTTTTTGAAATACATTAGCATTCCAGAATATGTCAGTTTAAAATAATATCCTTTTATACTTTTTTTCTTTCTTCCAATTCTTAACATTATCCCTTCAAATAAATATTTTTCGCTATTCCAATTTTTATTGTGGTCTTACTATGTACGCCTATTCCAAAATTATTTAACAATTTCATCTCTTTTTACTCTGAAAAATGGCCATTTTGCTTCTCCTATGAACCTTGAAATTTTTGGTATTGCTTTTAAAGGTTTCTTTATATATATTGATGAATTCATTATCATATCGTTTTTCATTGTTGGCGTTTTAGGTTAATTTTAGTTATCATCTTAAACTTTGTGTTGATATGGTTTCGAAAAAGAATGAGTTCTTTACATGTTTTCAAGAATGTTTGTTGAGAATTCTTAACCTAATCCTTTTATTAAGATTGGCTAATTATTGTCGAAGTTTCCTTTAAACATTGTTTAGGATAATTTCTCTCTTAAAGGTTCTTCATTTTTTTATGTTTTTTTCATTTAAAGAAATAATATATACAAATTAGAATGATTCAAATTAATTCGGTATAATATTACAAATATGAGAGATATCCCTAATAATAAACTAAATACATTATCTAGATCTATTACTACAAAAATAAATATTCATAAGTTATTGATTTTTAAAACTATCTACTTAAGAGGGAATTCAAAATAATAGTTTCAAATTCATTTTCTTTACTTAATTAAATAAAAATAATGGATTCATTTTATAATTGATGGTTTTCGATCAAAAGAATCAAATTTATTTAGATTCTCAATTAATCAACTTTAAATTTCTTTTATTTAAATTGTTAATATAATTTACAGTTATAAGAATTGTTGTACTTAAACGCTCATCATTCTATTTAATTGAATCTATTATTTAAAAGAAAATTACTCAAAGTAAATGTTCTTAATCCCCTTCTTTAAAATATAGAAATCAATTTTTATCAAAGCAACCACTTCCTATATTTCTGTATAATTATCAAAAGAACTAAATAAATTACAACTAATTCGTAAATTCAATTTAAGATATCTATATTATTTTTGCTAAATTTATATTTTTAAAACTAGTTCTAGTCCAACAAAATTATTTAAAAGTAAGAAAATAAAATATATATTAAATATATTAGGTTTAATTTTATATAATTTAATGTAAAATTGTATTTTATTATTCTTTCATTTATTTTCACTATTTTTCTTGTGTATTGCTAAAAATATTTTAATTTATAAACTTCACATTTTATACTTCTCATTTAATAAGCTTTGTAATATTTAGAATAATCATAGAATTTTCAATACTTTATAATACATCATCAAAAAATTCATTCCTTTTTAATGATTGTAAGGAAATGTATATTATTAGGGAACAAAAATCCAATAAATTCTTAAGAATTAGTTAATATTACGCATTTATTTAAAATAATGAATTAGATGAATGAAGAGTTTTAGTAAAAATTTTAGCAGTTACTCTAATTAAAGGATATATATAACACTCGAGAAGTTTTGCCATTAAGAATGCAAAGATTGAAGCTTTTTGATATAAATTTCTAATTAAAGCAAATCCGTCACCAATAATAAAAGAGATTAGATCAAATTATAAATAGTTCTATCAAGTCCTAACCTTCTTAGCAGATTGAAACTTCTTAAGATACTGTTACAAAATAGTTTAGCAGTTAAATTATAGTAGATTAATAAAATATTTGTTTGAGTTGTGATAAATATATTTTTGAAAAGAGAGTTGAATTATTTTGTCAAAATAAATTTCATCACAGTTATCATTCAACATGTTTGGCGACCATCATGAAGAATTAATTAAAGTTAGAATGCATTTATTTTTATTGTTTATGTAAAAGTTAAATTAAAATTGGATAAATATTCAAACAACGGGCTGTCGATTTGGAAGTGTATGTAAATAAACTAATGGAAAATTAACTAAATTATATGAAAAAAAGCTTACCAAATATAAAATTATGTGCTAATAAAGATTGTGATTTTTTTTGGGTTTGTAAAAACTCAGGAAAAATAAGAAGTTAGTCTTATAAAACTTCTTAATCCCCCTTGAAAATATATAGGATTAGTTATGTTAATTATTGTCCTACTTGTAGATTTTAATGATTAAAATAGTAAGTATTAAGAAAGCAGTGAATAAATAATTTGTATTCATTAAATATGTAGTAATTTTAAACTCCTATTCCATAGATTTAGATCATTTACATTATTATATGTGGATTTGTTCCATCTAAAAGTTAGATTAAGCAATATTATAATATTGATATGTAATAGCATAATTAAATGCTATATTTCCCTTTAACTATATTTTAACCAAAAATTTACATCTCTAAAACATTAATAATACATTTTTATTGAATATATACTAAACTAGTTTTGTATTTTCATTGTAGGTAACTATCAATATCAACGCTTTTCATAATTTATTTTAAGAATTTCAGAAAAAAAATCGGATTTTAACTCAAATAAACTATTATCTCATCAATTAAATTGTATTCAATCATCATTTACCCATAAACTATGTTTTAATCTCTAATTCGATAGCATAATCAAATATCTATAAATTCATATATCACAAGCTAACTTTTAAAATTGATAAATTAATTTATTGTTGTACTTTTAACTTTAGTCTCTTTAATCACTTTCTTTGGTTAAACTATTTTATCCCTTAATCTATCAACTTTCTGATAGATTTTCATTGATTTTTTCTACTTTTTTTTCTTAAAATTACTAAAAATTAAGGAAAAAATAATATATTTTGACCAATATAATTTAAACAATTTTTTCATCTAAAATTCTTATACTACTTCCTTCAATTTTTTTATCATGTTCATTTTTAATTTTTTTGAGCTAAAAGTTTAAGATTTTATATTGCCATCCTATTATTACTTTAAAAAATTTATATAACAATATTAAAAGTATGTTTTATAAATTTTAACTTAAATTATTATTAATTAAGGGAATTTTAATATCAAACGATGTTTAATTATTAAAATAATTGGAAATAAAAATATTTATTCAAAATAGTTCTTACGTATATTGGAGATATTGTTAAGAAATGTATTTTTATCTTTATGGTGCTCTAATCTGATTTAATGATTTTATTTTCAATTATCCACCATTAATATTTAAAGCTGGGGATTAAGCCAAATTATTAATTATCCCTATTGTCTTCATGGATAAGAAGTTTTAGTAGAATTTCAATTCCTCTTACAGTTCTTATTGATCATCTCCTTTTAATGGTTTTAGAAAAATTTATTTTGTTCTTGTTGTAAATTTTGCAAATTTATTCAATAATTTCACAGTTTTCCAATGTCCATATAATCGAGCAAATCTATTAGTAATCTATTTTATATTTGATATTAATACTTCTTTATATTTTTCAGAGTTCTTTTTATAATGTAAGAACTATTACCATGATTCAAATAAAGCTTAAGCTTTAAAAAATAGAATACAAACTAAACTAGATTGAGGATTAAAATTTTGATTATATGGTATTTATTATAGTTCCAATATTCTAATTATAAAAATACAATTACTTTTCTTCTTCTGTTAATTCTTTCTTTTTATTATCTTTCTTTTTGTCTTGAAAATATGCTGGTTTTTATTTATCAAAAAATCTTCTACTTGTAATTTTATTGGAATTACTATCTATAACATAATTAACTGATTCTTAAAATAATTTTAATTATCTTCCAAATTAAGTTACCTTTTCTTAACAAATAAAAGATGGGGAAGCATCTAACCATACTTATTAAGAATCTTTCATCTAATTTGTCATATAAATTGAATACTTTTTAAAAGGATTTAAGAAGATCTGCCAGTAAAACAGATTGAATTTTCAAAATCATGACAGAAAATGTGAAATCATTAAAATTTTTTTAATCCTTTCAAAATATTGCATAAATTAATACTTTAGTGATGATGCTTTCTAAATGCTTATGAAAATCATGCATTTCTGTTTTACATAAAACTAATTCAGTATTTTCAAAAAGGAGTCTATCTTCTAGAGGTTATTCTGGTTCAAATAATTTAGCTGTAAAAATAGGTATTTTATATGTTTCATCAAAATATTTAATTTCAATATAATTTACTTCATCTTCTTTATTTTAATGAGTATTATTAATATCTAAATAAACTATTTAACATTACCAAAGCTATCAAAAAAATCAGAAAGATCATCATCTTCATCAACTGAATCTTCTTATTATTAATCATCATAAACTGGAAATTAATGATCTCCAGGAGGTGCTAAAAGTCTTTCTTCTGTTTGTTTCTTTATAACTTAATCTGATTCAGCAAATGTTGAAAATTAAACTGATGGAGTTACATTTCTAAAACTAGGAAATGGCCTAAAATTAGATTCCTCTTCAGAATCTTCATCATCACTAAAACATTCTAAGAAATCTTCAAAATCTTAATCTAATTATGCTCCATCATCTTATGCTAATCCATTAAAGATATCATCAATGTCATCTAAATTTTTTAAAAGGTTTATTTAGCTTGAATCTACAGACAGAGGTGGTTGGTTCATTATATTTAATAATTTTATAATTTTTATGCTTATTCAATTTTTTTTTCTCCACATTAATATTTATCTTAACAATGCTTCATTATATGTAACATTATGATTACTGAGAATTTTCTTATATTATTCAATTAATTTTACTTAAAGTTCTTCTTTTGGATATTTTTTTTCATTTTCTTATTAATACAATTAATTATCATCGTTTTGCTATATTTTTTTCATTAATTATGACAACATTTATTCTAAACCATTTCAAAACAATAATGTTACCATCTTCTTTCGTGAAATACGCTTTCTCATCTCCATATTTATACTTTTTCAAATCAGCAAAATAAAATCTAGGTCTATATTTTAAAAATTTTATGAATGAAATCTATAAAATATTGTACATTATTTTAAATATTTCAATTAAAATCATCATTTATTACAAAGTTGTCATTATCTCCATATTATCAACTTATTTTTACCATTCTCATATAAAAGTATTCTAAATATCTTAAAATTGTATTGGATATATTTACTTAATTTATTTTCTTTCTTTTTTTTCATCGAAAAATTAGTTTAAAAAATAGTGAGTGACCTTAAATTAGTGGAGTTTTAGTTTTATCTTTCAAATAATTTTTTTTATTTGATAAATAATGACTATTGAAATAAAATCTTGATAAAATTAAATATATTTCTTTTAGTTTCCAAAACCTATATTATAATATAGAATTATAACATCTTCTTCATCTAGAAATATTTTGATTTTGTTCTAGATATCCTTCTTTAAATTTGTTTGTTGGCTAATTAGAAGTTGATAGAATGTTTATATATTATTTTGATAACTAAATCTAATTTATCAAGTTTTATTTAATCAAGGAAGAGTAGAATTATAATTTTTTAAAAAGAAAATTCTCTAAAAATAAAAAAAATAAAGTGTTTGAATTATTTCCTTAATTTAAACATCCAATAAAGTAGAGCATAATTAATTAAACATAATAATAATTAATAATTTGTTAGATCATCAACAAATAATTGATCTAATTTATTTAAACTAAAAATATCTATTTAAGAAAAGAAATTTTTAAGTTGAACAACGTACAATATTCTCCTTAAATAACTTTTTTTTTTTGAATTTTAAACATAGCTTTTCTTTGCTAACAAAAAATTTAGGTTTGTTGAAAAAAATAGATAACAAACCAAATCTTTTAAATAAAGAAGATTAAATATAAAAGAAGATTAAATATATTATTTAATCATGATATTTTATAGAATAACTTTTATAAATCGATTGGATATTAAATATTCATTAAATTTTCATACGTTAATTGTGTACTTCTAATTTTATTACTTAGCATAATGAACGAGATTTTCACTCTAATTTTCTATATTTTTTGCCATAACTCTGTCTTTAGATTAACTTATTAATAATAATTGCCTAAAATAATATTTTTATTTTACTATTATCTTTAATTATGTAAAATAGTTTCGGTAGCCTTTACAACATTTTATTTCAGTGATTTTTAAATCTAATTTAGAAATTCAAGTTTAAAATCCGTTTGATTATTTTATGATTAGTTTTGATATCCTTCATATTGTATCATATATTGACCAGACCAGTATTATTATTCTTCTTTTCCTAACTACTTAGTCATTACAATATGGTATAAATCAAATAAAAATTTAAAAGTTGTCAGTTAAAGTTGATTATCTGTTTCACTAAAATGTTGTTTCAAATTAATAAACGACTTTAACTCTTAGCTTAAAAAATTGATAGTAGATTAGATAATTTCTGTGTTATCATTATGTTTATCAATTTTTTTAAATTATTCAATCAAATGATCATTATATTGTTAAAATTCTTCATTCTTTATTTACATCTACCTTACTAAATTAGTTATTTATTATTCGTAATTTGTTCTAATTAAAATCTTATAATACTTTTTATTTATTAGATACTCTTGTACAGTTTGGCTTAGAATATACTCTAACTTTTCTGATGGAGACTATTTATCATTTGGCAACACAAGTTCTAATAAGTCACCTGGAAGAGGTTAAGGTTTTTGTTAATTTTGAGGCTTACCACCACCGCATCCCATTACTAAGAAAGTAATTAAATTAATATTATCAGATAATTTTAAGTTAGATTATATTTACCTTACTTTGTTTAATTAAAATGTCTAGAAACAAATCTTAATACCTCACTAATATGAGAACCATTAGGAACTACTTTCTGACAAAGAATCCGAATCAAAATTCATTTTATGAAGATATAGATTTATTTTTTCTCTTTTTCTTAAATATTTTTTTATATAATTACTTATTTAGATTTATTCAATTATTTATTTTCTTTTCTTTTATGTTATCTTCTTTTTCTTTTTTAGTTAGTATTTGAATTTTTTAAATATCTCATTTTATTCTTTCATTTCCAAAATATTTTCTACTTATGTAATTTTATGTTCTTTTTTCCCTTATCTTGTTTAATATATTTACTCTGGATTTTTATTCAATTTTTTGTTATTTTTCTTTCGTTGTCCTTTTCTCTTTCTTTTTATTTCTCTCTATCCTTTAATTATTTTACTCGTTCTTCTTCTTTATCCTCGTTCTTTTTCTCGTTTTTTTTCTATTTCCAGATCTCTTTCCTTTTCTTATTTATTATATAAATCTAAAAAATTTTTTATTATTGATTTCCTTTTCTTTTGATAAATCTCTATTTTTAGAATTATGCTTATGTTTATTTTCTAAATTTTAATTTTTTGTTTGAATTTGATTTACTATTCTATCACTTTGACTGGAACTATTTTTTCTTTTTTCAACTCATCTTTATACTGTATCCTTTCTAGATTTTTCTTATTATAATAGTTATGAATATTTTTACTAAATATTTAATTTATATATTATTCTTATCATTTTTGATTTCTTATTAATTATTAACTAAATCATTATTAACTTTGGTATGAAAATATTTCTTTTTTAAATTCAAAAGATTCTTTTAAGCATTAATCTTTATTTTTAGTTCTTGATACTAATTCTCTTTATAAATTTAACTCTTCTTCTATTCTTTATTTTTTATTAATAATGTCCATGATTAAAATTATTAATGAGCGCTTTAACAGAAATAAATATGAATTCTTCTTTTAACTATAAGAATATTTTTCATTTTTTATTAGCATCTTCACATGCTGTAATAATTTCAAATTCATTAAAAGCATTCTGTAAAGAAGATCCAGTTTATTAATCTCTAATAACTTGACTAGTTTTAATAAATTCAAATTTAGAGAATAAAACTTCAAATTTTTTTCTTCATAAAAAGGATTTAATCTACATACATATAATGGAGGTTTCATATCTACATTTGGAAATACCATCTAATATTTCTAATGTTATTGCTTTTTTTTTAATTGATTCTATTTAGTTTTTCATTATAATTATTCTTCATCTTTTTCAATTAATGTATTCTCATGAAATTCAATTGTTTCTTCTGCTTTATATTTAGGAGAATAGTGATCTTGAAGGATAAATAATATATGATAAATCTTCAAAAGGATGTTTAAGAATATATGAATTTTAAATTCTAATATACCCTATCATGATCTAAAAGAGTTCTATTTATTTATTATAAGACTTGAAGACCTTCTTAAACTTTTTGCAATATTGTATGTATATAATTAAATTTGATGTTTATAAAATACAAAAATCTAAATTGTTTGGATGTAATTTAGGATTAGCTGTAGCTGCTACTTCATGTTAATATAATAAAATTATAAATACTCTTAACAATGGGAGATTTAATCTTCAAAATATGTTTGATTATTAAGTGTTGTAGACGAATTAATACTTTTTATTGATGCTAAGTAATCTTTTAAAAGATTGTAAAATGTTGTCCATTATAAAATTTAGATTTAGATAATTTAATAAAGTTTTTAGCACATAGATTGATTTAGGTATATGAATCAATAATTAAATCTCCTAATGAGTTGTAATACAATTGAGATAAATAAAAATTATTATGCGTCAGATGATTTTAGATGACTCATTAATTAAATAAATAAATAATGTTTCCAAATTAAGAAGGATCTTAAGCTGAAGTACTTCATCCTAAAACTCATATGTAAATCTAAGCTGTTTAACATGAAAAAATTATATAAGGCTTTGATCATGATCCTGATAAATTTTTAGGTGAATTTCAATTCAACTCTCATAAGCTTACACGATAATATTTAGTAGGAGAAGGTAATTATATACATTTATATAATAGGAGCATAATTAAGATTGTATTTCACTAAAATAACACCATAAAATATTTAAATCAAAGCGTCTTTAGCAATAATACATGGATTTGGTGAACATTCAGGCAGATTTTTACATGTATATTATATTTATAAAGAATAATATTAGTTAGCTGATTTTTATGCCAAAGCTGGATTTGAAATATTTTTAATTGATTTAAGAGGATTTGGATATTCTGGTGGTGCTAGAGGTTGCGCTACATAATAATAATTGTTATTAGATGTTAAAGTATTAGTTTAATAAGTAAATCCATAATTACCATTATTTTTATATGGTCATTCTATGGGAGGATTAGTTGTTTTAGCTTTTACGTTGTTAAATCCAGCTATTTAAATTGCTGGCGTTATTGCAACAAGTCCATTATTGGGATTTCCATCTGATAGAAAATTAGATTGGTTAAAACTTAATTTTGTTACTACAGCAGGCAAAAAATTAGAAGACATGGTTGTTAATAGTATGGTTAATCCTACTGCTTTAACAAAAAATAATAATTAATTGAAACATTCATTTGGAGATAGATTAATGATACCATTTTGTGGTTTAAATATGGCTGCTTCTATTTTATCATAAGTAAAGATGATGAAAGGACATGCTCATCTATTTCATAAACCATTATTAATTTTACATGGAAAATAAGATGCTGTTACTAATTATCATGATTCTGTTTATTTCTTTGAAAATTGTAAAAGCTAAGAAAAAGCTTTAAAATTATTTGAAAATGGATATCACGAATTATAACATGATGAAGAATGTGATGAGTTAATGACAATTACTTTAGATTGGTTATAAAGACGTTTAGATAATGCTAAAATACTTGGTAATGTTCCAACTGTTATTAATGTATAACTCATTAAAAGAAAATCTAATAAAAAAATTAAGATTATCTTAGCGATATTAATTGCTGCATATTTTATTATTTCAATAAAGTAAATACTCTTATTTATTCATAGATATAAGAATTTAGCTTAGGGTTCTAAACTTAAACAACTTATTATTCCATTATTGTTATTTAAAAAATGAATAAATTAGTATATTATTATAAAATTTTTTAAATCATTTTCTTTTAATTTTTATGTTATTAATATAATATTCATCTATTTTATCTTCTGCTTATTCTAGAATGTCATGGCTTAAATTAAAATGTTTCTTATTGAAAGTAATTAAATTTAATTAAAAATCTTTTCATAAACTTGATTAACCTATATTTTTAAAATATTAATTTTACAATAGGTTTAAAATTTTGTTCTCATGAGGCTATATTATCGAGTTTTTATAAATTATAATTATGAAGATTTTATTGTCTATGCTCTTCTCTCCTCTATTTTTTTTTTAAAAATTTTAGAGTTCAAAAATTAGACCTAATTTAATCAAAATTTTTACAGTTCTGAAGTTTCGATCGTAAAAGTATAAAAACTTTAAGAAATATTTAATTTTTAATATGTGATTTTCATTAGGTTTTTAGAAGGGTCAACTCTCTTGAATAGAATAGAGCCATTTTAAAGTGAATATTGCAATTAAAATTTAATGAAATATACTTATAATTTTAATTTAAATAAGTAATTTTTATAATATATTTGTAATTAAATTATAGACAAAAAATAGAATCAATCTTTATTTTTATCTATGATTTCATTTCTTAGTTTTTAATATGTTGGAAATTGTGAGAATGCAAATTTTTTATAATATTTCATTTTCTCAAATATTATGATTACCAATTTAGTCAAAATAATAATTGTAAAGATGATTGATTCATAAATTATTTTTTATGCAAATAGTTCTAAAATATTTTGATGATATAAATTTATTGTATTATGAATAGCTGTAAAGGTTAGTTGGGATAACTGAGAAATTATCAAAAAGTCTATAATTCTATTATTAAATTAATAATCTGTAAATCTTTAATCTTACTTTTCATTTTCATTTAGGATAAAGAATGTAATCCTTTTAATTATATCTAGAGTCAAAAATACACCAAACTAAATAATTATATAAATAGTTACAATATGTATTATTAATAATAAAGTATTAAATGTTACGTTAAAAGTTTCTGTGCCAATAAGTGAATCTTAAAATTTCACAGTACTAAATGACATTCTATGTCCTAAACAGCACCAACTATAATTTAAAATTAATTATATTGTAGCTCCAGCTATAGGGGGAAGCCAAGATCTATCAGCTTTTATAAAAAATTTCATCAAATAATAAATTGAATAAAATAGGCAACAGTATATCATCATTCCTTATTTACCAGAGACTATTAATATGGTTAAAAACACTATGTTCATTTTAAATTATTACAATAGCTAATATCACAAAATATAATTGTCATAGTTAAAGAGCTTATGAATAAAAGCATTGGAAAATATATTGTTATTAATTTTATCAGAATAAAACCATCTACAAAATATTTTTCTTTATATTCTTGAAATTTAAAACTGTGGTTAAATAAACAAATAAATTAAGCTAAGCCTAAAAAGATATAAAATAATTTGCTAAAATTTGAAGAAAAAATTACTTAAATTTTAATTTCAAAAGTATTTTTTACAAAAAAATAATTGGTAAAATCATCTTAATCCAAAATGATTCAAAAATGTAGTTCATTTCCATCATTATTAAAGGGGATTTAGGCAAAGTATTTATATTAGAAATATTATATTATTCAGCTAAAATTAATAATGAAATCCCTAATAAAACATATTTTATTTATTTTATCAATTGACTTTATGTAATTAAAAGAATAATGAAAATATTTAGTAAAATGCCTAAAATATTTGATGATAAAACCATTTAACGTTCATGTGATAATTCTTGAAATCCTTTCTATATAAATATATTTGTAGTAATAAAAAAGTATTATCTATAATGTGGTAAAGGTTTAATAATTTTTTAAAAAATAATTATTATGTTTTTAATTGAAGTTAGTGGAAAAAGTATTTATTTTAAAATGATAAATATTAGATAAAATGATAGAAATTTGATTGTTATTTAAAGTGAAAAAAATAAGTAAATAAATGTAGCTACTGGCAAAATGATAAGTAAAAATTCCGTCCTGTAGATGATATAATGATTTTTATTTAGGAACTTTTTATTAAATAAGTATTCAGATTATTTAATTATATGTAACGCAAATAAGATTATCATTAAACTTAAACCAAGGTATAATAAGGTGTAATCATATACTTTGGATTTTTCTTTAATTTCAATTTACAATTCCAAAATTACCTCTTAAATATTTTGACAAGTTAATCCATGTTTTGATAATTATGATTGATATTTATTAAGGTTTAATTCAAATTAGTGTTATGGTTATATTAATTTATTTAAATAATTCATAATTTAGATTAAATTTTCTTTACAACTAATTTCTTATTATTCTTTAGTTTAAATGATTTCACTTAAAATAGCACCCATATTACTAAATGGTATAGATATTCCCATTAAATATGAAATAGTTGGAGCTAAATTAATACTTAATACTTATCGAGCATATAAATTGCGATCAATAAATTACTAATTTAAATACTATCGATCATTAATAATAGATTATTTAAATAGATTTTTATTAAATTTATACTATTTATTAATAGCATAAATTGTAGAACTAATTTCATATGAACTATCTCCTCCATGATTTCCATCTTAAGACATACCATGATCTCCTACAACAAATAATATTGTATTATTATCCATTTGATTATAAATATTATATAATAATTCTGAATATTATTTTTATTTATCCCATAATTATTAATTGCTATCATTATAAAGATGTCCACTATGATCAATTCCGAGAAGATGTCCAACAATAAAATCATATTTATTTTCCTTAATTAATTCTTCAATATTATTAATTATAATATTATCATCAGTATCTACATCTCTAACATCGAATGATTCTGAAACATACTTAAAATCAAATGATTTTGGAAACATATGAAACCATGTATCATCTCCTAATAATGCAATAGTTTTATTTTTTCTTTTCATTGAATAGATTATATTATCTTCTATTAGTTCTTGTGCAGCCATATTAAAACCAAAATCAATAAATGCTGGAAAATTACCTGTTGTTATTGATTTTAAATTAAGTTAAGTTGCTGATGGTGCTGATGATATTCCATAATATAAAATTTAATACTCTTCTTTATTTTCCACCATATCCTAATAGAAAGTTAAATTTTCATTAGCAAATAAATCAACCCTTAAAGCATCAACTAAAAGTAAAATAATTTTCATGGGTTAATTATTTGATGATTCTATTTCATAAACATCTTCAAAGATTGTCTTGACTTAAAAATAACCCAATAAAAATAAAGCCAGAGCAAACATTTTTAAAATTAGTATTCCGAATGAATTATTATTCCACATTTAATTAATTAATTATAATAGATAAAAGTTTTAGAAATTTTTTGGTTTCGCTTCAACTCAATTTAAATGAATGATTTTAGCAGATTGTAGAACTTAGATAACAATTTTATCAAATCTTAATACTTAAGCTTAAAATGCTACTATAATTGAGGTAAAAAATTATGACATTCGATTAAATATAATATATAAGACATTGAAAATTTGAATAGAATGGTATTGATGTATTAATTGATCCATATCATCCTGGAGTTTCAGAAAAATTAGAATTATTTTAGTCAATTTGTTCAGAAATTAATTCAAAATTAGATTTATTTTTTTTGGTTAAAATAGTCCATTAAAAGAAATAAGGACATTATTTCAATTCTTTTGGAAGACTTCTTGCATATTATGATAGTACAGGAAATAAAAATAAAAAAGATCAACTATTCTTATGAGATTTTGCAGCAGAATGAATATTTTGTGGTTAGCATTTTAGCAGCTTTAATTCATATTTATAAAAACGTTAAATGGATAATTAATAGATTTAAGGACCTAATTATTTAAGTTAATTTATTTTACATTAAAATTTAAAAACTTTGGTCAAATGAAATTGGTAATAAATTACTTTTTGATGAAACACATTTATACTATAAAAATTTTAAGATTAATGAGTTTATGATAACTAATTTCATTAGTTTAATGAATGTATTTCACTAATTTAATTGGAAGAATGAAATTAAAAATTATTTGGGAGAAAATTTTTTTTATAAAAGAAATGTTTTAATAGAAGCTAATGGATAACCAATTTTTATTAAAAAGATAAATTTAAACTTAAAGATATTTAAAGAATTGGATAAAATAATCAGGAAAATTCACAGTTATAATTTGATTGAAAATTTATGAGAAATTTTGTCTATTTCAAAACCTTATAATTGATTTTACTAACAAATATTATTAATTATAAAATAAATTTTAAGATATATTTATATTTATAATAATCTATCTTAACTTATATTATGAATTAAAAATAGTTCTTTCATCTTATTAAATTCTTGTTTGAAATAAATTTCTTTAAATTTTTAGATAACTAGTACTTTGTGATAAAGGTTTAATGTTTAAAATAAGTAATATTAAAATTTCTAAAATTTAGAACTCAAATTTGTATTAATTTAATGCAATATTTTAGTTAAAATAACTGAAAATAATTGAGGAACATTAAAAAGCTGTTTTTTAATCTAGAAATTCTTTAAATAAGTATTAATAATAATTTATGATTTGTTCTTTTGATTAATGCAATAAGTCTATAAGTTTAGAGTCTTTAATTAATGGATTGGCTCTATAATGTTTATGGTGTTCAAAAGCCTTTTATTGTTGTGAAAATTGTAGAAAGTTAGATAGGTAACAAATAGAAAGAAATTAAATGTTTAGCAAGCATAAATTATAATGCGTAGGTATCTAATAAACAGTTCCTGTAAAGAAAGAGAATATTATAAAAGAAATGAAATTATTAGAATAAATAGGTAAAGGATTTTTTGGAACAGTGTATAAAATTTTAATATAAGATCAATTATATGCTCTAAAGAAGATGAATAAAAATTTATGCTATAAGGAGGTTAGAATTCATAAGCATTTGAATCATAAAAATATAATATAGTTTCATTAGTTTTTAGAAGATGAAGAATACATTTATATAATCATGGAATATGCATGTAAATAATTTATTAATTTTAAGCTTAGGGTACATTAACATAAAATAGAGATAATTGTAATGTATAGAATATCTTCAAATAAATGTGTGAAGCTACTATGTATCTTCATGAAAAAGGAATAATTCATAGAGATTTAAAACCTGATAATATTGTATTAGATGATTATGGGAATCCTAAAATATGTGATTTTGGATTGGCTACATATGAAAATGTAATAAGTAGTTTTTCTGGAACATTTGAATTTATGGCACCAGAAGTCATTAAAAATTTACCTCAAACTTAGAAAATTGATGTATGGTCTTTAGCTGCTATACTATACTGGTTGTTAGAAAACAAACCATTAGTAGAAGGTTTAATAATAAACAAATTTAGGTAATTAGATAGAGAAGATGTAGTAAATTCTAGATTTTACCTAACCTTAATTTACTAAAATAACAAATCCATTTATTAAGGATTTATTAAATCAGATGTTAGTACCAGATCCTGATAAAAGAATTTCATTATAAAATGTGCTTAATCATAAATGGACATAGAATGAAAGTATAGATATTATTGAGAAAGAAATTAATGATATTTCTACTTAACCAAGTATTTAAAGATAGCAATAAATTGAAATTTAATAATAATTGTAAAAAAATGATGTGAGTATGTTATAAAAAATTATATCACTTTTTGGTTGTGGTGGTAGAGAGAAACAGTATTGATATTGATTTTGATTTTAGATTATTGAATTTTTAGTTTTTTCCACTTAATAAATTAATAAATCTAACTGATATTCAATACATTATTTGAAAAATGAATTCTGACGTTTAAGACATTATAGATTTATATTAATAGATAGTATCCAATTTAGATTTAGATCCATAACGCGATGTTACTATGTATTAATATGTTTGATAATTAAAATAGCGAATAACTAAAAAATGAAAGAAATTATTGCACAATATTTAGAATAATGTTTCCATTTCTCGAGAAAGAAATAGATAATATTCAAAAAGAACGAAATCCAACAGGTGAAAAATTGTAAGGACTCATTGAATTTTTAGTAAATCATCTTGAAAATATAAATAGTCTTATCCTGTTTTAACTATGGATTTATCACATATAAGTGGTCATTCTATTGCATAAGGAGATTTGAGACATCTCTATAACTTTTTATAAATTTTACTTGAATTATCAAAACTATATAAAGATTAAGCTTAAAATTCAAGATCAAATTCAAGTAGTTAACAAAATTTCTAATAAAACAATTCAACTCCACCAGAATAATAATCTGGTAAATATTTTTATATATTTTAGATTATTTTCATGATAATGCTGAATATGAATTATCATCTTAAGAGGAGGGTGGAAATTAATAAACAAAGTAAATTAAAAGAAATAAATCTTAAAAAGATTTAAAGAACAATTCTAATTAAGATAAAAATGCAGCAGCAACAAAAAATTAATTATCTAATAATTAAAGAAAATCATCAGCAAGAAAAGATGATTAAAAAAAAGTTATAAATTCTAAAGAAAATTAATTAAAAGCTATTAGTAATAATTTATTACCTGTTACTTAACTTTAATAAAGAATTATAACATAAGATCCTAATATTGCAACTAAATATAAAAAATAATAATAATAAAAGAAATCTTAATAAAAATAATAATAAAATTAGTCATCTCCAAAATAAGAAGAATAATTAGATTAATTAGATTTTGATTTTCCAGATATTAGTGAAATTGATTATGATTTTTTAGAGTAACATGATGAAGAAGAGATTAATCAATTAGAAGATGATGACCCTACAAAAGTTAAATATATTAGAGAATAATAAAAAGATAATATAAGAAAATTACTTTAAGAAAAAATGAAAGAAGGTGAAGAATTAGAGGATAGACCTGAAATTGATGATTTTATTGATTTTCAAATTAAAGTTATAAAAGAATCATTAGGTAAAATGAAAATTTAACCTCCGAGTGATGAAAAAGAAACCATTGAAAAAATTATAAAGAATAGAAATTAATATAAAGAATTTTTAAAAGATTATCTTAAGACTTATTAATAAAAATAAAAAAAATAAGAATTACAATAAAATAAATCAATACAAAATTAAAAATAACTAACTAAGATGAATTAGAAAAAGAAAGATGATTTAAAAAAAGAATTTGAAAATGAACATTTGTCAATGTATTATAAATTAAGAGATGAGAAATTAAATTACTTAAGAAAAATGTATAAAGTTATTAAATTTTCATAGTCATCGAATCATATTTGAATTAGAAAAAAGAAAAATAATTGATGAAAAAAAAGATCATTTATAAATGAGAAGATAATAAAATATAATTACTAGAAATGCATTAGCTTCTGTTGAAAATGCATATAATGATAAGATTACAATGTTAAAAGAAAAATTATAAAATGAAAGAAAAGATAGACATGTTGCAGGTGTTGCTTAAAAATAAGTATTTTTACATAAGATTACAAGATTTTATCAAAATTAGAAAAAGAGTTAAAAGATGAAAAAATTAAATAAATTTAAGAGTTGAAAGATATTTGGAGATAAGAAAAAGAAAGGTTTGATTATTTAATGAAGGATGATGGAGAATTAGAAAAAAGAATTCTATAAATTTATAAAAAATATTGAAAAATTATATGCTATTATTAATTATATAACAATCTTAGTTATATTTAATTTTATTTCCAAATGATATTTGATGTTAATGGGTTGGATATTGCTATTGCTTAAATATCCTTAAATTTCTTGGTTTCTACATCATTTTTATTGAGATCTAGATGTAATAAAAGAAGCTCTACAAAATCTCAAAAAAATATTTTAAAAGTATTGACATATTCTATTTAAGAAAATTACAAAAAAATAAAGTGAAGAAGGTTTTTAAACAAAAATAACTATATAAAATTAAACATCTACAAGTAAGTATTAACTCTATAGTAGTAAAAAAAAATATAAGTGGTTAAAAGTCTCTAAAACAGAATGAAATTGATAACATAAATACAAAAAAAATATCGGTTGAACATTATCCTTAATCTTCAGGATTATTATACTCTCCTAACAATAAAATTTTAGGTTTTTATTGATTTAATTATTAGAGAATGATAAACTGATGTCAGATACTAATCGATAGACCCATAGATCAAGTTTAGTTCCTATACTTTAAACACAAAAATAATAAACAAGTAGTAAATCTAGTACTGCCAGCTAAAATATTGTTTAACAAAATCAAAAACAATAGGCTGATCAAAATAAATCTATCATTAAATAATTGAAAGAGAATCCTAGTTTTGTGGTATCTAAACCAGTTTAATGTTAAGTATATTAATAATAATATATAGTAATGTTAAGCTGATAATTCAGTAGAATAATAGGATGATATTATTACTATTGAAAGAAAAAGAAACATGAGTATTCCAAATGAATCTAATGATGATTAAAATTTTCAAAAAAAAATTGACTAAGAGAAAAAAGAAGAAATAAAATTTAAAATTAAATAAAAAGAAATCTAATAAACATAGTATATCTAATTACAAAACCATTTCCTTTTATTTTCTTGTGTATTTTTTGTGCAATCTATTATGCAAAAAGCCAATTATAGGTTATAACTTTATGAAGAAATAAATTTGAACAATATTTTGAAAATATAGTCATTATATGCTTGTATTGGAGCATTATATTTTAACGTATTTTATGCTGCATTGATAACCTTTTTAGAAAAGGTTCTAAAATCTAATCAAGTTATAACTCGATTATTATTTACAGCATATAATATTTCAATTCCTTTTTTTGTTTATTCAACTATTTAGGAATAAAATTTGAATATAAATTTAGAGTTTTTATTGATAATAGGATGCATTTATTTTATATAATTTCTAGTCTTTATTTTCTGTAGAATTACAAATTGGAAAAATTATCCATTAGCTTTGTTTTTGGTGTTTTGATATTTATAATAATATTATTTTATAGAAGTACACGAATAATTAACTTTAAATCTAAAAATAATGAATAATAATTAAGACTTTTTCATATTAGGTTAAGTTTCGATATTTAATGGAATTTGATCTTAAACGATATCTATAGATATCAAAATTTTATTATTAAAATCTGACACTAATAAATATAATAATTTTATTTTCTCATAAAATTTTTCTTTAACTTCACTCTTCTATCTCTATTTTTATCTCTATTTTTTTTATTTTAGATCTCTTAGTTTTTGTTTTATGATTATTTCAAATATTTTGTATGAAACAAAAGAGCAGAAATTAAAGGATAAATTATATAGAAAAGGATAGTTGAAGATAATATTTAATTATAAGTATTGAATAAAATTAAAGATAGAATTAAAATTATGTGCAGAAAAACATAAGAATTCAGAAATTGAGATTTTTAATAAAACAATATATATTTAGCATTTTTTATATTATTAGCAAAGAATAACATAAATAAGAAATACTAAGAGATTAAAAGATATTATTTTAGTGAATTATTATTAAATTTTTGATCAACTTAAACTTTTATAATATGCAATACACTCCTTCCATGAATCTCTAAATGTTTGACATTTATCTTCTCCGTTATTCTAGATGCATTAATTCATGATTCTTCTAACTGGGGCACATTTACAACAGGCACCATTTTTACATTTACATCCTTTTTTAGGTATTTCTGAATCCATAATTAATTATTAAAATAATAAGGAATATCTTTTATATTATTATTAATCTAAACATAAATTTATATATATAAAGAAAAATATCATTTAATTTATTGCTAGTACTCTTTGTATAATCTTTCATAATATGCCTCATTAATCCAAGGTTAATCATCTTTTTCATATTTTAAAGGAGGAAATTTAAATGAAAGTTATTCTATAATTTATTATTTCATAAGAGCTGAGTTATTTTTTGGTGGAAATAAAACTCCTAATTCAGTATTTGCAATGTATAGTTATGTTGCATTTTTTTCCATTTTTCCCCAAGCACCCTAAGTAAAATTATGACTTCCTATATAAATAGATGTAAAATCATTAATATCTTCATCTAATCCTGTAATAATCATGACTTTTAAATGAGGAATATTACCAGTATGCCAATAATAATGATCAGAACCTTAATATTTATAGAAAAGATGTTTAGGAAATTTAGGATTTTCATATAATTATTTTTTTAAGTATAATGGATTAGCAAAGTCAACACCTCCATGAGTTTAATTTTCAATATAATCTGCTGTTGGATAGATTAATTTTAATTTAGATTATTCTTCTTCTTATTAATTTAAGAGCATTTAATTTAACTTTTTATTATTTTATTCACTAGGCAAAGGTTATTTATAAACTTTACCTGTACAACATTATAAAGCAAAATCAATATAATTATTATCTATTTATCCAATACTAGTAGTTTGATAAGTAACACAAACCTATTTTAAAATATCCATTTTATTATTACAAAGTTCTTAAAATAAGACAGATTGGAGTCTCATCATACCATATTTATATAATTGATTTCCAACAAATCTACCTGGTATAGATGTAATAAGTCTTATATTGACATCTCTAAAATCATAATCATCATATTTAATTTTAAGAAGATCTTCAAATTTATGTGATGTTGGTAATATTTCATATAGAAATTCTCTAAGCATAGTCTTAAATTCTTAAGATGTTTGATCTAATTCACTTTTTCCTAATTTAAAATCTTAAATCCACATAGCTTAAGACCATATAGTCCAATCACCTACATGTAAATTTTAACTTCCGATAACAATCCGAATAAATTTTGGAAATTTAAGAATCCATATTTTAGGATGAAAAGCTCCACCAAACATAGTTGATCCTAATTTAGAAGGTTTAATAACCATCCAATTTGGATAGTTGTTATATTTTTCAATTATTTCCAGCCTTTTGTTTAGATTATCATTATCATTTACAATGCAAAGTTATACACCTGATTTTACTATAGGTTCTAATAATTCATCTTCAAAACCAAAACATGTCATTAAAGCACTTTCTAATGTCTTTTTAGGTTTTTAAGTTTTAACATCTATAAATGCATTTTCGTAAAGGATGTTAATAAATGGTAAATGATGTAATTGTCTATCATCTGTTGGATATTATGTTAAACTATTTAAACAAAATTTTCCAATTGGAAATGATAACTAAACTTCATCTTATTCCATTTATTATTTTTGTTCATCATCTTCTATGATTACAATTTTTTATTTTTCTTTTTATTTTACTTCTAACCTTTTCTAATTTTCTTAATAGAGATCTTTCTAAATAGAATTGACTTCTATATAAGACTAATTTATCTGGTCTTGTTCTTCAGACAGATCCTGAAGTGTTCTTTTTTTCATAATGATAATTTTATGAGAAGAATTGAATAAATTATATTCAATTAAATGTTTATATTTCTTTTGTAATAAAATGAGTTTTTTTTCCCATTCTTTATCAAGATTTTGAGTTTGAATTCTACCTTGAAGCTGAATCAGAAGGGGATCTTTTTGGACTAACACTTCTTTTTCTATTTCTTTGATCTCTTCTTGGGCTTCTACTGTGTCTCTTTCTTTTGTTTTGATATCTTCTTCTTCTAGATCTGGATGATGAATAAGAAGAATATGATCTTGATTCAGATCTTCTATGACGGCGCCTAAATTATTTAAATATCTTTATACTTTGATCTAGAATCAGAACGTCTTCTACTACGTCTTGGTGATTTATTATTTGGACAATTACGAGCCCTAAAAATTTATTAAGATCTTACCAATGACCACCTTTATTGCATTTGAAACATTTATCTTCTTCATTTGGACCTGTCTTTCTTCCTTTACGATTGTCAACCACATCCACTTTCAATTTTTATCCATTGTAAGTTTATCCATTAGTACCCTTTAAAGCTTCTTGTGCATCTTACTCATTAGTAAAGGTCTTAATTTCGAAATTAGTTCATACAACAAATGAATATGATCCTTTGTAAGCAACTTCTTTTATAGCTCCAAACTTTTTGAAGATTTCTCTCACGTCTTTATCGTCTTATACTTTGTTACGACTGTACCCAGCAACAAATAGTTAATTAGGTATAATATCACCCATTAATTTAATTAATAAAATTGAATCCTAATAAATATTTATATTAGATATATTTATTTATTCCTTTTTTATATTAATTATACAATATTTATATCTCATTCATACTATCCAATCAGATCAAAGATTCATAATTCCCCAATCTAATATTCAAATTTATTATTCAACTAATCTCAACAACTTTTTAATTTTCTTTTTTTATTGTTAACAATATTTATTATTATTAATACCATTTTTTTATATTAAAAACTTTTTTTTATTTTTATTGCCATTTTATTTTACTTAGTTGATTTTTATTTAATTAATATTAAAAATATAATATAATTATTTAGATGAATTAAACATCAATCATTTTTTTATTTCCATATTTTTAAGCATTTAGAATAATCCCATGTAATAAGATATTAATTATTCTTTGTAAATTGATAGAAAAAGTTTTATTCAAATTATATTGTCTATATTTTTTAATATTATTTTCTTTCATCCATTTTTAGTATCTAAAGTTGTTTTTCTTTTTACAAAGCATAAATTTCTTGAATTTAAGAAGTTTAGAAATTTGATTCAATAAACTAATATAGCTATGTTTTAGTAGATGAAGGAATCTTAACATGGCATTCTTCATATAATTCATTTTCTTTATTAAAATGAAATAATAAAAATTCTGCATTTTAACACTATAAAATCAATGAATCAATGTCTCTATTGTAAAATTTCTTACCTTTTAATGCTTTGAGATATATGGATTATTATTTCTTCCACTATTCTTGTAGATTCTTAGAAAGAATTTATACTTAACCGTTTAATGTTATCGTGATTATTTTTTTGAACTCTTTGTCATAACTCACTTAAAGAATTTAAGACAGCTCATTTTTACTAATCGAAATCACTTAACTATTTTCCCATTAGTTTTAAAGTCCTTTCTTCCAAACAATTAAAAAATTGTAATCCATTACACCAATCAGCTCATCTTCATCTTCATTCAATATTAACTAAATTATTTCAAAATCTCTTGTTTAATCTACTTTGTAGTTAAGGTATTGTTTATTCCATTTTCTTTTTTAATCTCTTCTCCAAACTATTACATTATCATCCCAACTCCCCACCGAAAAAAACATATCTTCTTTGTTACTATAAAGAATATTAGATACACAAGATTAGTGTCCTTATAAAACTTATTCTACTCTTAAAGTCTCATTTTGATATTCACAAACTAAAATTTCAAAACCAGAGCCCAACACCCAAATATCATTGGATTTATTAAAACCAAAAGCTTTACACTATTTAAAGTGTTCTAAACTATTGATTAAGTTATAAGCATTTTCACATTCCCTTGAGATGGTTTCTTAACTAATTTTAGAAGATTCAATATCAATTGTTATATCCGAGCACATTTTATAAACTGACATCAAGATTAAATTTATAAATAATTAATAGGTTAGATCAAATAAAAGTTGAATTTAACTTAAAAATGCTACATATTATTGAAAACCAAACAACTAAAATATTATTTAATATCATTTGAACTAACTAAGTAGAAAATAAATTTAATTTTATTTATATTAAGATACATACACAGATTCTCAATTATAATATAATCCATTTTCAATTTCGATTCAAATTTTTTTTTTGTTTATAATTTTTCCTCTCTTTTTTTTAATTTATCATTCAATTTATATTTAAAATAGAGAAAGAGATAATTTAAAGTGTTTATTTTCAAAAAACAACCTGTAAATAAAAAACACTGTAAAGCAGATTGAAAATATTTATTATTTTAAAACAGTTTTATAAATATAAAAAATGTAAAAAGAACTTAATCTTCTTCTTTAATTTTACATATATATATATAGTAGAATAAGTTAATAATATATAAATTATATGATAGTATTAATTTAAATCTTTATCAATATTTAATAATTTTATTATTCTAGGCTATTTTGATATAAATAATTTTAAAATATCATATCACAATAATCATCAAAGTAGTGATAACAGCAAAGATTCCTATAAAAGTCCAACCAAAAATTTTTGCTTTATCTTCATAACTACCTGAATTCATTGGTGTAACAATAGCTAATGAAAGGAAAAAACCTGTAATAAATCCTCCAATTTAAGCATATTTATCATTATGATTTGTGTTTATAGCAGATAAAGTGATGACTAATCCAAAAGTTAATAGAATCCACATAAAACAACATAAAAATGTTCTGAATTCATTTTAAACTTCAAGTGAAGACCAATTTAAAATAACACACTAAAATTATAAATAGAATAATACTCCAAAGAATGCACCAACTAAACCATATATTGCAGTATTTGCATGTAAATAAATTGCATCTGTACAACAATTAATAGAACTTCCAAATAAAGCCCCCATTGCTCCACTAGATATATATAATGAAATCGCAATAATTGGACCTGATGCATATTCAAAACTGGACAATAATATCAGCAAAAAGAAAATAATACAAAAATAGTGATAAAAATCTCTACTTAAGAATATGCTTGTAAATAATTGTTAAAACATGAACTCATTCTTAATTTGATTAGTAACTAAACCTCCATAATTTAAAAGTGTAGCATCATTAATTTCTAGAAATTATCCTTATTTTTCTATTCCTCCAAAAATACAGAGTGTAAATAGTAAAGTATAAGCAAATATCACTAAAGTTGTTGCAGATTGTATTTTGTATCCAGGAAAAAAATTGTTTTATAACATTTCATAGTAATGCAATTATCTGGGATTCGTTTTTTTAACTTAAGCTCCTAATTTACTCAATATAGAAATAACCAATAAGTGGAAATCGTTTTATACTCTCTCCAAAAAGGTCGTGCAATGTTCTTGGTTGCCTTCTTTATTAATAATCAGGTTGATATTCACCATAACCATGTAAATTTGCCATTTTATTATTTATATTAATTTTAATTTAATGTCAGAAGTAGAAGAAATTAATTTGGAATCAAAAATTAAAAAGCCAAGACATTAGAGATAGTAAAATAAATCTAGACGCATTTATAAATAAAAAAATAAGTTTAATAGACCAAGAAATAATTCATAAAATAGAAATAGAGATAGACAAAGAAGAAATGATTGGAAATAATAAAATGGAGCCAATACAAGAGATTTATATGAGATTGATATTTATAACTTTCTAGCTAAGAATTAAATATCTGACCTTATAGTATAAAAATTGCATAAGCTTAGAGTGATATTAGATCTAGATGTGGTAACTTGGTTAAACTTCATATTATTGCTAATAATATTTAAGAAAATGAGGCAGAAACTAAAGTATGTATTTACTTCATTATAGGTAGTTTTGAAAGCTTTTTTCAAAGATTAAAAATCAGCAGATGAATGCTAATTTCAATACAACGATGCCAAACTTGATGATTTATCATTAAGAACAGAACGTAAATATTGATATAAAAAATTATATATAAAATGAGATAAATATATGAATTTATTGTAATTCATATAGTTTTCTATGTGGTTTCTGTGCATAATGACTTAAAATAATAAGAATTTGTATATGATAATATATATTTTAGAATCCAAAAGACATTTATTAAGTGTGGATGCTATTAAATATGTTCTTTGCTTCCATTTATATTATTACTAAAAAACTTACTTTATTTCTTGTCTTTCTACTTTAAAGCTATATGTATATTTACTTAAGCAAATATAATCCTTATTATGTTTAAGCAGCAACTGTATTAATTCCTATAGCCTTAATTGATAAATCTAATCTTCTAATAATATTGAATTAAATTGGAGCTTTTTTAATCTCTGGACCATACAATCACAATTAATAGATTTTATTTGTATTTTTAATTATAGTTTTGGCAGCTTATATTTATGCTAAATAGCATGTTGAAGAAATTTTAACGAAAGTAGTTATTTTTAAATAAGTAGAAAAAACAAAAAGTTGATTAAGATGAAAAATTTTTATAGGAATTACCATTTCCATTGTTTATTGTTAACATCAAGTCTCAAATTCATTGGTCAAACAAAATGGCTAGAGAATTGACAGTTAATTGTGGAGTTAAATAGGGAGGGTCATTAAAATAGATTTTTTAAGATTAAGATTTATTTTTATAATACTTAAATTAAGATTCAAAAGAATTAATAGTTTAAATGAATACAGTTTTAATTTAATAGTCTCTTGAATAAAGTTCACTCATTTAATCGAATAAAAATCTTCCATAATAATAATAATAATAGCCTCAAAATGCATAAGTAAGTAATGATCATAAAATGGCTAAATTTTAAAGTTAAAAAGAAGACAATCTATAAAAATCAATTCATAAATATTTAAACATAGCATGTTTGACATTGAATTCTCTAAGAATAACAGAATAAATTTAAAAAGAAGTATAATCTTTATTAAATTTTAGATATTAACAGTTTTAATTAAGCCATTTAAAATTAATTAAATGAGATTATTTATGATATGCATAAATGCTAACAAAACATTTTAGTAAAACAAAGTACTTTAAAATCATTTAATATAATAAATTAAATAAAAGTAAATGCCTCTATATCATATATAGTGGACAATAAATGTTGGTTAGTTTACAATAAGATTATCAAAAATGGGATAATATGAGAAGTTTAGAAATAATTAGAGAATCAGATTTAAAAGTGATATCTTAATCGATTGTAGATTTATATAAAATCATTTTTGAATTTGAAACATATGAAGTATCAACAAGCTTCTTTCCGTAATCTAATTTAATTAATTTTCAATGTAAAATATCATTTATATTATAGTCAAAGGATTAGTAACCTACTTAATTGAAGTATTTGCTGGTAGATATTTATAAAAGTTTACAAGCATAAACCTTTATTTTGATAATAGTATTTAAGATAAAATGAAAGGAAATTCTACTAATTTTTCATTAATTTTTATGAGTATTTTAGAGTTAATAGCTAAATATTCTGGAGATAAAAAGCCTTCTTTAAAAATTAATTGTAATTTAGATTAAGTCACTGATTAAAATAAGGCATATTAAATTTAATTGTAATTTCTATGGAGGCAAGATGATGAATTAGATTAGATATTTAAAGATTTTTTTCATCAATAAATGATGCCTATGAATGTTGATCCATAAGTTTAACGTTATTTGATGACAATAAAAAGATTATAGAGTTATTCTGCTATGAAAATATTTTATATAGAATAATCAGTAGAGTCTATTGAATTATTAAGTGAATTACATATTTTTGTTGATTTTTACATAAGTGATTCAGAAGAATCAAATTAATAGGTTTATTAGCCACCTTAATTATAAATAACTTTTAGTAGAGAATTTGTTGGATAGAATCCAAATGAAATAATGTGGCAACCTAAAAAATAACCATAAGTGATTATTGATAAAAATCATTAAGCAATAATTAGACCAATAAAACAAATGCCTCCTAATTTTTTTAATAAATCAAATCTACCTCTTAATGTTGAAGCTAAATTACCTAAAAATTAAGATGAGAATATTTCAGATGAAGTTGCTATTTAAAAAAAATAATAAGTTATTAGAGAATTAATTTAAGCTTAATTTATTAAGGTAGCTCCACGTCTTTCTGAAAAGATAGCTTATTTGGTTAAAAAGAAATTAGAAAGTTAAGCTAATAAATTTGAAGACATTCATTTTGTAGAAGATCTTGAAAATAACGTAGATAGAGAAGATTAAGGTGAAGAAAATGAAGAATAATCTGAATATGGAACTAGTGATGGAATTAAAGGAAATAGTTATGATGATGAAGGTTAATCTCAAACTACCCCTAACCTTGATTCTGTTCCTGCTAATAGACGACATATGAACTTTCCATTTTAAAATGAATTTTCAAATAGTGATTCTAGAGCAACAAATTAAATGCTCTAAGCATCCGATTTGTCAATTATTACTTACAAAAAATTAAAAATTGATTCTATTACTGAAGAAATCAAATCCAATTAGACTGAAACTGCTGATTTTAGTTAAATTACTATGAATGAATAGTTTATTCAAAAAATAGCAGAAGCTTTGGAAAAGAATAGTTCTCTAAAAACATTAAAATTTATTAAGTGTGACCTTAGTGATTAGATACTTATAAAAATTTTAGATTCTATTGCTAAAACTTAGTAAAACAATCATTTAAAATAGGATTGAAAGCTTGCATTTATAACACAATTTATTATAGGAAAAAGCATTGAATTATCTAATTAGTTTAAAATAAGCTTAAAAAGAATATCCTGTAAAAGAAATACAATTTCATAGTAATTTAGTGAAAGAGATTTAAATTAGCAAAGAGAAAGCGTAATTATCAAATTTAGGAATAAAAGTTGTTATTGGTTGAGTTTTTTATTAATATTATAAATTAAAATAAAACTGATGGACTCCTCAGATGAAGAAAAGCAAGTAGATCTTCCACCCATTAGAGTTAGAAGTTCAGAATTGAATCAAAAATAGATGAAAGATATCTTATTATGTAAGCCAACTATTTATAATAATCTTTTAGGCTTAGATAATTTATTCAAAAAATATACATTAGACAAGGATATTTGTGTTGAATTAGTCAAATTTATGAAATCTAAACCAGAATACAAGAAATGTATATGCTTTGCCTATATATTTTAGTGGGTGATGGGGAATGGTAATGCATAATAGGATCTAACTTTGGATGTTCCTTAAGTTATGATTTGGGACTTTTAACTTTTTTTGATTTTTTATCTAACGGGAAATCAATACTCCTCTTTAAGTCAGGATGATATAAATATAATATCAAGATTAATATATGATATCAATTATGATAAAAAGCATTATTAAATTTTTTTTTGTTTTCTATTTCTTTGTACTTAATTTCTTTAGTAATTATTCAATTTCGTGATTCAAATTCCTTCATAACAATAGAATATCAAATTAAAATAAGAAAAAAAATTTCATTGTATTTTATGTAAAAATTCTTCTTTTGCTCCTTCAAAATTTTATGATTTTAATAAAATTCCATATAAGAACTATAAAAAATGAAATGCATTGTTAATTATCAAATGACAATATAATTCTAAAATTAATAAAAATAACTTATAAAATAATCTTTTTTTTCACTTTCTATAAATCAAAAATTAAACTATAAGTTTATAAATAAAAAACAAACTAATTAGAGAGAATTAAACTTGATAAAATTTTAATCAACTAAAATTATAATCATTTTTTTAGTAATTCCAATTTTATTTAAATTTTTAAGGTAGTATTTCTTTTTTTCTGTCAATAAAAAATGTTTGACTTTTAAATATTGATTCTATTTAAATCATTGATATTTTTGAGAATGGGATAAGTTAGGTATTTGATCAAATCCTGTAAAGTTGTATAAGATATTTAGTAATAATTAATGATAAAAATTTGATAAATTAATTGGATCTATAATTTTAGAAGGATGGGCATATAATATTATTATAAAAAATCTTTGTTGGGTAAAAAGATAATTCTAAAAAATAAGATAAGAATTTTTTAAAGAATTTATCATATGTTTAGGAGTTATCTAAAATTAATTATAAAATTATGATCATTCATTATAAATGGTTAATTCAAATATGATGAAAAGATAAAGAATTGAATTATTATATAGCTTAGAAAATAATTATTTTTTTATGTAGATTAACTAGTTATCTGAGGAATGTCATAAAATTTGTAATTGAGAATGGGAGATAAAAGAGAGAGAAGAGAAATATATTTCTATAAATAAATCAGCAATAAATTAATTTAGTGGATGTATAAAGGTTTAAAGTAAAATTTATGTCAAACATAAATTTTATTTTTGTTTGTAAATGTCATAGCTAAAACTTCAAGTAAAAGGATAAAATATTTTAGCACTGCTCTAGTTCATGTGTTTAGAGTTCTTAATGTAAGATTGAACCAATGATACATGGAAAGTAGACAGATAGGATAAGTGCATAGCAATAGGAGAATTTAATAAATTTGGGGAATTCAGATTAGAAGAGAAGAAACACTTATGCTGGTGATCGTTTTATTCCAATGATAAAGAAGAAATTCAATATTCTATCAGAAACAAAGGCTCCTGCTTAAGATATAGCATCATCATAAGCAGCCTTAGAAATGCTATATAAACAATAAATTCTTGATTAGGAGCCAGTGATGGAACCAGAGAATGGTTCATTGAAGTTTGTGAATCAAAATAATTTTTAATACAAGAATGATCATGTTCATTATATAGATTCAATAGATCCAAAAAATTACAATAGGTAATTAAATTTATAAAATAATAAAAAGTCCTTTAGTAGATCATAAATACTTTGCATTGCCAGAGACAATGTCAAGTTATTATGGGAAATATATAAGAAAGATAGCAAAAGTTCCATTTAAAGTTTTAGATGCTCCATAATTATAAGATGATTTCTATTTAAATTTGATAGATTGGAGTAATTAAAATACACTTTCAGTGGCATTGAGTAATTGTGTATATTTATGGTAAAATAATATGATAAAAATTAGGAATGCTTAATCATCTAAAGTAACAAAATTACTTGATTTAAGTAATGATATAGTGACTAGTGTAGGATGGTCATTAAGAGGTCCATTTTTAGGAGTTGGAACAAATAATGGAGAAGTATAAATATGGGATGCATGTAAATTATAAAAAGTAAGAACTTATAAAAGTCATGTTGCAAGAGTAGGTACTCTATGTTTTGCTGAAAGTATGTTAAGTAGTGGCTCAAGAGATAAATCAATATTATAAAGAGATTTAAGATAAAAGGAGGATTACTTTTTTAAATAGACTGCTCATAAATAAGAAGTTTGTGGATTAAAATGGTCACCAGACAGTTAATTATTAGCTTCAGGAGGAAATGATAATAAACTTTATATTTGGAGTGCATCATAACATGACAAACCTATATTTAAATTTACAGAACATTAAGCAGCTGTTAAAGCTATAGCTTGGAGTCCTCATCAACATGGATTATTAGCAAGTGGAGGTGGAACTGCAGATAAAACTATTAGATTTTGGAATGCTTTAGAAGGAAAATTATTATTAAAAGAAGACACTGGAAGTTAAGTGTGTAATTTGATGTTTAGTAAAATGGATAATGAATTAATTTCTACTCATGGTTACAGTTAACATTAGATTATACTTTGGAAATGTAATGGAATGAAAAGAATTGCTACTTTGGTTGGGCACACTAGTCGGTAATTATCTTATTAAATTTTTAGAGTTCTATATTTAGCAATGTCTCCTGATGGCTATACCATTGTAACTGGAGCGGGAGATGAAACATTAAGATTTTGGAACATCTATCCTTAATGTCTTAGTGAATCATAAAATAATAAATGCGCATTGGTTCCATAAAATATCAGTATACGTTGACATGATTAACTTTTATATACTCAATTTTTTAATTATTAATGATGATGCTAATCTTTCTTCTCTGGTTCCACATATAAGTGATCATATATAACAGCATGATTTGTTAATTCATCTAAGAGTTACATCAAACCCTTCTTCTTAAAATTGCAATATCTACCCAAAGGCTGAGGTTTATCTATGTTTATTCCTAATGCTATGTCTTTTCTAATCTGTAAAATAGTTGTAGTTTCAACTACAAATTAATCTACTATAAACTCTATTGGCTCTATATTCTAATTATTATATAANAGGAATGCTTAATCATCTAAAGTAACAAAATTACTTGATTTAAGTAATGATATAGTGACTAGTGTAGGATGGTCATTAAGAGGTCCATTTTTAGGAGTTGGAACAAATAATGGAGAAGTATAAATATGGGATGCATGTAAATTATAAAAAGTAAGAACTTATAAAAGTCATGTTGCAAGAGTAGGTACTCTATGTTTTGCTGAAAGTATGTTAAGTAGTGGCTCAAGAGATAAATCAATATTATAAAGAGATTTAAGATAAAAGGAGGATTACTTTTTTAAATAGACTGCTCATAAATAAGAAGTTTGTGGATTAAAATGGTCACCAGACAGTTAATTATTAGCTTCAGGAGGAAATGATAATAAACTTTATATTTGGAGTGCATCATAACATGACAAACCTATATTTAAATTTACAGAACATTAAGCAGCTGTTAAAGCTATAGCTTGGAGTCCTCATCAACATGGATTATTAGCAAGTGGAGGTGGAACTGCAGATAAAACTATTAGATTTTGGAATGCTTTAGAAGGAAAATTATTATTAAAAGAAGACACTGGAAGTTAAGTGTGTAATTTGATGTTTAGTAAAATGGATAATGAATTAATTTCTACTCATGGTTACAGTTAACATTAGATTATACTTTGGAAATGTAATGGAATGAAAAGAATTGCTACTTTGGTTGGGCACACTAGTCGGTAATTATCTTATTAAATTTTTAGAGTTCTATATTTAGCAATGTCTCCTGATGGCTATACCATTGTAACTGGAGCGGGAGATGAAACATTAAGATTTTGGAACATCTATCCTTAATGTCTTAGTGAATCATAAAATAATAAATGCGCATTGGTTCCATAAAATATCAGTATACGTTGACATGATTAACTTTTATATACTCAATTTTTTAATTATTAATGATGATGCTAATCTTTCTTCTCTGGTTCCACATATAAGTGATCATATATAACAGCATGATTTGTTAATTCATCTAAGAGTTACATCAAACCCTTCTTCTTAAAATTGCAATATCTACCCAAAGGCTGAGGTTTATCTATGTTTATTCCTAATGCTATGTCTTTTCTAATCTGTAAAATAGTTGTAGTTTCAACTACAAATTAATCTACTATAAACTCTATTGGCTCTATATTCTAATTATTATATAAATATATACTGGCTGAATAAGACCACAACTAACTGTTTATTTCCAATCAAATTCCACTTCTGAATACACTATCACTATCTCTAAACTATTCGAATTTGTATCCTTCTGAAATGAGAATACTAATCTATTATTGATGACATTTTGAGTCACTCTAAAATTTCAATATATTTATTTACTATTATTTTGTATGTCTTTTTATATCATCATATGCTGAAGTCTTAATCGATTCAATTATCTTACGAGATGAAAGTATACTATAAGAATAACTACCAAAAATACTCAAATAACTAGGTTAATCTGCACTCTTCTTAAAAACATCTATATTTTCATAAATTTCTGTTGAAGTACTCACTTACTTTATTGCATCTTTAATTTAACCAACCATTGCTACAGGATTACTTTACAATTGTTTTATTAATTCTTTATTTGCCATTCCAAAATAACAATTAGATATTATTCTATTATATAATCCAATCTTCTCTGTCTTAAACTTTTTAATTTTCTCTTATAATTCAAAATTTATTGCATCTAAAGCAGCCATATTCTTCTCCATATTATATAAGTATTTATAGACTGATATCAATCTATCTTAAATCGATAATCTTAATTCTCTTAATACTTTCTTACTTTCTTTTGATTTTGCTAATTTCTAATCTTCAAGTACTTCATCTGATTATTCTATATTAAATTACACTTTCTCATAAAATGCCTTCTCAAATTCTTTCAACTTCATAATATTACCAAAAGTTCCTTATTCTTTTTGCATTGAAGCCTTCTTTTTCAATATAGTTGTTACTTCATTTGAACCTCCTAAAAAATCATCAAAATCTTTCTTATTTTTAAAACAAGAAACTATTCTAATTAATAAGGCTGATAAACTTACAGGATTCCACTAATCAAATCTATGAAAAGGTGGTTAATCTTCTGTTTTTAAAAAAGATTCAATAGCATAACATCCACAATCATTACAATGTCTTAATGATAAAGACATTGTTGTATAATACAATTATCTTGTTTTTAGTTTCACTTAAATTCTATCTTATCCAGAATTTTCATCTGGTTCTTTTTCTGTCAAATAACTAATTGGCTACTCCTTGATGTTTTTTGCAAACTATTCCATTAAATCTTGGTTTTCTGCTTAAACATATTTTATTTTTTAAATATTTTCTACAATGGATTTAGTAGCCCAATAAATTGACTTTACCCTTGGTATTATTATATCATCACTATAATCTATAGCATGGAAATAAATATCCTTTATTTTATTTACTTCATTTTTTGATATATATTTGCTAGCACTCTAAATCTTTTCTTATAATTTATTTGATTAAACTCCATTTGTTGTACTTGCTCCATATGCTATTGCATTAAATGCTGTTGTTCTTCTAGGTGCATGATTAACGAATATTTCTGCGATGTTTTACCATAATGGTGCATTCTCAGGTTCTTCTTCTTTATCATTTATAAAATATTCAAACATTTCTAAAAAACATTTTATATTCAAAAAATTTGATTCTGCTTTCTAATCTAATGTTTTCTCTTATTCTAATTTTTATGATGATTCTATGAACATGTTTTGATAATTTTAGTAATATAAGCCAAGCATTCTACATTAGATTTGTTCTACTTGCTAATTATTCTTTTAAAAAAAAGGTTTAACTACTTCATAAGTTTTTAAAAATAATTCCCTTACTGCAACTGGGATATCAAATTGACCTGGTATATCTTAAGGCAAGAAAGTTGTTAATTTGGGTGCGAATTCATCCCAAAACCCTTTGATAAACTCTACTCTTTCTTAAAAAAACTTATTTTCTTGGGGACCATCAAATCTAGGAAGTAATACATCACAACCAGGATTTGAGAGATGGTTCGAACTAAATACTAAAGCAACAGGTTTTAGATTTTTAGCTATACCACTCGTTAATTTATTTTCTATAGTTTTTATAGATGTTTCTATTAGTTTCAGATTAGTTGTTATGCATTAACCAAATTAGCCTTGAAATAAGATGAATAAATTAGTAAAAGCATATAAAGATGGTTCATTTGTTTCTTTTTAATTGAAGATTAATTTTTTATTGGATAAGCTCTACAATTCTATTCGGAGTATTTGAATCAAAAGATTGATTAGTATTCTATACTTTCTTTTATCATTAGAAATATCTCCAAAAGTATCCATAACTAAATCAACAAAGTTTTTTTTGCTTATTCCTCCATGTTTAAATATATTTATAAAATAACAAGGGTGTAATTAAAGCATGGTAAACATAATTTTATAGCATAATGAACAATTATAATAAGCCTCATGTTTTTTGGTTTTTTTTTCATTTTTTTTATCCTTATCTTTTTCTTCAGTTTTAAATTATATATCAAAAGGTTTGCGTTAAATTTTATTGATGATAGTTAACATAGCTTCATCCTTAAACTTCTTAAATTCTTGGAGATGAATATCTTTGATTTCTTGGTAGAGTCTCTAGTTCTCCTAATCTAATTCTAAAATTGCTTCATAGACATCATCTACAGGTTTTTCTTCAAAAAAATTTACTCTTTTAGAATTAACAACTCGTTCTGGATCATCTCCTTTGTTAACATATGAACATCTATAAATATCAGGTTTTGACTCATTAATAAATTAATCCCAGGACTATTTGTAAATCAATTTACCCTCTTCAACCATTCCTAATGAAGCACCAATGAAGACTCTTTTACTTAAAGGACGCTTTGACTTTTTTTAAATATTCAATTAAATTTATTCAGCATTCATTCCTGTTTTTTTCTAATCTTTTCTTTTAAACTCTTCTTCAAATTCATCTTCATCCTCATCAGCCTTATCTGCCTATAATTGCATTAATTGATATAATTTGAAATTGTAATCAAGATATTGATTAATGAATTAAAGAGGTTATGGTTTATCAAAGAGAACTTTCAATGTATCAAAATTTTCTTTTTTAACTTACTATTAATTTTTATTCTGTAATTACATTTCATTTTCTTTATCTGGATTTATAAATTCATATCCTAAGCCCAATCTGCCAGTCATTCCATCATAACCCCATGAAAATAATTCCTTTTTCTCTTAATTTTCAGTTAAGGCAACAGCATGATTAAAACTACAACTAACCGAAGTAAATTAGATATCACTTAAAGGAGTATTTACAATATTGGTCATAAGAACTTCAACATATTTCTCCCTTTATGCAGCATTAGCACATTGATTTTTTAGTTTTTCTTAGAAATCATAATCAAACAATCCCCAAACAAAAGCTTTATTCTATTTACTTATAGCCATATTATAACGATCTCCTAAACAAAGACTCTTATATTTTCTAGTAGCTAAATCATTATGTTTAATGGGAGATACTATATAGTAAGGTTCTGCTTCCTAATCTTTATCAGATTTTAAATGTTATTTATCATCGGTATCATCTTCTGGTTTAGCTATTCCTAAATAAGAACCAACACCCCAAACAACAATTTAATCATCAATAGTTAAAGCTCCTGAATGATTAGTACCTGCTGAAACATCTTTAAATGAATATTTAGTTTATAATAATTTAGGATAATATTAATTATCTAAATTACCATGTCCTAATTTACCTCCATATCCATTTCCCCAAGTATATATTACATATTTTTAAGTATTGTCTTCTTAATTCTTTTCGTTAGCTTTCGTTTTGATTACTCTTTCATTATACTTTTTATCAACTACTAAAGCCATTGAATGATGAGGACCAACACCTACTTTAGCAACATCTTAAATAAATGGAACTTTCTGAGTTTATAAAACAACTGAATTTTTAGGTCCCAATCCTAATTTTCCATCTACGGGAGAACCTACTGCATATAATGAACCACCTTCATCTAAAATTAACGTATGATCTTCTCCACATGCTACCTATTTTACCATAAATCCTTCCAAATCTGTCAACATTGAAGGAGACTCAACAAAATCACTTACAAATCCTAAACCTAATTAACCCTTATCATTTTTTCCCCAAGAATAAATATTACGTCTATTCTCTACTACTACTACATATTCTAAACCTGTTGCCAAATAAGTTACTCTTTTATTCTCTCTTATTGAAAATGTTAATACTTAACTTGGATATGAAGCATCTGATATTGTTTCCTTTACAAAAGGACCTATAAACTTTGTTCTTGATTTTACTTATTCTATTATTTAATCATCTTTCAAACCATGTTACATACATTTATTACTTCCCCAAACCCAAACTTCACCTGCATCAGTTAATGCTACTGTATGATAGGCTCCACATTTTACATCTACAATATAAGAAGAAGCCTTTATTTCTTTTTGTAATTTATTTATAAACTCAGTGCAATGCATCCCAAAAAACTAAAACTCTTCATTTATATTCTTTGGTTCTATCAAAGATTAAAGTAAATCTGGTTTTATAGTATTCAAAACTTCATTTAATTTATTTTATCCCATTTCCTCTCCCTCATCATCATCTCCTTATTTATAATCATCATTCATTGAATTGTTAGTAAGATAATTCTTTGGTAGTAATTCAGCCTATAAATCTCTACCTAGAATTCCTTTGAATGGAAGACCAAAAGAGATAATCGATCCACTTTATAATAATGCTAATCCATAATGGTAAGACAATGCTAATTAATAAATAAACTATTATTTAGATTTAAAGTAATTAGTGTCAATTCTTTAAGGTTCTGGATAATTACTTCCAAATTCATCCTTAATACCTAATCTACCTTTTGAATTAGATCCAAATGCAAAAGTTAATCTTTCTAATGTTGTGATAAAAGTTGTGTTACCACCACATTTAGCATAAACAGCATAAAAATTTTATATAGAATGAACTTTAATTGGTTCCCATCTATCTTAAAAATCTCCAGTTCCTAATTAACCATTCTTATTAAATCCAAATGTATGTGCATAACCATCAGTAGTTGTACATGCTGTATGCATAGCCCCACATGATACATATTCAACAACTTTTCCTACAACTGATCCTGCTTCAACACAATTAGGTATATTAGAACTCTTATTTGTACCATGTCCCAATTATCCATAAGTTCCTACTCCCCATGTATATAATGAGCCTGCTCCTTCAGATATACTAGCAGCATGAGATGGACCAGCAGATATAAATTTCATTCTGATTTTATCAAAATCAATTCTTGTTGGTCTCTATTAATCTACTTGCATAGGTAATCCTAAACAACCAGTAGCACCTTCTCCCCATGAATATACTGATCCATATATATCTAAGGCTAATGTGTAATTTGCTCCACATGATATTTAACAAACTTTTTAAATGCTTTCTACAACTCCTTTAATTCTAAAACATTCTTCCTATTCATTATAATCATCTTCATCATCATCTTCTTATTCACCTTCTTCTATTTCTTCTTAAGATTATTCTTTATCTGTCATTCTTCCTTGTTATCCAAATTCATCACTACCACTTGAAAATATAACACAATCATCATAACGAAGACTTTTAAAACCTAAGTCATAACTAAAATTATCATCCATATGTTAAGCATTTTTAAAGATCTCTTAAAATAAATCTTGACTGCATCCTAAAATCATACTATGTTGATTCCCACAAGCCACCTACAATGGAACATATGGTTTCTATTTATGTTCTAAATATATTTTCACTGGAGATGATTAAATTTCTTAATCAACGCTTTCTGGTTTGCCTAATGCTTAAAATTCATTGCTTCCCCAACCCCATAATTAAAATGTTTATGGAGCTGTATTCTTATCTCCTTCACTTTAAATGGCTAAACAATGATTTACTCCTGCTGCCAAACGAGCAAATAATAAATCAGGATTTATTCGATTATTCACTTATAATTTCATTATTATAATTATTCACAATTATATTGTTTTCAAGACATATTATTCATATTTAAAGAAAAAAATTTTAATTTCTCATTCAAACTAATCATGTCAGATTAAGATGAAAAATATGATTTAATTGAAAATTTTTAAAAACTAAGTCAAACCTAAAGTAATGAACAAAATAGAATTTAAGATATTACAGATTAATTCAACAAAGTAAATATTTAAAGCGATCCATAAAAAAATTAAAGCTCACATAAAACTTCTGAATTCTTTTAAAATCCTTTAAATTAACTTGATAGTAGTTCTATTCAATCCAACATTATATAAGTTGATAAAAGATACTTATTTCCAGAACATACAAATATTGTCACTTATTTATCTGAAAATACCAAGTTTATAAAAGAAAAATATGTTGAACACTGTATGGATAATTTATAATCCATTTAAGAATTTGTCGAGAATCATAGATAAAATAAGAAAAAACAATAAAGTAATTTTACAAAAAAAAAGGATGATAATAGCAATTAAAAAATTACTAATATACAAATAACTGAATTTAATTAACAAACTTCTCAAAATGTTACGCAGCCTGATTTTTAAGAAATGAGTCATTAATAAAATTCAATTAATAAAAATAAACCTAATATCATCAAATTTAAAGAGGATCCTTTATTTTAATAAAAGTTTACTGTAACATAAAAAATATTATAAACTTTATCAAAATTTGATATATAATCGTCAACAAAAAAAGTTTCCTTCCTTGAGGATGCCTTGATAATTTGTTTAGTATTTTAGAAATTATAAGATGAAAACAATAGATCATAAGACTAATATATTTATATTTAATAACAACATAATTATTAAAGATCATTTTCAGCTTTTGCAACTAGGTAATATTCGTGACTATTTTAGAATCAAAGTAGTGCGTAATTTATATCATGAGTGGACTTTAGAAAATCTAGAGTATATATTAAGAGTACTTAGAGAATTACCTAAAAAAACCCTTCAAGATTACACTTTAATTTAATAGAATTCTATCAAGCTACCTAAAATAAAATGATAACTATTTTTATTCATTTATTTTATAGTATTTAGCAACCAAATATATTTTATTTTATTAAATGGATATTTAAGATAAACATAAAGTGAACTCTATTCTTTCAAAATCTCCTCTCACAATTACAAAGCAAGAATTTCATCAAGTTAGCGAATTAATCTTAGAATATAAATTGAATGGTTTTGTTATGGTATTATTACGAATGCAAGAGTATTATTTATATTTTGACATTCCATTATCAATTAAACATAATATAGATTTATTATCATATATGGACTAAGAAAGAATCAATTTTTTTGAGCTTATTGGATATACATACTTTAACTATGGAACATACCTTAACTTTTATTAGAATCTAGTTTTATTTAAGTATAAATAAATTACTAGGTTGACCTAATAAAACTCAATTCTTTTACATAAGGTTATTGGTGATATTGTTGCTTCAGTTTGGTGGCATTATGAATTTTTCAAATAAACTACCCACTGTTTATTTGGAAATTAATACTGCAAGTTAGTAAAAATAATTTAGAATGAATAAAATGGAAAAAATGAATAGATGAATCTACAAGAATACTCAAAATTATCAAAATATTTTTAACTTATTATTAGTAATTCATTAAGTTATAATTTGAACGAAACCTAATTATCATAAGATGCTGATGAATTTATTTAGATTTTATTAAAGAAAGATGAGTTAAAGTTTTTAGATATCTTAATTTATATATAATAGACTTCATCAATTTCACTTAAAAAAAGATTAATCTATTATAAATTACTATTCTATTATTGGTTAATAAGTAAATAGTCATAATTGTCAAGAGAAACTTAATAGAAGTAAAAAACAATTCTCTCTAAATCTACAATATAATATAGAAATACTTAATCCCAAAGCACATCAAGAATATTTGGAAATTAATAATAATCCGGAATATTTTGTTCTTCCATTATGGGCTCTAGAATTCAGTCACATTTATCCAGCAGTTCTATACGCTTCAAAAAAACTTCAAATTAAATTAAACAATATTTGTAAGAAAATGTCATCAATTTAGAAGAATCACTATAAGATTCAGAATTATCTATTTAATTTGATTAATACAATGAACATTTTTAAAATTTAATAGAGGGTCTGTCAATTTATGAAATTAATAATTGGAGCGATTTAGTTGATTTGTCCGATTAAAGCATTTAAATTTTGAAATCAGTTTTAGAAATCATTAATATTGAAAAACTTGTTTAAGCTTATTCTGATAAATATATCTCTTTAAAATCCTATTGTTTGATAATAAATAGTACTGAAAATTTTAATTAACATGTCTAATTTATTGACTAGTTAGCAAATAAAACTTAATATTACTAATTTCCAAACCCAACAGAATAATTTTATATTTTTTATGACTACATTAAAACCAAACCTTAAATAGAATAAATCGAAATTATTGGATTAATCGGTCTTAGATTATAATTTACTAAATCATAGGTAAATACTTTTTATAGATGTTTACAATTAGAAGTATAAGATCATTTTACAGTAACAGAAGCTGCAATTAGATTAAAAAGTATTCAAACTACATAAAATTGTTTGAAGAATAGAGATTGGTTATCATAAATCAATTAAGAGGACTGGCTTATGTTAAAAGGAATAGTATTTTAGTAATGTTTAATTGATATTTTTTATCTTATAGTTTAGTGTTGTTTTGAATAATAAATATATTTAAATACCTGGCATATAATTTTGAAGAACCTATTTTAAATAATAATTGTAAGCCAATCAAAAGATATTTTATTACATTTCTTTTAATTTGTGATTTCTAATGAAGGAGATTTTTCAAGTTTTATAAATTTATTTTTGGTGACTGAGCCGCCTAAATTTTAAAATACTTAGTTTTAAGATGTGTTAAATTTTGTTGAGAGAATACTGATTTTAGAAAATCTAAATAAAAAAATTAACATTCTAAAAGGTTTTCAGGTAGTATATCCATTTCCTTAAATATTTTATATAGATTTTATTATCAATAATATTAGCGAAAGTTCTAACAGTCTTATTTCATACATTAAAATAAAATATAATTAACACAACGAAGAATTATTGTCATAGATTTGTTTTATTTTGCATTAATCTGATTAAGAATTTTATTCTAAATTTATATCTCCTGAAGATACCCCTGGATTAGATTTACAATTTTAGGTGGAATCACAATTAAGCTAACAATAAGCTCTATTATTTCATTAAAAAATTGTAAAATAACTAAATTTACCTCTTAAAGAAGATGTAATAAACAGTATTTAAAACTATCTTAATCCTTTGAAAGGTAATTGCAAATCTGTAATAAAGGAATTAGATTAGAATATTTTCATTCATTAAATTAGAGAAATCTAAGATTAACAAATCCTTGAATATGTTCTTAATCATAAATAATATATTGAAAAATCTGTCGATAAAAAGGTATCCTACGCTAAGTTTCGAATCTAAAAAAAGCTATAATAAATAGATAATTTAATAGATAAATATCAAAAATATTTGTTAAGTGTAAAATAAATAAATAAAAAAATGAAATTTCCACAACGATCAAAATATTATGTTAAATAAGAATATCATAATTTAATTGAACCTGATTCTCTCATTTATATCATATTAAATGAAATACTTTTGGTTTAAAGAAATATATTAAGTTACAATTTAATCAATTCTGATTATTAAGAAATTTTTGTAATTCCTAAAGTAGATAATGATGGTGATAAAAGTTTAAATGATTCATAGATTAATGAAGGATCTCAAAGGAAATTAATTTAAGAAATAATTTAGTATTATATAAAAATTGGAGAGACAGAAAAAATACCAATTTTAAAAAATTTCTTGGAATAATTGGAAAGTGAGATGAATAAATATTTTCAAGAATTAAAGTAATTTAAAGAGGATATAATAATTAAAGATCTTGATGATTAGATAAATGAATTTAGAAAAATTTAGATTGGTTGCGCTGAATAATGTCCATTTTGCGGTAGAAAATGTGATTAGAATGTTTTAAAAAAACATAGACATAAATGTTCTACTGGTCATTAAATTAGAAGTAATGATTATTTAAATAAACTATTTTAGGTATGAAAGGAATTTTAATAGACAATAAATTATCATTGTTAACTTGTGAAGAATGGCAGGATGATTATAATATTTTTGTTTAACAAGATAAATAACTTAAAAAATGGAAAGATTTAAAGTTAAAATATAAAAATTGGAATTTTTGTAATTACAAAGATAATCAAGATTTAAGTATTCATTAATTAAATTATTAAAACTATTGGAATAATAGGGTTGGTAAAATTATATGCAATTTTTTAAATTGTAGATTTTTTCCAAAAATGATAAATGAATTTAATTTCTTCCATCATTATATCTTCGTTATTGATGAATCTGGATCAATGGCAGGATAAAAATGGAAGATTATGTTGGAAGTTTATGAATAGTGTTTTACAGAATTACAAAAAATTCCAAATAATAGAATAACAGTTATTTAATTTAGTGATGATGCCAGATTTATTATTGGACATGATTAGCCTGAAAAAATTTAGACATCAGAATTAGTAAGATAATTTAATATGATGTCTGGAGGAACTAATTTTGAGAATGCTTTCCTTTTGTTATTTTATGCTATCTAAAAATTCATTGCAGAATTTGATTTGTAAATTTTATCAAGATATTTAAATTAGTTAAACTATTTTATTTTATACTGATGGGGATGCTGATTTTCCAAAAATATCCATGGATTTGTTTTCATAAATCTAATAAGAACTTAGGTAGAAGATCGACATTTTAATTTGCAGTGAAGTTTAAGAATCAAAATCTTTATAGAAAGTTTGCAATATTTTCTAATAAAAAATGGGTAAAGGTATGATAAAAGAAAATGTCAGCATTGAATAATTGGGAAAAATACTAAATGAAAAAATATGTTAGAAATATTGATGCTGAATAAATGATAATTACTAAATGTATTTTATAATATATTTATTTAACAAGATGTCTTAATAATTTTATAACAAATACAGGCACTTGTTTGATGATGAAACGCTTGATAAAGTCAAGTTTGGATAAGATATCTAGATGATGCCACAATAATAATAAATTCCCTAGTTTAAAATGTATCAGCAATAACCAAAATATTAACAACAATAATCTCCAATAAAGTAAGAATCACCATTTAAAATTGTGCAACCTCAATCTTAATTCGCATAGCCTTAAGTTTAATCTTTTTAAGCTTCATCATAAGAGAAATCAATAATGAGTAGAAAGAATTTTAATGATGAAAGAATAAGAAAATAAGTTATGCAAGATAATATTTTTAAATAACCTACATTAGAATAACGATAGTCTGATCGAGTTTATTAAATGAATTAACCGCAATAAATATAACATTCAGAATAACCACTTCAAGAGAGAAAATTTTAATAGTAGACTTATAACGTGTTTTAAGATTAAGATATTTTAGATGATTACGCTCCTAAGAGATAAAGATAATAAGTTTAACCATCAAATGAAAACTAATAGATTAACAATATTCATAAAGTGTATCTATAGAGATTGTAAAATTGAAAATATATTCTTAGAAATGATCTTGATTATATAAGGAAAAAATATCTAGATCCGAAACAATTGGCAAGAGATATCGATTAAAACAATCCATATAAAGCCGCTTTGATGTAGCGTATTTTGGCATAAATGAATGGAACTCAAAGGAAAAGCAGATTAAAAGAAGTTTTAAGAAATTGATTTTTATTTATTATTTAAATTTACTGAAATAGATTTAGATTAATAAGCTGAGATTAAAATGAATTTAATAAATACTGATCTATTAGTTTATAGCTCATTGTTTAACATCTTCATTCTTGGATTTTGTAACTTTTGCAGAATTAATAGCTAATATATTATAATTTAGGTACATAAGATCTTTTCTCCTTATTTATCAATATCTTAATGTTTTTTTGGATCATAAGGCCATTTGTCAATTAATTCTAATGGATTTTCAAGATAACTACCATCTCCAAAATTGACTTTCAAACCATAGATTTTTCCCTATAAATTAAATAGAGTAAAATACCCAAAAAGATGGATGTCCAAGATCATTAACAATTCTTAAGTAAAATACATTAGGAACAATATGTTAAGCAATGAAAGTTTTATCAGTAGGTCCTTAAGGAGTGAGTACATAAGCTCTAGCATGATGCTTCTCATATCCAAAGTAAACAAAAGTCCATTAATGTTCTTTGATATCAAAAGTATGAGATAATGGTTCAAATGATGGATCTTTAATTGTATAGGTACTAGCCATCAATTTATCTGTTTTAGTAAAGAAAGCTAAGGTTCTATCTCCAATAAACTTATCATCAGCAGCAAGATCAGGACCATTAGTAGTTAAACGAACTAAGGCAGTGAAATCATTTTCCATTTCTGGGAGTAAGATTGCATTTTGGAACCAGAATCCAATACTATAAGATTACATTTCTGCTTTATCTGTAAATTCAAAATTTAATTGATTTTTTTTAGAATCAAGATCATCTTAATTTGTTGTATCCAATAATGAGACTGGCCATTTAAAATCTTCAGCTTATTAAGGTGAAGCAGGTAATTTTCTGTGCAATTTATGGATCATCTCAACAACTTTTTGTGATTCATTTATAAAGCTTCCAGATCCTAAAAATATTCTAGGATCATAAAACCAACCATGGAATGCTTTATAACCAAATTCATTTGATCCTAAAACAAAATGAGCATATCCAGTTAAAACTGAATGTGTTACTTCAAGATTAAGATGAACTGCCTTTTATTATTCCTTAAATAAGACCATTCCATAGAAATTTTTATTCTTGTAAGCGGCATATACATAAGTCCATTCACCTTCTATATTTTCATAAGGTAATTATGCATCAACAGCATTAGAAGGTTTAGATACATCATATGTACTAAATTCATAATTTCCTTTAGTTAAGAAAGCAGATAATACTCTATTTCCTAATTCACTCTTATCTTAATATTAACGAGTACTTGAAAATCTAAAGATAGTATGAACATCAGCTCTTTCTGTTAAAGTAGATGGAAATGCTATTAACCATCTTGTCCATACACCAACTGCATATTCATCTACTGATTCTGTTTCAGATGTAAATGTTTATTCAACTTTTTCAGGTGTTTAAATAATTCTATCTTCTTTTTCAAACCAAAGATATTTTTAATTAATTTAAATATGTCTAAAGTTTGGTAGAGTATCTTCATAACCTTTCTTCATTACATCAACAAATGCTCCTTAACCATATTAAGCAACCCATTTTTGCAATTCTCCTTAAAATCTTCTGCTATGTGGATCTTTACCTACATAAATTCCTATGAAATGAGGAACAAAATGTTAAACTCCCTTAAAAATAACAGGTTTATCCTCTTCAAATAAATGTAATAATGTATGAACTTCACCTAAATTTTCATTGTAAGCCATATATAAATATGCCCAAGCCTTTTTTGAATTTCCAAGTTCAACTTTCTCTTCTAAGAATTTAGCTTCATTCCAATCCTTCAATCCTTTCAAAGTATATGTACTCAATTTTACAGTATCACTTGTACATATTTAAGCATGTAATGCTCTATCACCTTATGATTTACGATCACTTAAATGTTCTTTTTCATTGTTTGTTATTCTAAATAGTATTTAACAAGGGGAATTAATTTCTCCTTCTTTTTTCACTTATGTTTCTGCTACCTTAAACCAACCAGAAATAGCATATTCACCTACACCACTCCAAGTATCTCCAGTGCTTTCACTTCCTTCATTATTATCACTTTCACCAATCAATTGTTATTAACCATGCTTTTATTTATGAATATAATCAACAGTTAATTCCTAAGGCAATGCAAAACTAGTATCAATTGATTTCATTAGTTCTTCTCCTGATGAAATGAATGATCCTACACCAAAATGAGCTGATACTTCTGTAAATAGACCTTAGAATGGTGATACATTCTTTTCTCCTCCCAAAATCAAATGAATGTAATCTCCTAAAGGTTTATGTAATAGTTTCTCATTTGCTGCATGTTTAATTTCATCTCCGTCATATACAAAGTAATTTGCTTATTATAATTATCTCTTGTAACCAACATATATATAATGCCATTTTCCTTCTAAATGAACGTAAGGAATTGTACTAATCTCATTAGGAGAATCATCATTTAAATCGTAAGTACCAAATTAATAATTTTCTAAAACAACTTAAGCACTTAACACTCTGTCACCTAAGGCAATTTTTCCGTGTTCTACTTCATCATTATAAGTTAATCTTAAAATCTACATTTCAGATGGTGTATGCCATAATCTTTCTGGCCATGCTTACAGGAATCTTGTCCATAAACCCACAGAATATTCTTAAACACTTTCTATTTTTCTATCTGGTTCAGAGAATGTAATTTTTAAACCTTATTTATCTGGATCTTCAGACACTAATGTGATTGTGTCATCTGCTTCCCAATCAAATTTACTATCGGAACTAAACAATTTAGGCGCAGCTAAATAAACTTAGAGAGTGTTAAAGTTATCTTATCTGTAACTTCCATCTCCAATATTCAAAATAACTTGAGCCAATCTACTATCAAATGGTTTTATCATAGCATCCTTCACTAAGAATAACCAATAATGAGATGAAACAGCATGCAAAGCTTATTCTAATCCTTTGTGTTCATTATCATCAGCTAATAAATAATAACTAATCTTTTAATGATGCTTAGAATAACCAAAATAAACAAAAGTCCAAACTTCTAATTATTAGTATGGAATCTATGCTTAATAAGTATTCGATAAAGAAAGTGGATTTAAATTGTAAGTACTGAATTCTACACCATCAGTATGAAATAGAGCCAATGTTCTATCTCCAATTTTTTATGCATCTCCTAATGAATCAGGATTTGAAGAGGTGAATCTATAAATCAATTATTAACTCTTCACTGTTTATTTGAACCATCTGAACCATAATTGAACACTATATTCCCTAGCTTCTTCATTAACATGAGTAATGTGTTAATCCTCCTCTATCTTAGTAATATCATGTTTTCCAATCAAGACTTCGTATTTTTTGGCTGGGGCTAAAATATCAGGCATTACATCTTTATTCTTAATTCTTTGTAATAAACCTTATTTATTGTCAATGTAAGCACCTGGCCCTAGATTAAATCTAATGGTAGTTATTTATCCATTGAAATTTGAGTAATATTTGCCTGCATTACCTACAGTCAATTATAAATAATCAGTTAATAATGAATGCATAACATCCATTTAAATACCTGATGTAGTATCCTAATAATGAGTAAATGCCATTGCATGTCCTTAGGTCTAAGAGATTCTCTTAAAACTGAAATAAAGATAAGTCCACTCACCTTCAGATTCAATTTAATATGGGATATCTCCTGCAACATTATTTGATTTAGTAATTACATCATAAGTTCCAAAATGATAGGATTACTTTCCTAATAAAACTAAAAGTACTCTATCTCCTGGATTATCAAAATCTTTGTATTACTTATTACTAGTCAATCTACTTAATCCCATTAATTAAGGTCTACTATAAATTGTATTCTTATTTCCAAAATATTAGAATTTAATCCAATATCCATAACCATATTCACTAACACCATGTAAGTGCAATTTATCACTTTATTAGAATTCAATATGTAAAGGCACTTCATCACTTTAAGATGAACATTCTAATATTGTCTCTTCATGATGTGCTTCCTGTCCAGCTTATTATAATTTTATATGATCTGTGCCACTGATAAATCCAAAATGAACTTTTATATTTTCATTTTCATCAAATCCTCCTTCTCTATATGCTCCATCTCCAATATTTATAACCCATGTTTTTATATGACCAATAAATTAAGTATATTATTATTTCTCTTAAATTAAAACTGAAAATACTGCTAGGTAAAAATGATTTATTTTTTCTTATTTAAATTCAGTTTCTGTAAATGTGTATTTCAAATAACCATAAGTTTATTATTTCTATTATGAATATCCGAAATAAATATATGTCCATTAATCAGCATATTCACCATAAGCTTCATCTTAAGTTACTAATTTATATTCATCCTAATTTTGATTATAAGTCACAAAAGTAAAAGCTTAATCTCCCCTAATGATTTACAAAGTTTCTTCATTTTTACCATCTAAATCTTCTAATCTCTTTTAAGCCATTGTTATGAGATGAGAAACTTTACCAGTTACTAATGGACCACTCCATCTCACCCATCCAGAAAGTGCATATTCTTCAGCTCCTTAATATTTATCAAACTCAAATTAAATTGGTTCTTCCTTAAGTTGTTAAGGTGCACCTACCAACTATAATGTTTGTCTCGATACTGGATGAATCTAAGCTTTTTCTGGTAAAGTATTTTATGTAAAGATTCTTAAAGTTTCTATTGTATGAATGAATGATCCAGGTCCAAAAGAAAATGATATTTTTGCCATTTCTCCATTGAATAATGGAGCTGATGTTTTACCAACAATGAATTCAACATACTCAAGTAGAAAATCATGATAAGTATCAAAAATAACTTCTTCAACCTCTCCATCTACACCAAATTAAACATATCCTTTTGCCAATCCTTAATTACCATGTCTTATATATCCAAAGTATAAATAATTCCAGTGTCCTTCTAATTATTCAAATTAAATATCATCTTTCAATTCTAAAGTTTAAAATTCATAAGAATTTGGAGTTAAAGATATTGATAAAGTATTATCTTTAGGTGTATTGGGTCTATTAGCATTAGATCTAACTAATTTTCCGTCAATAGATTCTATAACATATCCTTATGTACCCATTCTTGCAATAGTGTGTATAGGCGATCTCTTATTCAAATATTTAGGCAATGTACTCAACCATCTGGTCCATAATCCAAATGAATATTCACTCTATCCATTAATTCTCATTCCATCTTCATTATGAATAATAATTTTATCAACAACATTATCTGGAGCATCATATGCTACATGTCTAGCTTAATTAGCATCTCCTGCAATATAAGTAACTGGTTTGCCAACTTAATATAAACCCATAACTCCTTCACCATAATTAAATGTCATTTCAAATGCTAAACCCTATCTGTATGCCCCAGTTCCAAGATAAATTCCAACATAACCAATCATACCATTAAATGGAGATATAATATCATCACCGCCCAAAGTTACACTCAAAGAATTAACTAATTTATGTTAAATGCCTTCATATTAAATTTCTCCAACCTCTCCTGGTTTAATTAAAGCACCATAAGCACGTCCTCCATCATTATCATATCCAAAATATACATATGTCCATATAAATTGAGGACTCTCTACTGTCTTTGATAAATAAGGTAATCCTTTTGCTCTATTACCCTTAATTGTATAAGTATTAAAATAGACTGTACTCTTAGCACCACCACCATAAGTGTGATGTATTTCTAATGCTCTATCTCCTAATACACCTTTTCCTGCAGTTTTAACTTTATTTGATCTTAAATTTATTATCTAAAATGTATTTGGTTCATCTACTTTTAAATCATCTACCCATCTAAACCATAATCCAACAGCATATTCTTCAATTATTAATTAAGATTCTTATGGATCAAAATGAAACTATTCTCCCTTATCATTAGCATTAAAATGTTTAGGTTTTTATATTACTGTTTCATCTATCATTGCAGGAACACTTTAAGGTGGATTACTCAAACTTTTTAGCACTTCTTCTAATGCCTCATCTCCATCAACAAATGCTGGAGAATCAATATCAAAGAAGATATTTGCAAATTATCCATTTAATCCCTTGTAATTCAAATGTTTGCCACCAAATATTATTTTTATATATGATGGTGGAATGTGAGTAGCTTCTATTTCTACTCTATATATTCCATTTCCTTCTCCATAACTTGCAATATAACCAACAGCTCTTCTTAATGGATTACTGTAAGAGAACATTACAAAATACCACATACTATCCATATTCTCATTTAAAACTACTGCCTTATCTTTAGTCTTCAATTTCTCACTTGTATCATATGTACTGAATACAAATGAATTATCTATCATGAATACTGCTAATGTTCTATCTCCATAAAATGAAAAATCTTCATATTCTTCATTTATAGTCATTCTTGATAAGAAATAGTATTCTCCATCTTCTTTACTATGTTCCTTTACTCCATGTTCTGTATATTTAACCCAATATCCATAACCATATTCAGATGAGTCTTAGAGTAATGATCTATCATTAAATTCAAATTATTCTGTAGGATCACCATCGAAATCAGAATTTTAATATTTTGTATTTACTGCTACTACCTTTCTTTCTTAAACACGACCTGCATTAGCTCGATGTTTTGGTGGTTAAAATTATGTTGGTTCATTTGGATTAGGTTGTTCTCTTAATGATTATATTTTTAATGAACGATCATCTGAAGTTTATTATCTTTTTTTCTTTTCATTAGATTATTATTCACCTTCTTATTTTTATTCTTATTTCTATTCACTCTCTTATTTTTATTCACCCTCTTGTGTTTATTCACCTTATTAATTTTCTACTCTCTCTTATTTTTATTCATCTTATTATATTTCTTCTCCCTCTTATTTTTATTCACCTTATTATTATTATTCACCTTCTTGCTACTATTCTCCTTCTTACTTTTATTCACCCTCTTAATGTTTAACAACTTTAGATGATTCAATTTTCACATCTTTTTTATCATCTGAATTATTAGTTTAATTATCAATAGTTATTTCTTCTTTTTCATCTTCTGTTTTTTAATTATTACTACCTTAAGATTAGGTTTGATCTTATTTTTCTTACTAAATAGGTTCTGCTTTTTTATCTGATGACTCTTCTTATTTTTGATTTGTAACAGATTCTGATTCGTCATTTGTTGTTGTTTATGAAGATTCTTTAGTTTAATCTTGTTTTTCATCCTCTTTAGTTTCTTTTGATTCATCAATTGATTCTTCTGTTCCTTCTGCTATAGATTCTGTAGTATCTTTAGTAGTTGATTTTTTTTCATCTATTTGATCATCTGTTACTTCAGTATTATTCACTGTTGTAATTTTATCTTCTGTAATACTACTTTCATCAGAACCAGTTTTAGTTTCTTCAATAATTACATCTTTTTTTGTTTCTGATTCATCTTATGACAAAGGATTATCATGATTTTCAACTTTTATTTATTGTTATTCGCTACTTCCTGTTTCTTAAGTTTCTTCTCCATTTTATTATTCTTTAGACTCATCACCTCCCTTATCTTTTTCAGTTTCATCTTCATCATTTAAGCCATCTATTTTACTAACTTTTGCTGCTTATATAACTAATTCGGATTCTTCTTATTAAGTTTATGTTTCATCAGTAGTCTCTTTAACCTCTCCTTCAATTTCATGACCTAAAGCTACATATCTTTTATTTCCTTTAATTTCTTCAACTATTTCTTTTGGTACTAACTTTTTAATTTGTTTTTTTTATGGTTTTTAAGTCTCATCCTTATATGTTGGATATGTATAATGTTGAGGTTCATTATAAATATAATCTGAAGGAGTTTCAATATCTTCTTCTTCAAAATAATAATATATGATTTCCTCTGTGTCTTCATCAAAATTAATCACTTCATCCTCTGGATCATTCTCTATTATTATTGTTGGCTTTTTTATTTCTTAATCACACCCTCTTTTAAGAGTTTGAAGCTAACTTATCTTTTACCTCAAACCTAAAGTACGCTTTGCATATTGGCATTAATCTAAGTATTAATAGATTTGCTCTTAGGTCTATCTCAAATGTTCTATAATTTTATTTGCTAAAGCAATTTTTTCTTCGTTTGCTAAAGTTAAAATTAAAATCTATACATTAAGTGGCATTTAATTAAGCTACATATTCGAGGGCATCTTCTACTTTACAAGCTGCCCATTTGCTTTATGTAAATATACTCTTTAGTGATTTGCTCACTTTACTTTCTATTTACACAAGCATTGATGATTGTATTACTGATATTGTACCTTTTGCTTTTTCTACAATGCTTATAACTTAATTAATTATTGCTAGATCCTTTATCAATTGTTCTCTATTATCTATAATATCAATCCATCTTGCAAGCTCTCCTATTATATATTCGAAATCAGTGTGACAATTTAAATGAGTAACATCTAGATTTTATGCTTCAGTGTAGGTCATCCCTAGTGTATTATATATATATACTTTGAGTTCTAAGCTCTGCTGCTTCAATTTTCGAAGAGATAACCACAACCATCAACAACAAGAATGTTATTAAGGTTTTCTTCATTTATGTTAAAAATATATATGCTATAAACCGTTTTTTATTTGCTATTAAATTTTATTACTCACCAAATGCATATCAATATAACTCCACTACATTTTAATTAAACTACACAGTCAGACTATTTCATTAATTGCACTCAATTATTGTTTTACAAAAAGTAGACCAATTCATAAAAATTATTGTCTCTTAAGATTACATTGTTTTTGTAACTAATTAAATTTATAATTATTTATTATCTCCTTTTTTATTGTCTCTGTTTATCTTCAGACATCAATTATTCAAAATTAGAATTAGTCTATTAAAATATATATTTTTTTTGTTAAAATTTACTAAATAATTAATTTTTATATATCTAAAACCATCATTTTATTTTTTTATAACTACAGCCAAAGTTACATCTTACTTTTGTTTTTATCATTTTAATAACCTACATACTAGCCTTTTATTCATCATTTTTTTGCTGATTTTATTTAGCTCATCATATAAAATATAATCATATTTGAATTTATTTTTTTTAAATAATTCCAAATATTTACTAATTAATTATCGTTTAAATTTTAATTTCTAATTCCCAAATAAATGAGCTTTGATATGTTGCATAATTTAATAATTACAAAATTAGATCAATTAATAATAATTATGATAAAACTCAAGCAAAATATTATTTGAAATATTTAATTCACATTCCAAAGAAAATAGCTTATTCTACTTAGATAAGTAATATAAAAAAATGAACAATCCTCCTAAATGACTAATTTTTTGATAGTTTTGCATATCTACTTAAAAAGAGAATGAAAATTTTAACAATAATATAATAGTTCAAATTACTTTATATTTTAGAACCGTATTCAGAGAATGGTTATCAATAACGAATTGAGAAGAATTATAAAAAAATTATGTATCTTTAAGAAATCTATTTCTAGATGTTTATAGTAGAAATTTATTAACAATTATATTGAAGATAGATAAAAATTATAAAATTTAAAGGGTGTATGTAAATTTAATGTTTATTAATTAAAAACTTTTTTAATCTTGCTTTTTAGTAAATTTACATGAGTGACATAATTTTTATGTTGTTAATTTTAAATATTGATAAACGAAAATATTAAATGATATTAAATTTTTGAATTGAGAGTAATAATCAGAGATAAATATGGGAAAATAGATAAATGAGTCTAATTTGAATAATCTTCTAGATGGATAAGGTTTTAGTTTTGATTATAATATAATTAATTTATAAAATGAGACCTAAAGAATCAGATGTATATAAAAGAATTCGATTGCTTGGACAAGGATCGTTTGGAAAGGCTTATCTTTGTGAATGTTTGAAGGATCATTCATTGTGTGTGATTAAGTAAATGGATATGAGATACTTAAATGATTAAGAGAAGAAAGTAATTTACAAAGAAAAATGTATTAGGAAACTTATAGAGAATTCCGAATAATGTCTGAATTAAGACATCCAAATATTATAAATTTTAGAGAGGTTTATAAAACAGTAAAGGGTAAATTATGTATTGTAATGGATTATGCTGAAGGTAATGGATCATGATAACTGTTAATTAGGAGGTGATTTGGCATAAGTATTAAAGAAGACAGAAGGATATATAGCAGAGTCAAGAATTTTAGATTGGTTTACATAAATCTGTCTTGCAATAAAACATTGTCATGATCGTAAGATTATTCATAGAGATATAAAAACATAAAATATGTTTCTATCAAAAGATATGAGAATTCGTTTGGGAGATTTTGGAATAGCTAGATTATTAAATAATACAAGAGACAAAGCAAAAACAATGGTTGGTACTCCCTATTATTTGGCACCTGAATTAATAGAAAATAAGCCGTATAGTTTTAAAGGTGATATTTGGTCACTTGGAGTAATACTCTATGAAGTAAATCAATAAATATTAATATATATAGATGTGTGCTAAGACTCCTCCTTTTACAGCTGAATCTTTAGCTTAATTAGCTTTAAAAATAGTGCGTGGTTAATTTTAAGCTATTCCAAATATTTACTCTCCATAATTAAGAACGTAAAACTAATCTTATAATTAAACAAAGATAGCCTTGTGAATTAGCTTCTAACTGTAAATCCTGAAAAAAGACCAACAGTTCATTAAATACTCAAGATGCCTATCATCACTAACAGAATTAAGAATTTCCTATCAGAAACTATGAAAAGAAGTGAATTCGATCACACTATTTTACATAATCAATAGATTCACTTATCTGATATTACCATACCTTTAATTGATGATTAGGATGCAAAAGCTGATTTAACAGAGTAAACATCAAAAGAGAATCACTTTAATTAATTGCCAGGAATCAAGGGTCCTCTATTCAATTAACAGAAATAACGAATAAGTAATGATTAGAAGAAATTACCTGAAATTAAATTATCTAAACCAGAAAGACCTCCAATAACCAGATAATAAACTAATAGATAATAATTTAATCATCTACCTAGTTAAAGAGCATAACCATCTACTCCTGATGTAGGAATTAATAATAAACAAAAAAATGGTCGATTTATTACAAAAGAAAGTCCTGATTCTCATCAAGGTTCCGATTAAGTTATTGATGAAGGAACTAAAAATAGTGAATAAGAGAGTCCTAAATTCTTTAAAAAAAATATTGAAATTAAACCTCATATCAAAAATATTAAGGGTCTTACTAAACTAGATTAAATTTAAAAAATTAAACTTGGATTGAAATCAGAAGATGAAGCCAAAAAACCTATATATAGACTTCATGCTTAACCAAAAATTGTAGAATAAAAAAAATTAAAGGAACGCAAAGTTTCTGAAGAAATCTTGACAAATCATTAAAAATATGAAGATTCTTAAAATTAATAACATCGTTTGGAAAAAATTTCAGAAACTCCTGAATAAAAATTACTCAATTAATCCACAATTAGTGATTTCTAAAACTCAGAAGAAAACATAGATTAAAACAAAAAATAAAGTATTATGACACCAGCTTTTTAAATTCAAATGGAATAATAATTTCAAGTACATGATATTATTTAAAAGAAACCAGAGAAAATTATTAAAGAGTCAAATTCTAAAACTGACGAAGAGATAAACAAGAAAAAAATATACAAAATCATTTATAGAGATCCTTTTCAAAAGAAACCTCAACCACAGAAACGCAATAGCGAAGAAGATATGAAAGAAATGATTAATGAACTGTAAAATGTTATTGTAAATAATAACATCTATAAAATAGTTGTAATAATAAAAAAAATAAGAAGAACCAAATGTACAAATTGAAGTTGATTCTGAAGATTCAAGAGTCTATTCTGAAGAATCAAGTGAAGATCTCAGAGAGGATGCTGATACTTTACCACCGCAAACACAAGTTAATACATGGATGTAAAGTAATTCTGAGGCAGTGAATATTTCAAAGTCATAGCCAGAACCTAGAAGAAAAAATAATAATAATTAAAAAAGTCTAAAAGAAAAATTAATTGATGAATTAGGAAATAATTTTGAATAATTATACAAGTTAGCAAAATTATGTACCCATAAGGAGGATTTAGGAAAATAACATTTAAAAATTGTTATAATTGAGAATCTTAGATTAGATGAAAATAGAGCTGAAATATGTGCAACTCTTTTGGTTACATTAGCTACAATCGGTTACTGATATATTAAAACTGTAAGTGGTTATAAAGTTTTGATTATTATATATTTTATTAAAGCACAAAGATATCTCTATATTCTGAAGATTTTTTGTGATTATGAAGACTGTCTATAATAATTAATTAATTGATTTTATTTTTGATAAAGGAAATAAATTTTTGATTTAATAATTAAAATAGAAGCAAAATAAAAATCATGATTGATAAAGATTTTATGTAAGATCTAGAAGATGAAGAGGAGTAATAAATAGTAGAGGCAAAAAAGTAAGTTGAAGATGAGCCTGCTTGTTCTTTGCTAAAAGATAGCAAATTTCTTTAGCATTATCAAAGGGTTTTAGAAGTATCTGCTTATCAAATCTAAGATGAAACAATAGATGCAAGTCATGAAGAATATCATTTGATATTAAGATCAAACGAATATAGTACAATAATCGATTAGGAGTATTGATTTTGAATAAATTAAGGATTTTAAATATTCATAAATAATTGAAGGATGTATACCATAAGAAGTTTCCTGAGTTAGAAAAAATAATAATAAATCCAATAGAATATGTTAAGATAGTGCAACTGATTCGAAATGCTATAGATCTTTAGGCTATAGATTTTTCTTAACTTTTGAGTGGTTAACAAGTAGTAGCAGTGAATATAGCAGCAAAATAATCATTGATAGGATAGCTTCCAGAGGAAGATGTGTTATTAGTAGATTAATTGTGTCATAAGATAGAAACTTTGGATAGCTATAATTAGAAAAGTAAATAAAAAATAAAATGATTAGTAATATCCTATATTGAATCACGAATGAAATACATAGCTCCAAATGTTTCAGCTTTAATTGGTACACAGTTGGCTTCAAAATTGATGGCAGCAGCAGGAGGAATAGAAAAGCTTGCAAATATGCCAGCAGGTAATATTTAGGTTATGGGAAGTGTAAAGAAAAATATGTTAGGAATGAGTAGAGCTATGCATAATAGAAATACTGGATATTTTGGAACTTTAGAGATTGTATAGAAGGCATCAGGAAAATTACAAAATTAGATAGTAAGGATGTTAGCAACAAATGTAGCAAAAGCAGCAAGGGTTGATAATATGAAGACATGTCCTAAAGGAAATGTAGGAGAGGATTTAAGAATAAAAATGATGAAAAGATATTAAAAAATATAAGAACCTCCTCCTGCAAAATTAGAAAAGCCTTTGCCTATTCCAGATGAGAATAAGAAGAGAAGGAGAGGTGGGAAGAGATTTAGAAAATAAAAGGAAAGATTGGCTATGACTGAAGTGAGAAAATATGCAAATCGATTAAAATTTGGATTAGAGGCAGAGGATGAGATTAAAGATACAGGAATTGGATTGGGAATGTTAAGTTAAGGAATAGGTAAGGTTAAATTACACATAAAGAAAGATAAGCCTATTGGTTTAAGCAAGAAATTATAATAAAGACTTGCTTAAACAAAAACTCAATCTGGTGGTGGCACAGGAGGATTAACATCAAGCATTGCTTTTACACCTACATAAGGAATTGAATTAATAAATCCAGAGGCTGGATATTTGTCAAAAGTTCCTGATTAATATTTTAATAGAGAATCTGGATTTAGAACTGTTTTAAGAAAAGAAAGAGAATTTGGTAGATAGTTTTGATTAGTTAATTTAGTTTAATTTTTAAAACACACATATAAATAAATTTAATTTGTTTAATGTTGTTACTTCACAATTATTTAAATGTTTGATATATTAAAATGGAACTAATCTTAAAGAAAATGAAAAGCGAGTGATTTAATAAAGATAATGATAAAAAGAGGGAATAGATTGTTTAATTATAATTAATATTAATTTAAATATGATATAAAGTTCCACTCGTAACCGTTCTGAACAATTAATCTATTAACGCAGATAACAAGAATAATAAGTTGGCAAGTTGAATACTAAACTAAGATAAGAACATTATGAAAAAACATTCGCAGCTTGGGAAAATAAGGGAAAGGATGTTGCCAATATGTAATATACTAAAAACAGGTTTGCAAATAATTATATTATAAGATTACAATAGATAAGAGCTGATGCTGAAGCACACAAAAATTAAAGAAAAGAAAAATTGGCTGCATTGTTAAATGCTGAACATGAATAATATTAATAAGAAATTAAAGCGATGGTTGAAACTCCAGAATAGGTTAAGGAGAGAATGATGAAAGAAGTTGCAGAATTAAAATAAAGAAAAGAAATTGAGAGATCTAAGTAGGCAGAAGCTGCTTATGAAAGAAGGTTCAGAGATAATGCAGATGAACTCAGATTAGTAAATTAATAATTTAATGAATAATAAACTGTTGCTTATAGAAACATGTAAATGATGGAAAAATAGAAAATGTTAGAAGATTAATATGAAGGTAATATGGATATATATTATTCAAAATAGAGGAAATGATTTATGCTGAATTATATAGAAGAGAAATTCTAAAGAAAGAAAGACTAGAAAAAGAAAAAGAGATTGAATAGAAAGCAAAAGTTGATGAAAGAAATAAAGTATTGGGAATTCAAACTTAAATGAATGTTAATAAGTACTAAAGAATCAAAGATGAAATTGAATAAGAGAAATAAATGCTTGTAATATTATTAAACATAATCAATTTAGAAAGAAGAATGGAAAAGAGAAGATGAAAGACATAAATAAAGAGAGAATTAATATTTGAATTATAAAAAGGAAATTAATTAAGAAATTGCTTTGAATAATGAATAATAGAAAGATTACAAAAAATAAATAAAATAAGAAGAGAAATTATAAGATAAAGAGATGATTTAATAAGTATTAGAAAGAGAAGAAGCAATTGCTAGAATGGAATAAGCTGAAAAACTTAGATAAAAAGAAGAAACTAGATAATTTTTACTTAATTTTAAAAATAGAAATAATGAATATAATTCAAATGATTAGTTGAAAGAAAGGTTGATAAATGAGGAAAATGCTCGTTAATGGGAAACTAAGGAAGCTAAATGGAAGGCGGAAGATGTATAAATATTTAATTATTTTAGGATGCTAGAGTAAAATTAATGTATGAAGTTTATGCTTAGAGAGCTGAAAATGTAGAAATAAAAAAGAAAATTATAGAAGATGAAAAGAATATCAAATCATAGGATAAAGTAGAATTATAACGATAAATGGATTTATATTAAAAAGAATAGGAAGAAAAATAAAGAATAGAATAAGATGTATATATGTAATATAATTGAAGAAAATTATGTAAACAAAACACAATTTGTTAAATCAAATGGATGAGAAAAAATAAAGATAATAATTATTAAGAGATAAAAAATAATAAGAAGAAGAAGCTCTTCGAAGATAAAAGGAGGAGTATGATAAGAAAATAGAGATGGAAAAAGCAAAAGGACGTGCTTTGCTCGATGAACTTAGAAAATAAAGACCTTATTGAAATATTATAATAAATTCAAGTATATTATTCTTAAAGTCTGTTTTCAATAGTACGATAATATTATTTCTTTAAAAGCTTTAATTGCATAGATTGAGTATGTTTATGATTCTTTTTGCATTAGTTGATAGCAATATTAGCAAGGTTATTATAGTATTCAATCTTATCCAATTTGTGTTGCATTGTCAGTTAATATAAAAAATTGATTAAATTAAATAATTTAATTATTGGATATGTCAACTCCTCAAACAAAACCAAAATTGGTTCAAACATTTGGTAGAAAGAAGAATGCTGTTGCAAGTGCAAGTGTAAGAGAAGGAAAGGGTACTTGTTAAATTAGATGAAAAGGTTTGGTTAGAGTAAATGGTGCCCCAATTGAATTGGTGAACCCAGCTCCTTTAAGATAAAAGGCTCTTGAACCACTTTTGCTTCTTGGTTAAGTCAGAACAGGTAGATTAGACATTAGAGTCACTGTCAGAGGTGGTGGTACAACTGCATAAATATATGCTATCAGATAGGTAGTATAGCAATCTTATATTGTTTAGGCAATTAGTAAAGGAATTGTTGCATACTATCAAAAATATGTAGATGAAACTTAAAAGAGAGAAATCAAAGATCTCTTATTGTAATATGACAGAACACTCTTAGTTGCTGATCCAAGAAGATGCGAACCAAGAAAATTTGGTGGTAAAGGTGCCAGAGCTAGAAGATAAAAGAGTTATAGATGAAAATTTAATCACAGTACATTAAAATAATATAAATATTAATGGAATTTTAATGCTGTCAATGTTAGATTGAATTCAATTAAGCAAGTCATTCTCCATTTGTTTTACCAAGTTGTGGACATTCAGTTTGCTATTAATGTGTTCATTAATATATATCTGGAGATCAAACCTTAAAATGTAACGAAGATGGGTATCTATTAATATTATTTAAGAATTGAATGTAATGTTCATAGAGATCAAAAATGCTTTCCTTAAAATTAAAGCATTTTAACTATGCTTAAAAAGGCTTAATAATCATCAAGGCAATATTTACCAACTTTTAATACTCCTGATGATCAACAAATTACAAATTCTACTAAAGATGTGGCTTAATATTACTCTGAAAAATCTACATCATAATTTACATTCACAGAAGCTATCCCAAAGACTTCCATATGCTAATTACATCAAAAAGAATTAGAACTTATATGTCAGGAAGATGGTTAATGCATTTGTGTTAACTGTGCTTTATTTGGCCCTCATAAATTCCATAATTATCTTCCTATTGATTAGTTCTGGAAATAAATAGAATTTACTGTTAATGAAATATCTTGTTTATATAAATAAATTCAAACTGAAAGAAATAATAAAGAATAACTATAATAATTATTATAATTAGGATTTAATCAATAATAATGTTGCATCAAATCTAAAATTGAATTATACTTTAATGATTTAAATAAATAAATTGAAGAAATCAAGAACCAAACTCTATAGAAAATAAATTAGGCTTATGAAAATTCATAAGAAATCATTCTCAATAAAATAGATTTTGAATTTTCACAATTATAAGGTGAAGCAGATTAATGGCTTAATTAAGCTAGTTATTAATTAAGCCAATTAGTGGATGAATCATAATAATCTAAATTTAGAAAGTTTGACTAAATCATTATTAATTCTGGTTAAACTATATTGAAATAATTTAATCTTATCAAAGAATCAATAACTATTTTAATTGATTCAACTTAGAAATCTCATGAAATCTAGGTACCAATTTAAGTAATTTCTAATTATATTTCTTAATTAATGGGATTAAATAATAAAAAATTAGAAGTTGGTAAGTAAGATTCTCTATTGCCTATATCTTCAAATCTGTCTGATAAGAATATATTAAATGAATAATCTGATTATTTATTAGATGATAAATAACCTTAAAATGAAATAATTAAAATACCAGAAAAAAAACCCTTATAAATTGAAATTGTAAGAGGTAAAAGAAATTCAGAAGTATTTTCTCAATAACCTACATAACCAGCTTCACCTGCATTTGATATATCTAAGTAGATCAACTTTAATTCAGTCTAGTCATAACATACTAGATTAAAAGAAAGATGTGCTACTTTATCAAATAGTGAGATGATTGATACTTCATTAATATAAAAGTCTTCAAAATTTAGTAACAGTAATTAAAATAGCAATTAAAAATAACATAAAAGATTTACTAACAACTAAAAAATGAATGAAAAATTATCTAATACTTTAACTATCATTCATTAAGATAAAAATGAAATTGTAGATTTAAGTTAGATTGGTATCATTTTTTTTTAATCTAGATTTTAATGATTAAATTATCTAAATTCTTGGAGAATATTTAAAAGGTACTTAAAATATTAAAGTCTTGAAATTAAGTAAATGCTTGTTAGTTGATGAATTATTTCACAAATTACTCTTAAATTTATAAGAATCCAAGTAAAATATATTTTTCAAAATTTAGAATTCATACTTTCCATCTTTAATAAAATTTATTAACTGAAAAATGTCTTGATTTTATTTTAGTTCTTTTAAAATAAAATCCTCAAACTTAATTGAGATTATTTTATTTGAACCAAAATTCATTAATAGCATCTAAAGCGAAAAAAAAAATTGATGAACTCAAGAAATATGGTGTCTAAATATCAATATGATTTTAATTAGTTTTATATTAAAGATTATTATTTATCAATATTAGAATTATTTAAAATGAGTTAGTATTCATTTTGTAGTCCAAAACCAAGATTTTTGAATATAAAAATGGATGAATCAGAATAAAGAAGTTGGTCGAAAGAATACAAAAAGCGTAGTGACTTTTTTTGTCCATCTACTAAGCCTCCAACATCTAGGCCTTAAACAATAGATTCAAAAACAGAAGGAAATAAAGCTATAAGATGTAATTTCAGATAATAAAGGCAATATTCTTTATAAGATTCAGAAATAGTTGGTGTTATCTAAGATGTTTAATTAGTTGATTATCTAGTATTTGGTTATTATTAACGTAGTTTTAATTAAAAAATAGATAATAGAATCGATATAAAAGTAGAATCTTAAAGTTACATGAGAAAAAAATTAAAGTTTGGAAAAATTATAAATTTCCATAGTTGTTTTAAAGTTCAAAAAAAAATGATGATAGCTTTGATCCATTGACTATATTTGATATAAAAAAAGATAAAACTTTTAACAATATTTTTTGATAAATTTTTCAAATAATTGAAGAAAATTAGAATTTAATAATAATATTTAAGTTATAAACTACAGAATTTCTCTTATGTCTAAAGTATAGAAAATTATTTTTTTGATTTTGAAATATGAATTTTCTTTTTAAATAATCCAATTTTGAAATCTAATTCTGTCAAGTTATATTTATTTTTACTTAAATATTGTATTTTGGTTAAATACTTAATCTTTAAAATATTCCTTAAAAAATAATATAAATTATTAAATTTATATAATATAAAAATGGTATAAGACAGTGATTGAATAATTGTTAAATAAATAAAATTAAGTTAATTTAATAAGGAATTGAATAAAATTTAATTAGTTAACTCATTCCCAATCATTTTTCTAAGCACTAAACATTAAATGTTTGTTAGGACTCTTACTTCTATTAATTGTGATAATAAATATTACCTATCTGGAACTGGAAGCATTCTAATTGGACATTAAGGTTTTTTATAAGTATCTTCGTCAAGTTGTTAATAATCTTTTTAATAAGATGAAAACTTTTCAAAGTTAACTCCTCCAAAAGGTGATTAATTATTATGTTTTATCGGAGTTGCTCTTGACCCTTTTTATGCTGTATAATCTTCTTAATATTTTGAATTAGCATTAAATTAAACTTTGGTAGGAGTAAATGACTAATCATGATGTTTGATTTAATATTAATTTGATATTGGTTAAACTTTAAAGTTTTCACTGTATGTTGTGCTAGTTTATAATTTATTTGGGTTCTCTTAATAAAAATATTAAGGCTTCATGGATACAGCCATAGTATCATAAGGTTGATATTTTTGATTATATTCTGTAGATGAAATAAAGGGTCTATGAAATGGTATTGTAGTTTCTTAAGTTTTTCTAGTTTGTCTTTCTGGAGTTTTTTAAGGAGTGTAATCTCTTTAATAAGATGAAACAAATGATTAGGTTCCAAGATTAATTCGATATTATTCAGGTACTATAGGTTTAGTTTTCTTAATATCCCATTTTACATAAGATTTACGATTTGTAGTATCAAAATGTGATGGATTAACATGCAATTATTAAGGAGGACATTTATCTTTTCCACATGTACAAATCTAGCATACACATTTTCCATTATATTAGGATAACTTTTGTGATGATTTATCTGGAGTCTTAAAACCATTCTAAACTTACTTATTCATTCAATAAATTTTATTTATTATTAAAATTTGCAGTAAAAATGTTCCGCCAAAGTCCATACTACTATGAAGTTCGATAAGAAGTTTTTAAGGAAATTAATAATGATTTAGCAAAAGAACTATCCTTAATGAAACTATCTGATTAACGAAATAATTAAAGCATTCCAATTACGAAAAAAAGTGTATCAAAATAAGAATTCATTAGTTATTGTATTTCTTTTTATAATCATTCAGTTTATAAATAACAAAAGTAAAATGAACAAATTATGGAAACTGAAGAAGAAACTAATTTAGTTTGTAAAAACTGTGATACAAAACCATTAAATGCAAATACAATATGTGTTGAATGTTCTCGATTAGCTTGTCAAAAATGCATATATTAATGTTATTATTGTGGATAACTCTGCTGTTTAATTTGTAGTGTTAAAATTTATCTCCATAATGGAGATTTTGTTTCTTGCTTACATTGTAGTTAGAATTAATGAATAAATTTATATATGCTTTTTAAATTAAGGCGCTCAAATTTTATTATAAAACAATTTATAACTAATTTTTAATAACCCTTAATAATCAATATATATAACTTAACAAAATCTCTCTTCTAATTAACTTTTAAATCTAATTAATCATGAAAATAATTGGTATAACTTAAAATTACTATATTATATGATTAAAGATTTTTAGCTTTTATGAATTTGTATTTTTGAGAAATATATTATTTTATAAAATGCATAAAAGGAATTTCGATTATTTTTTTATAAAAAAATATTATTTTGATATTATTTGAATATAATTAAAGAAAATAGAAATTCAAAGATCGTTAAAAATAGTGTATATTTATGATATTTGAAAAAATTTAACCTAATTTAATTTTTATCACTATTTACTCTTTTTGAATTCTGATTAGAAAACAAATTGATTAAAGTTAGAAACATAAAATTAAAAAATATGATACATCAATAAATGTTCATTTTTTTTGAAATTACTTTAGTAATTAATATTTATTATAAATTAAGAATGATAGCAAAGTCTCAATAATGTATTTATTTTTTAAAATCATTAGTTTTTAAACAAATTGATCTGTTTGGATAAAGTATATCCTTAAACCTAAATGGAGAAGATTAATATAAAACTGGAGGAGGAGGAATTTTATCTTGTATGATTGTGGCAATTGTTGCTATATTTTTTTAATCAAACATAATTGATTTTTTAGGAAAGACTAATATTACTGCAGAGACATAAACAGTATTTGAAGAAAACCCTGATAGAATAAAATTTACATCAGATAATTTTATGTTTGCTATTTCAATCGAATAAAAAACAGCCTTCAATACAAATCCATTTTTTAACATTTCAATAAAAGCCAGGTATATTTATATTATAAAATAAAGAACATATGTAAGGTTGAGTAATGGAACAACGATTAAATATGAAAATCTAACAAATTTAGTCCCTTGTACATTAGATAGATTTCAAAAAATATTCGATAAATATGATCTTAATTTTACAGACCAATATAATTAATTAGGATTATCAACATGGCTTTGTCCAGAGTAATTTCTTAATATATAATATAGACTCAATTACTCATTGACTGTAGGTGGTAGATATTCTAGTGAGTATTTAGATTTTGCAAAAATTGAAATAACAGATTGTAAAAATGATACTTCAAAAAATGCTTATTTAACTTGGCATCCAAATTGTGCATCTCAAGATGTAATGAATTCATGGTTATCAAGTGAAGGTTCTTATAGGATAAGGATGTATTTGAAATCATTTTATATCTAGATACATGACTAACACTGTTGTTAATCCATCAAAACCAACAGAATACCTATAAGGTTATTTAGATGACGAAGTCTACTTTTAATTTGTTCCTTTTAAGTTATCACGTTAATCAGACATATTTTTTAAAAAATATTAAATCAAAACTGATTAGAGCTTAGTTCCAGTCTTTGATGATGAACAAATAGAAAATGTATTTATGAAAGAACCTGCTGATTTCAGAGATATTACTACTTTGGGATCTCCAACAGATAAATAATACATAGCTTTGTATTTTAGAAGAAGTCCTTATACAAAATATATCACAAGATAATTTTAAAAAGTTGATGACCTTTTATCGTACTTAGGTGGTTTTGTCAATATAGTAGTTGTATTTTTGGGATTTTTTGTTGCATTTTATAATAAATAATAATGTATGAAATCTAAATAAATATTTAATAGATTTAATTGAACTTGCAAATAAAGTTTATGATTTTAATTTTGATAATAGCAAAAATTCTTAAAAGATTAGAAATGATGACTTAGTTAAGAAAATTACTTAAATAAAAAAAAAGACATAAACACCTAAAATATTAGAAATATAAGATTCAAATTTGCCTCCTAAGAAATCACTCACTTAACCTTTATAAGATGAGGAGATTCGAATATAAATTCCTAATGAAGATACTCCTTATAATACAACAAACTAAAAGTAGATGATAAAAAATACATCTTCAGAAATAAAATCAGAATTTTAAAAGCAATAAGAAGAAATAGTTTCAAAACTTGGTTTTAAAAGTCGAAAAGAATATTTAACATCTTAGATTTCTTAAGTTCTAACTAGAGCTTAACCAATTTAATTTACATTTAAATTCCTTTGTCATCAAATGACAGGTGGTAGATGTTTTAAAGATAGAACTTCTATACTGTTAATGAAAGCAGTGTATATAATATAATTTAATTATGTTTTAGAGATAGAATAAATTCTGATATTGACATCTATGTTATTTTAGAAAAAGTTAAAGAAATTAATTTATTAAAGGAATTAATGTTAGATAAAAATTAATAAATCTTGTTTAATTTTGCTCCTAAACAAATAATATCACTTTTTGAAGAGAAAAAATTGCCAAGTAGAGTAGAAGTTTATACGTAAATTTTAATAATAAATTAGATAAAAATTAACAGAAAATTCAAATTCATCTATGTCAGTGGGTTAAATTGCTTAATTGGCTATGAAGAAACATTCAGATGCTAAAAAAGCAGGAATTCCTTCATCTATTAAAGCATATTAAAAATTATATAAAGTAAATAAAATTTAATGAGAAAAGGCTTATGATAAAATAAATGATCCTTAAAAAGAATTAGGAAGAGTGAATGAATAGTTAATAGATAAATTAGGCAAAGAAATACGAGATATATTTGAAGTTTCATAATTTATAGATTTCGATCTAGTGGAATAAAAATTGAGTCATAGAATAAAATATATTTTAAGAAAAAAGGTAAAATAAATGAGGTAGAGTAAATCAAAATCTTAGTTAAAAAAAGACTTTGATGATGATTCATCTGAAAATTTTGGGCTTTTTAGTTAAGAGAGAAATAATAAACCTGATAATAGTGGTATATTACAAAGAGAAATATTATTTCCTCATAGAAATTTTTGAATTACTGAGAAAGATATTGCTTATTAATGCATATTAATAGGATATTTTATATTTTGACAATTTCTCATATCAATTCGATTGAATCTAAAATGACTTTGCTTTCTTTATTTGCCACACTAAGGAAAAGACTTAAATCACTTACATATGCTTTTGCCATTCTAGAAACATCTTTTTGAATGACAATATAACCTTAGATAAAATAATGAGAAATACTTTGTGTTGGAATATTATTTTCTACATATTCAACAGCTTATCTTCCCTTTAATGTTCTACTCAAAGCTTATTTAGCGCAATACCAATTGATATCATGAATTTCAGCTCCAGCTAAATTCATTGCCCATGTTTATTTATTTTCTTATTTTAATCTAATATATACATCTAACTGGATAAGCTTTGAAAATTCTTTAATAATATGGGACTGGCCATTATGATGTTGACATAACTCTATCTACTATAGGTCTTTCATGAATTGGTCCCCACAAGGCTCCAGAAAAACATGCTACTGATTTACTGTGTGTGAGACGAATCATTTTAATTATTTTTATATAAATATATATAAACTATATAAAGCTTCATAATTTTTCATTTGTTTTGTTGTCAAAATAAGAATTGTAGTCAATTCTTGTTAACAATTAAAATAAGGCAGTTTAATTAGTACTTTTAGTTAACAACTAAATCAAATTAAAAAGAGCAACAAATTAAGTATCAAATTCTACCATCAGTTTATAGCATTCTTTATTTATTACTTAAGGATGTTACATTTCAATTCTATTTACTTACTCAATATATCTGTGAACAAATTTTATTATTTAAAAAATATTTTTAACAATCTATTATAGATTTAAAAATAATTAATTAGAAACTGATTATTCAAATTCATCCATTATTTTTCTCATTTATTCAAAATTAATTTCATTTTACATTCTAGATATCATTTTAGACCATTATACAGCAATTATATCCATTTAAAAATAATGATAAAAAGCATTTACTACATGCATTAATTAAGTATGCATACCCATTATATATTTACAATCTTTTTTCTTAAATTTTTTTGTAAGTTTAATCCATACTTATTATAATTCAAATTAAGCATGTCTAATAGGAAATAAATATCTAAAAAATAATTAGAATTTTTCTTATAAAGAAGGAGTAATAAGTAAAGATAATGGATATTCTACTTAATATTTTAATGTTAATCCACTCCAAGATGCATCATTTAAAAAATTACTCCCTATCATTTTCCATGTATATAAATCAACAATTTACCCATATTATTTAATACCTACCATACATCTACCTAATTCAAGTTAAAAATATTTTTAGAATTTAAAAGCCACCTTTTTCCATTATGAAGGTGGTAAAATGTCAGTCTTACATTAAGTTTCGCTCTAAGTATCATCTAAAATTAATGATAATTCATCATTTTAATAATTTATTTTTAAACTATGTAAATCACCTTCAGAAAAATCTATTTTATCCAATTTCCATTTATATATTATTTCTTCTTTAAATTTTATTTTTGATTCTACTGATAAAGATGATACTTTTTATTAATCCAATTTTAATCTAATAAATATACCATTTTCTTCATCTTAACAAAACAATAAAACTAAACTAGTACTTAAATCCTATGGGACTTATAACATAGAATAACCTCCTAAAGATTTTTATAATTATTGTTTAAATTTAAATACAATTTATAATGTAAATCCATTCTCTATAGATTATTTAACATCTCTAAATACTCCACTCCAATCTTCAGGACCTCTAGCAGGTCCCATTCTTAAAATATTTATTGTCTAAATAACATTATTCTTTATCTATAAATTATTTAAAGATTAAAATGTTTTATATTCAAAACCATTATTGTAAATAAACATTTCCATTTTCTCTGTCTGATCATAATCCATTTTATGTAAATTAAAATTTAATTCTTACAAAGCCTATTATGTCTATGGTAATTGTAAAATTGATTAACAATCAGATAAGAATTATTATATAAAATTACCATTATTAAGAAGAATAAATAAATAAAAGTTTTTTAAATGACTAAATAATTCTTATTTATTAACTATCACTTAAACTAATTATTCACCTACTTGTTTTTACAATTAATCAATAATTCGATTAAATGTAAATGAATCATAAACTTCTATTTCCCTTATTAATTATTAATGTTCATTAATGAATAATTCTTATTACCCTTTTAAAACTTTCACCGCTTTTCCAATAAATAATATTTTATCTGCCATTTATAAAGTAACAAAATGTAATGGTAACATTTAAATATTTAAAGTAAATGATGTATCCCAATTGTATTCATGTTAATCAGTTTTCTTTTTCTCATCTATTCTTTATATAAAAAATTCATCTGAAGTGTCTAATATTTAACCATACTACAACCAAGAGGATAATTATTGAAATAATACCTCATAACAAGCTGATAAAATGTTTTAATAAATTATTTAAAGCTTATCATTACCTGTCAATGTTCTTTCATAAAGATAATCTAATATTTATCCCCCGCGCATATTGTGTTACTATATAATGTTAATGGATGTATGCAAATTCAATAAGATTTAATAAAATGCTTATAATCTCACATTTAATTGAGATACTATGAACATTTTTTCATTCAAATACTCTTATTCTAAAGTCAATATTGTTTATCTATATTCATTCAAACTATTATCTATTCCATATACTAAAGCCTAATACATTTAATTGCAGGTTTACTTTAATATAGCTGCTTTTCTCATCTTGGTTTTACAAAAAATTATCTATTTGCTAATAATGATAACCCAAATTCACAATTTGATTCAATTAAACTATTTCAGGTTTCGAAAAAAGATTCAAAGATTCATCAATATAAAATGGTGAGTTATCAAATTATTTGACAAAAGATCCTGGTTTACCTAACAAAGAAAATAATAAGTCGTGAAGCATAATTTAATTTTTCAATTTTTAATTTTAATAATTTTTGATTTAAGAGTATAAAATAGTATTAGATTATCAATAATATTCTTTAATCATATGATACTTTATTCAAATTTGAGTTTGTGAAATCCAACAAATTTTTGCTTCTTTTCTTAACTTAAAGAAAGAATCTTAAATCATGACATTTTACAAAAGTTATTTAAATATCTCTTTATTCATATTTATACATTCTTTATAAAAATAAATTATTTATACCAGAATTTAAGTAATTTTGTGTTTGGATTAATTGTGTAATTTTTAGATTAATATTTTAAATATGAGTCTTTGTAACAAAAATTACTTATAAGATACCTTTCCATAATATGTTCATGATTAACTAAATAAAGTTGCTGAAGAAGATAGAAATATGGATAAGTAGATTTAATATCTTAATAAAGATCATAGAGAATTTTCAAAATAATTGACATTTTGAGCGAACTTAAAATATTATCCTTTGGTTTAGCTTCTAAATTAAAAACCTAAGAAGGATTTATGTTATTTCCAGAAATAATTTCTGAAAAGTACATAATTGAATTTAAATAAATAAAATCGTGCAATTTGAGAAAAAATGAACCCTCTTATTTTTAAGCTTGGGCATTTGTTAATTTAGACCCAGTACATAGTCTATATTTAATTAGATCGATATGTACAAGTTATAAACATTTTTGCGCATTTTATGTATTTTAGCATATTTTGAGTGCAAAAAATATTTTGAAACACTTCAAATCGATTATAAGTAAAAATATGAAACAGATCTATTTAAAGTGTTTTTATTACTATAAACCTAAAAAAAAGATTTTGAAATTGAAGGAGATAGTTTTTTTCTTTAATTGATAGAGAAATGTGAATGTACAAACAATTAATTCATTTCATATATGTTTAAATTTTGTAAAGAGAAAAATATGTTAAAATGTATGGGATATTTAGATTCTATAAAATAAACAAATAAGATTTCCTCAGAGAAACGTTAAGGATTTTAGAATTTTAAGGAGTAAGAGCAAATAAAAAAAGATTCAATTTAAGAATCATAATAAGTGTGTTAACAAATGATATAAGGATAGAATGCAACAACATAGATTGTAAAGAGATAATCTTCAATATTTCAAAGAAAATCAGTTGATTAACAATGTTAATTAATATAATTTTAGGAGATAACAAAGGATTAGTTAAAATAAAATGTAATAAATAGACCATCATTATCAATGAGAACAATAAAGGATGGAATAAATCATAAATATAAGGTAATAAAGTGTTATTTATGTGAGTGAAGCGTGAAAATGATAATAGACAAAAAAGACATATATAGAGTGAAATAATTAAGTAAAGATAATTTGATGAAGAGGTTTATTAAAAATTAGAGAAAGTGCAAAGAAGAAGAGTAATATATTAAAATTCTGAATTTTTGGCTCCTGAAACTCCAGAAATTTATAGTGATTGATAGTTGGGGATTGATATTATATAAAGTCGTTTTTATTTAATTAATATTAAAATAATGAAATCCTTAATCTTGATTGCCTTGATAGCTGTAGCTTTTACAGTCAGAGTTTAAGAGAGAAACATGGCTAAAGTGTAAGCAGATTTAGCTAAAAGTACATATGGAAAAGCATTACTTCATTTGGTCGAGTTGCACTCAATGGCAGGTGGACCAGTTCAAGAGTTAATCGATGCTATTGAAGAATTGATCAATGACTTAGAAGAAGAATTAGAAACATTAGAATTCAATTTCTAAGTGAGAACAAATGAACATAATGCACTTGTTGTCTCACTTGAATAAGATATCCAAGATGCAGTTATTGGTATTTAAAAAATGTATTTTTAGATGTTAATAATACATAAGACACACTTGATAATTTATTATATCCAAGAAGAGCTTAAATCTAAAGCAAAATTGATACCGTTATTGGATATTAAGAAGAAAATAGAAAAAACTATGATGAAGCAGTCTTAGTCAGAGAATAAGAACATGAAGCATTTGAAGCTTAAGTTGCAGAATTAAATGATGCAACAGCTTCTGTTGATGATGCACTTTCACTTCTTGCTTCATTGACTAATCCATCATTATTATAAATCAAAAGATTTTAAAATACATTGAAAAACATTGAAAATAAATTGAGATCAAGATCTAGAATGGCACCAATGATTAAAGCTCTTATTGCTTTAGCTTCCAATTAAAACTTTTCAAATCAAGATGTCTTGAAATCTATTGTTGATGCTCTTAATGATTTCAGAAATGCTGTTGTTGATTAAATTAATGATTTAACAGCATAAGAAGCTTAAGATGTTCTAGATAATGAGGCTTATCTTGAATAATTAGATACTGAATATTCAGAATTCGGAAGACAAATTGATAGAGCAACTGTAGATTTGACTGCTACCAATGGTAATTTATTTATTATTATTTTTAGAAAAAATTGACTCTATGGTTGAATTCAGAGATTAAAGAGCAGCTGATCAAAAATAATACACTGCTGAATTAGAATTAGAAAATAACACTTATGCTGAAGAAACTGATATTTATACCAACACTAAGAATGAATTCACCAGAGAATTAGGTGTCAGTGAATAAGCTTTAGCTCTTGTTTAAAGTGTTGATTTCTCAAACATCTAGGTTTGATATTAATAAATAAATAAATCAATTATTACAATCATATTTCTAAATATTTCTCTGTTTTTATATAAACAAACTCTATTTTCAATATATTTCTTATATTCATATTTTATAGTAATCACTTTCTCTTGCAATCAAACATTAAGTTATTATCTACTTGAACATTTTGGCATTGACGTAGATGAATTATGATGTTTTCCTTGTTTAGTAAACGCTTTCCCTTCTGATCTTGCTAATTTTCGCTCTGACTATGGAGACTATTTTGTAGATAACAAACTTTATAGTAGTTATTTTTAATTTTTCAATAAACAAATCTCATCCTTAATTGTTTACTTTTCATTTTCAAATTTTTAGGCAAACTCTAAAGTTTAGTATTTCAATTTATCTATTTCGTTTCTATATAAACTCAAAAGTTAATCATCGTTGTGAGGTTAAGATGTTGAAGTTCTAGTAGGAATGTTGAGAGTTCTAAAAGTACATGCTGCTTCTGAATCTAATTCATCCCCTCCAACTAAAGAACATTTTTTAGAATGCAAAGGCAATAAATTCTTTTCACTTTTTTGTTTTAATTATTTTTGGTTTCTTAATTTAATATTAAGATCATAAATTATTTCATCCTTTTACTTTAACTGTTTTTTGAACCCTTCTATAGCGATATCATATTTTTATTTAGCTAGTTTCATAAGTTTTTCATGTTCAAGTTAGATTTGATTAAGGAGATCTTAAAATTGTATTTCCTTTTTTGAAAACTCTTATTACTGTCTTAGCATTTTATCTTTCAAGTATTCAACTTGTTTTGCTAATTGATTTTCTTGTTATTTATTAATGATTTTAGGTTTCGTGTACTAATTGAGTGAATCAGTATATTCGTCTTATTCTGTTTAATTTTTGTTAGAATTGAGTAAGCAAGGCTATAGCAACAATTTAATTTAATCACTAGGTCGTATTATCGTCATTGATTAACTAGTGCATTATGAATAGAGTAAATCATCAACTGGTTCTTAAGTCTAATATAACTTCGGTCTGTTGTTCATTAAGGAATTATTTATAAATATGAATGCATTAATAAGAATAAGTTAAAATGGATCCAGTTAATTCGATAAATAAAGATGATGCATCAGTTTAAGCAAGAGCGAGAAGGAGAAGGAATGATCAAAGTAGTAGGGATTATACATGTGGATGTGGGAAGAGCTATTTAAGTTACCCCGCACTATATACACATTTGAAGTATAACAACTTATATATAGAGACAAAAACATCAAGGAAGTCCACCTTAAGGTACTACTCAACCTAATAATATGAATCCTAAAGCAAATAGAGGCAGACCTAAGAGAGTATTTATCAATTTAATTTTTCAAGTTAGATGAAAATGATCTCAAGGAAGGGAAATCAGATGATGAAAGATCAATCAGTAATAATGAACCTGATGAAACTATTGAACAAGTCCTATTATTTTTAGATAGTATTGCCAATTTTAGATCTGTAATACTTTGTTATCAATTTCAAGGTCATTAAATATGAAAAAGAAGAAGAAAAATAAGCCTATCTATTAAATAACTTCCCTAAAGATTATTTTAGTAATTCTCATGATTATCACTCTATCTATAATCATATTAAAGATATTACAAATGAAAGAGTAAAAAATTGCGGTATTATTTAAATAGCTAAAAAATCCAGATCAAGATCCACTTAATAAAGAAGAAATAGATAAAGATAAAAATATTAAAAAAACTTAAATAAGTAAAATCTTAGCCTATTTTCTTGTGGCTATTGGACCATTATTGACTGAAGAAGCTTATAAGGAAGTATTTTAATACTTTCTATTTAGATGGCTACATTTATTGTATTGTTTTAAATGGCACTCAATGATATGGGTTATCAGGCACTCTAAAATTATGAATAAGAATAATATCAGCAAGGAGATACTGATAAAAAAACTTAATCTTTAGTTAAACAAGGTATGGATACATTAAGTAACAAGACTAAAATATGAATGCAGTATATTGTGAAGAATAAAATGGTGAACACATCTTATTAATAACAAATGATTTTATTTTGTCATTTTTACCATCGAATTTCCCTAAATTGGGTCATGTTGAAAAAACTTTTAGAATATTTGGTAGTCCAGATGAAAAATTAAAAAATGCTGTTTATGTTACTTAACATTTATCATATTGGTTGTATGCTATGAAATTTACTAACTCAAGATTAGCTTTATATACAGATGATGATTAATGATAAATAATCATAATTGTTAATTTGAGATTTAAATTTTTTAGTTATTCATTATAAGTTTAACTTTATAAAAAGTGTAATATTATTTTTGATGTAAATTTGATTGATTGCCTCAATTAGAATTTGAGCTATTAAAATACATAATAATAATATATAGATGTATATAGATTTATAAATAAATAATGAAATAATATTTAAATGGAGAATAAATCAATTTGAAACATCTGAGTATTTCATTATTATAATGATAATAATTCACTCTTTCCCCATTTGATAGGTTATCCATTTAACCAAACACCTTTTCTAATTTTATTATTATAAATGAAGGTGCCTTCTCCATTTTATATTCCATTTTTCCAATTTCCTTTATAAATTCTTCCATCAGACCAATTTAATTCTCCATATCCATTTCTTTAATCTTTTTCAAACTAAAATAAATAGAATTGAATTACATTTCCTTAATAAATCTTTCCATCAGGCCATGTATAAATTCCTTATCCATTCATTTGATTAAACATCCATTATCCTTTATACTAATGAATGAATATATGAATAATTACTTTTTTTCCATCTTTCCAACAATACTCTCCATTCCCATGAGGCATTCCATCTAATAATTCACCTTCATATTTAGAACCATCTGGCCATTCAAATATACCATAACCTGTTTTTTATCCATATTTATAAGTTCCTTCATATCTTTATCCATTAATCCATTATTCAATTCCTTTCTCATTATGATTTAATATATTACTCCATGCTATTTATCTTCAACCCAATCTCCATAATATGAAGTTCCATCAATAGTAACATATTTTCCAATTCCCCAAGCCTTATCATTAATCCATTAACCTTCATAACTTTTTAATTCATATGTATTTTATTTACAAATCTCCATTTGGTAAAACCATTCTTCCATATCCTTATTATTAATCATTATTCCACTCCCCTTCATATATTGATCCTAATGAATATAGTTATTTCCCAAATCCATGTCTCTTTCCATCATACCATTATCCTTAGTAAATCATTCTTATTACAAATACAAATATACCCATCATCAATTTATACTGGACCTATATAAGTAAGTGTTTGATCTTTTAATATTGCAAATGGAAAAGGACCTTAAATTCTATACTATTATTACCTAAAGACTTAAATATCTATAAAGCAAGTGAATTTTATGTATCAAAAATCTTTCTTATTAAAAGAATGTATATGTACATTAGCATTATTAATCAATACTCCCCTATAACTCTTAATGCTTCCATAGTTCTCTTCCTGTGCTATATTTTAATCTTAAAACTTACATCAATTTTCTCTGATCTAATTGGCGAACTTGGAGTTTCATTTGATTCTTTTCTTTTTGTTTGTATTCCTATCTCTATATCTTCATTTTTTATTTAAATTGGAGCTTATATTCCTGTCAAAAATTCCTTATCTTGAGTAGTATTTGCACAACAATTACCCATCTTATTATTTTAATTTTATATATGTAAATAAATTATTTTAAAGCTTTCAATCTTTTAGAAAAATCTTAAAAAACTATAAAAATTTTCAATATCAACTACAATTTTTATTTATAAATTTCAAAATCTTTTTCACTCTTCTATTTCATTAATTAAAGTCAACTCTAATTAGGAATTTCATATTTCAATAATATAATGATTAGTGAACTTTTTAAAATTAGGATTTATCAAATGAAAAAATAATAAATCCATTTTTTAAATTAATTAAATTAAAAAAATAATTTTTAACATATATCTCCGAGAAATTCTGATTTTCTTTTACTTAAATACTTAGATAAATCTCACAAATTTATTAAAAAAGAAATATAATTTAATTACTACCAAAATTATCTTGAATTTTTTCGAATTTCAGACAGTTCGAATTTACTTAATCGATTATTCATAATAATTTTTTTATTATTGCTGGTATAGATATTCATTTTATTATCTAAACTTGTAATCCATATAACTTAACATAAAATTTAAAACATCCCGATATACTCCCCTCAAGATGAATATATTCCTAAATGAAAATGAAATTTTACATAGATATCCTATTTTCTAAACATTAATACTCTTTTCTCTGCTGTGTATGATAATATAAACTCTTCATTTAAATCTATCTTTATTGATCCTTACCTTGATCCTTCAGTTTAATATAAATCTAACATAATTATTATATCATACATCCAGATTAATCCATACAAAAATTCAAAGTACCTATTTTTTTCCCTTAATTATCTACATTTTAAATTCCAAATGAAGCTGTCTATAATAATTATAATTTTTACCAGAGCTTTATCAAGTCTCTCTGTAAATACAAATTTTACTTTTGCATTATCATTCAATGTAAATGCTCCTTCAACTAAGGCAACTCCTTATTAAATACAAGAGAATTGTGTAAATCTGGATGAATATTTTAAGTGTTTATCTGAATTCGTTATATCAAACTTCTTGCCAACTATATTCATTTTCTAGTAAACTTGATCTTCTTTTATTTCGTCGTTTTATTTTTTTTTTACATCTTCTTCTCTTTATTGGTTTTTTTTTTCTGTATTCTCTTTAATTTCATATATTTCTTCCTATTACTATCTTGACTTTGGTTTAATTTCATATAAATCATAATCTTTCATATTATCTCGTATTTTATTCTGATTTTCGTATTTATCAAATCTATCTCTAAAATTATTTTTTTTATAGTTTTAAGTAGTTTCTGAAGGTAATTAAAATTATATTCTATCATCGTCAGTATTTATCTCAGTTTTAGGAATATACGCAATATATTATTTTTATTCATGTTATTATTCCTCTTAAAATGGCTATTAAGATTGTACTTATTACTATTATTGTTATTATGATGAAGATTCTTCTTTTGGATAAAATTATTGCTATTTTTAAATGTTCTTATAATTTTTTAAAGGTATATTATTTTAATCCTCTTATTATTAAAATTTATTTGACTCAAAATTAGATTCTTATTTTTAATATTCTTAAAAATAATTTTTTAATTATATTGGTTAACTGAATTAATTGGGTGGTTAATACTAAAAATCTTATTGCTTCTAGGGGATATTTTTTAAAAACTATATACTTTCAAATTTTTAACTTTGTTCCACCTAATTGATAACATTTATTAAATCATTTGTTATTCTATTTAATTTATACTAAAATTCATCCAAAAACCAATCAACTTAATATAATTACGGTGATCTCTAATAAGAATAATATATATCAATATATTATTGTAAATCAGGTTCAAATTAATTATTATAAGAAAATATTTCTATTTTTTTATTCTAATTAGTGTATTCTTGTAAAATTTTAAAACAAACTCTAAAAAGATATCCATTCAATTTTTTTACTTTTATAAATCCTTAAATAAACAGCAAATTCTTTCACTGATTTATTATTCTTAAAGTTTAATTAATTTAGTAATATTTTCCTCCATCTACATTCTCTATTTCTCATTGAATTGATTTTGTTTTAAATTTATTTTTTTTTCAAACTTTTCTAAAGTATAAACTTTGTGTTGACTATTATAATGTCCTTATAAATCAATCCAATTAGTAATAACTCTATTCATTTTACAATCCTTTTCTATACACACCAGATTAGAATTATTTTATATCCTTTATGTTATTTCCTATATGACCACCTTTTTTTACATTAATATTTTATTCAATATTTTAATATACACAAAAGTAATCTAAAACTCATTAATTTATAAAATGAGATTAAATAAAATCATCAAAAGAATTCTAACCAATCAAAGATTGATAAAATGAATTCATCAAACTTTAAGATTGATACTAAATATCATTTTTTTTAAATGATATATAATTGTTGGAAACAATAATAATATCATAAATAAATTCCCCCTTAAGTTAATTCAATATTTAAGTTATTTTGAAACTGATTCAAACCACAATTTGCTGATATTGATTAAGAATAGGAATTGCGATATCATAATAATTAGGGTTACACTCATATTAATTAGATCCATTAATGTTCTAAATTATAATCACAATTTGTACAATATTACCTTAGATTAATAGTTCACTGTTCTAAATTAAATTGGTTAAGAAGCTGAAAATTATAAACATTCATCATGTTCTCTTGAAATTTTGAATGATACAGTTATTGAAGTGCAGTAATTAATAATTCAATGCTATTTAATATTAATTAACTTTAAGATAAATTTACAAAATTATTTTTATTGTTATCTATATATATTCATATTTCTTAATTAATATTTTAATAATCAAAGAAATGAAATATTTTAATGATATATAAAGTACTTGAAAGTGATCTTGATGGAAATCTAAATTTTTCAGAATATTTTTATTTATTATATTTGTAATTCAATATTAATAATATTATTGTTAGTTTTTTGATATGTTTATATATCCTGTTATAAAAATCAAAGGTTTGATACTTACAAATGCAAGAGACTTTGAACTTCTTTATTTTATTGTTCATAATTAATAGAATTATAAAAGATAAAATAATTATTGTTTTCCTAAATTGACTTTAATATTTTAATAAAAATTTTTAAGTTTTATAAAAATTAAGCCATATAGTATTGATTGAAATATTTGTGAAAATATCAATTGGTATTGAATTAACTTAAAAATTATGTTAATAGAATTAATTTTTTCAGTTGTTGATATCATATTTAATAAATATATATGATTTTTTTAGCAAATAAGAGAAGCTAGTTTTATATAAATGTAATGAATGNTTTTATAAATCCTTAAATAAACAGCAAATTCTTTCACTGATTTATTATTCTTAAAGTTTAATTAATTTAGTAATATTTTCCTCCATCTACATTCTCTATTTCTCATTGAATTGATTTTGTTTTAAATTTATTTTTTTTTCAAACTTTTCTAAAGTATAAACTTTGTGTTGACTATTATAATGTCCTTATAAATCAATCCAATTAGTAATAACTCTATTCATTTTACAATCCTTTTCTATACACACCAGATTAGAATTATTTTATATCCTTTATGTTATTTCCTATATGACCACCTTTTTTTACATTAATATTTTATTCAATATTTTAATATACACAAAAGTAATCTAAAACTCATTAATTTATAAAATGAGATTAAATAAAATCATCAAAAGAATTCTAACCAATCAAAGATTGATAAAATGAATTCATCAAACTTTAAGATTGATACTAAATATCATTTTTTTTAAATGATATATAATTGTTGGAAACAATAATAATATCATAAATAAATTCCCCCTTAAGTAATTCAATATTTAAGTTATTTTGAAACTGATTCAAACCACAATTTGCTGATATTGATTAAGAATAGGAATTGCGATATCATAATAATTAGGGTTACACTCATATTAATTAGATCCATTAATGTTCTAAATTATAATCACAATTTGTACAATATTACCTTAGATTAATAGTTCACTGTTCTAAATTAAATTGGTTAAGAAGCTGAAAATTATAAACATTCATCATGTTCTCTTGAAATTTTGAATGATACAGTTATTGAAGTGCAGTAATTAATAATTCAATGCTATTTAATATTAATTAACTTTAAGATAAATTTACAAAATTATTTTTATTGTTATCTATATATATTCATATTTCTTAATTAATATTTTAATAATCAAAGAAATGAAATATTTTAATGATATATAAAGTACTTGAAAGTGATCTTGATGGAAATCTAAATTTTTCAGAATATTTTTATTTATTATATTTGTAATTCAATATTAATAATATTATTGTTAGTTTTTTGATATGTTTATATATCCTGTTATAAAAATCAAAGGTTTGATACTTACAAATGCAAGAGACTTTGAACTTCTTTATTTTATTGTTCATAATTAATAGAATTATAAAAGATAAAATAATTATTGTTTTCCTAAATTGACTTTAATATTTTAATAAAAATTTTTAAGTTTTATAAAAATTAAGCCATATAGTATTGATTGAAATATTTGTGAAAATATCAATTGGTATTGAATTAACTTAAAAATTATGTTAATAGAATTAATTTTTTCAGTTGTTGATATCATATTTAATAAATATATATGATTTTTTTAGCAAATAAGAGAAGCTAGTTTTATATAAATGTAATGAATGTAATGATTATTTAAGATGAAATATGTATTCATTTTCACTAATAAGAAATATTGTTTAAATATATTTATTTTTTTAGATAAAAATATATTTATCAAATAAATTCTTTAAACTAATAAAAATACTCTGATATTGAAATTCTTAAAATACTTTAAGACTTTTTATTTGTATCCAATTCGTAAAAAAAGTCCTTAAAATATATATGATGATTATTTTAAAATAAAATAATTGACTAGTTCTCTTAAATAATAAAGAATCCAATTTTTAATTAATATCTTAATTATAGAATAATTTAATAGTAATGTATTTAAATCTTATTTTTATTCTACTCTAATAGAATCTAACCCATTATATAAATTAGATAAATCAATTCAAAATAGTAACTTTGACTCCACATAACTTAACGTAGAATTTAAAATTTCCAGAAACTTTATGCACATCAAAATATTCCTAAATACTAAGTAGTATTTTTTACTTCAGCCTCCCCTCTAATAAAATATAAGATTCTTTTTTTGGATGAATAAGATATCAGATATTCTTAATTCAAAGATATTTTTAAATTGCCTTTAATTTACCTATTTCTTGAAATAAGATCTAATTGAAATGATTGAAGTTATACTTCCTTATTCATCCATTCCATATATAATTCTACCTTATTTAAGACTTCCATTAAATTGACCATACTTATTTACTTACAGGATTCCTATTTCAGCATTCTAATATGAGAAAAAAGTTTACAAAAGTTTTGTTTTGGCATTCAGAAAAAATTAAATTAATTTCTGCATCATTTTATAATGAAAATACCCCTTCAACCAATCCGATTCCTTCATTAATGGATTTAAAAGACTCATAATTTTAATAATAAATTAGTTTTTTATCCGAATTAAACATATCAAATCTAACACCATAATAAATTTCGTTTGGAGAAGATTCTTAAAAATTTTTTTTTCTAATATCTGAAAAATTTAATACTCATATTAATCTTGTTGGTTAAACTATTTTTCTACAGGAACTTTTTATTCATATAAATCTCTTTCATTCTTTAAAGTTGTATCTTAATTCTAATTTTTTGGAATATAATCTATCACTTATGGTAATACTAATTCTTTGATGTCGTCATATTATTATTTTTTATATTCTGTAGAATGATAATTTTATTATTATTGAAAACATTTATATCCTTTTAAAGGAATGCTTTCAAGCTCATTTTGATCATCGGTATCATATGAAGGATTTGTAATAAAACTTTATTATTAAAACGAATCTTAATCAGCCTCCCTATTTTTGTTTTTTTCATATGTTATTTTCTGTGGCTTGTTGTAAATATTTTATTTTTGATGTTCATTTTCTTCTACTATAATTTAGTTAGTAATTAACTATTGGGTTTCTGGAAATATGTTTGGCTTTGAAGCATCCTATTTGTTGATATTTATAGAAAATTAACTTTCTGATAAAAAATTCTATTCCAAAAAATTAAAAAAAGAAAGAAATTCATTGTTCATACAATTTAATTAAAATTAAATTTCATCTAATAACATAGTTACTTACTATTATTGATTTGGCTTCATTTAATCATGGAAGATGTTGATATATTTCTATAAGTCTACTTAGATTAAATGTGAAGTTAATATATTTTCTTATTCTTTGTCAATTGATATTAATTTTTAAAAAGTATTTAATTACGTTCTATTAATACAAAATAATTTTTATACTTTTTAAAATGCTCTAAAATTTGTTAAAAACCTTAAATAATCTGCTACTCTTGTTTCTCAATTAATAAAAAAAGATCTTCCTCAAATTGTATCGATTATTGTTAATTAAAGTTTTTTAATTTAAACTTAACTTTGCTTTCAAACTTATTTTTAGGGAGAATTTTGTGATCACATGAATTATGCTACTGCAATTAATCCCAATTAGTTATAACTCTGTTTAAGTTGCATTAATTTTCGACACAAATAAAAAAATTCTAATCAGAATTTTATGCTTTTATGATATTCATAATAATAAAAAACAAATAAAATTTAATGATTTTTTTATCAATAAGATATTGTGATCTATAAACAATCTTAATTTGAAAGAAAAACTATTAAATTAAATAAGAGATTATTTAAGGAGTTTTAGAATTCAAAGATAAAGAATTCATTTTCATTTTAACTTCTTAAAGTAAGTAATTAAGATTTGTTGGAAACTTTCATTTCTTGATTTTTAGGACTTTACATATTATCAAATTCAGTATTTAAACAAGATTCAAGTACTTTACTTATTTTAGTATAATATATATACATGTTTTTTAAATCTTGTAAGCTAGAAGCATCTTCACATTTATTATATTACCTTTTCCTACTTTCTCTTGTAAAGTAGAAACTACACCATTCTCTATTTGTGAATATATTTCTTAACATACAGAAGTTAACAATCTTTTATGCAATTTATAAAAGTGATAGTTGTTAGTTTTCGAAATTGAGAGATTCGAACTTGAATATTTTACTGATAATTTCATCCAATTTAGAAGTTTTTTTTCATTAATATATGTATAAGTTAATTTATACATTTACAAATTGAGTCTTTTCTTCTTTTAGAAAATAATCTATTGAATTTTTAGAATCTTTAAGTTTTGAATATTAAAAGTATATATTTTTATATCAATTTAATTTCTCAATATTTAGATTTTTAATTTTTAATATCTATAATAAAATAAATGTCAATAAGTATAATAATGATATTTATATGTATAAAATACAAAAGAATAAAAAAAAGAATACTCGTTGAATGGTTAATTTATATACAAATATAAATTTTTATTTTAATGGATAATCGTTTGGAAAAAAATGTAAACAAATTAATTGAGCGCTACAAGAAAACAAGTTTATAAATAGATTAAATGATATAACCAGAGTCATAAAATTCTCCACCTATTATGGTTTATCATACTAGGTCAAGATAAAGCAAAGCAAATATAAATGATGAGTAATTAATAGATTCTTAAAAGATTTTAGAGAAAGCTCATCTAGAGAAAAGAAAAATCATTCAATTGAACAAATTAGTAGATTAAGAGAAACTCTATATGCTAAAGAGAATTAAGATAAAGAAAAATAGGAAAGATTATTGATATTAAATAAAGAATTGAAAGTACTGTTATAATTTGAAAATTAGATGACTTTAAAAGATTATATTTAAGCAAATAAAGAATTAGAGGGAAAGTTATGTTAAAGAGAGCGAAATATCAAATAACTAGAATTTGAATTAAAATCTCTTTAAGATTCCTTAACAAAGGTAGATAGTAATTAAAAAGATCTTCGATTAAAGTGTGAAAGTTAAGATAAAATAATTGAAGAATTAAAATAATAACTTCATGTTTCCCGCTAACAATTTCAATCAAAAAAAGAGAAAATTTAACTATTAAAGAAATAGATTAAATAATTAGAATAATAATATGAAGAGCAGGGTTTAAATTTTAGTAAGGAATTAGAACGTGTTTAAAAACTATGCGAAGAATTTTCTGCTGAAATGTATCTGTTAAATTATTATTAAATAGTAAAAATTAAGAAGAACAAAATAAATACTTGGAAGATGAAAAAAGATAACTTAAAAATGAAACTATCTCAAAGGATGATTAAATTAGATATTTTGATTAGTTAGTTTAAGATATAAGATTTAGAGATGAAGATAATTAAAAGTAAATAGAGTACTTATCTAAATAATTAAAATATTAAAAAGATTAAACACAATAGTATATAAATAAATATGAAGAATCTTAGACATATTTAAATAAGCTTTAATTAAATTAATAAAATCTTGCCATGAATTTTGAATAAGAAATTATTAAAATTAATAATTAAAATAAAGATCTCTTTGATAAAAAAAAATTGAAAATTAATGAATATAGAATAAAAGTAGAATAATTATAAATTAAAAATAATGAACTTCAAAAATAATTGGATAACTCAGATAAAAAATGTTAAATATAAGAATATGAATTATAAAAAATGTCTCAAATTTCATAAGAATTAAAATCACTTAATGATCAAAACAATCGTAAATTAAGTTTGAATGAATAGAAAATTAATTAACTACTCTAAGAAAATTCAGAGCAAAAATAAATTAATTTTAATCAAAAGAATTTAATTACAGACTTTGAATAAAAAGCTCAATAACAACGAATTAATATACAATAGGTATAATCTAATCATTCTAATGTAGCTAACTGAACAAAATTAAAATCTTTCTGATTCTCTTTTTTAAATATAAAAATATACTAAAAATTTAGAATTTGAATATCAGGAAGAAAAATAATAAAAGGAAATATAAATGGATGAGATTGAATAAAAAATTGATTCTTTATTTGAACAATTATAATTCACAAAAGATGAATTAAAAGATACTAAATAAAAAGAATAAGATTTAAAAACTAAATTAAAATAATAGGAAGTTGAGATTGAAAATTAAGTTTAAAAAGCATTGAAGTATAAATAATAAACAGATGTTCTTAAATAAACCATTAAAAATGTATTCTTATTTTAATTTTAAAGTTAGAAGATAAATTTAAGATTTGTGATTCTCAAACATAAAATGTGTAAATTTAATAATAAAAATACGAAGAATAATAAAATTAATAAAAATTAAAAGTTTTAGAAGATATTTAATCATTAATCAAATTACACCGGAAAATATGAAAATATATATAATATATAATATTTGAAAATAAATATTTGTAATTCTAAATAAATTTTTGGTTACATAATTAAATGATTCTGTTATTCATTTGTGAAAATAATTATAAATTACATCATTCAACTCATTTTTTTAATAAATAATATTTCTAATGTCTATTTCAGTTTAAATCAGGTTAATATTTGATAATTAAACAATATTAAATATAGAAAACAAAAATGAATCCGTTCAACCATCAAAACTAAAATTCTAATTTCATGCCAAATTATGCATACAATCCATCTTAGTATATCTAATCTTATTACTAATAATTATCTCTTTATTACCTCCTTTAGAGACAAATTAACCCTCAAATTTACCAAGGAATATAAAATTATAAGCATCAAATCGAAACTATAACAATTTCTAGTGATGAGGAGTAGCCAATAATAAAACCAAAAGAATAACTTTCAAAAATCAAACCAGCAGAATAAAATATTGGAAAATCGAGGATTTTAGACCTTGATTAATTAGAATAGTAAGGAAAAATATATGATGATAATTCTTGTGAGTCACCTTTATTATAAGAAAGGGTCTAAAAATGTTTAATATCTCAAAAATCAAAAATATAAACTAGAAAAAGTTTATAACCATTCAAATTAAAAAAGAAAATACTAAAGACTTAAAAATAATCTAAAAATTACTGTTTAAAAGTTCAGAAATAAGTTTTGTTTGGGTAGTAGAGATAATAATATTAATTTAATCAATCTAGTATTAAAACACAATTGATAAAAGTTTATACAAAAAATGAAGAGAAGCGTAAGTTTAATTTATTCTATGAGATAGTTTAAAAATTAAAAGAACTTTTGTTAATGAATTTTCCAAATTCGAATGACGAAGACGCTGTCAGATTACTGAATGCAACTGGAAAATCATATGAAAAAGCAATGGACTTAATCAAAGAAAATGAATTACTTGTTCAATATATTTTAGAAAGTAATATTTATTAATATATTCAGCTAATAAAATGAATGAAGTATTGGAAGATGATGATATCAACCAATAATGAAATGAATCTGGACTTTCTAAGTTAAATTTAAATATATTTTTTAAGAAATGTAATATAATTATAATACAATTTGTGATCCAAAATAAAACTATTAAATTTTATAGGTTTTATTTATTTATAAATTTTTCTATCTAAATATTCATTAAATTTAGAAATGATTTTTTAAACGCATAGAAAATAAGTTTTCATCATAAAGCCATAACAAAGTTAGAGTTTAAAAAAAAAAGTAGTATTACAGTATGCAAATTTTTAATTGTCAATTTAAAAAATTAAATTTGAAATAATAATCATGGGAAGTGGGTAAAATAATATTTTTATGATTAGTTGAGTTTTTTTTTATTATTATTTCTTGATAACTATCTTAATATTAACAAAAATAAGAATATATAATTTTTAATAATTTTATAATTCAAAATTAATAATTTAATGAATAAGAGAAAAATTCATTTTATAAAAATTAAGAGATAAAGCAATAAAAAAGAAATTATGAGGGAAATCTACTTCTGAGAAAATCTTTTTATTTAAATTGAATAAATGTATTTGTGTAATTTATTAATGATATTAATTTTAATCAATTAATTTCTCTTTGTTTTGCAATTAATGCTTTAATTTATTTTATATCAGTGCTCCATTAACCAAATGGAATTATATATTTTAAGTAAGCGTAGAGAGAAGGTTTCAATGCTTGTTCAGTAATTCCTATTAAATATGTTTATTAATATTTTTGATTTTTTTAAAGCAAATCTTATTCATTTTTTTGAACGATATCAGCAAAATCAGCAATTTCTTAAGGTTTTTTGACAAATAACATAATGTAATAGAATTATTTACCTTGCTATAAATATTATTTATAAAGTCTTATAACATCAGCTATGTCTAATACAATTATAGGATCTTTAATCTCTATTTTATCGTAAGTTGAATTTCCAAAATTTTTAATAATGTCTTTTGATAATTTAATATCTGGAATATAACATAAAATTTCATGAACTGTTTTAGGAGGTTAAGTTACGTTGCATCTATGAGTCCATTTGATAAAAGCTCGATTACTTCTATTACTTAAGATTGAGTTATGGAAATTGAACTAACAAGGACCATTCTAAGGATCGCAAGTTGTATCATTTCTTCTTGGAAATATTACTCTATAATCCCTTTTAGAAAGCCTCTTTTTTTTTTTAGGTTTTTTAGCTTCTTTCAAAAGATTCTTAAATTTTTCTTTAGCCAAATCTTACAATTTTCTTGCTCTAACTTATGGTGTAATAAAAGCTGGAGGTGAATTTGCTATGCTGTCTGCATATTCCTAATATATTTTCAAATTATTACACTTATTGCACATTTAACATTATTATCTTGATCATCAAAATGAACTTTATCTAAAAGGCCTTTATCTTTTGCATCTTCTAATGCAGTTTCTAAAATAATAATTAATTCATCTCGAATTTCAGGAAAAACAACAGATGCTCTTGAATAAGATGATTCTTTTTTTTATTCATTAGATGTTGGTAAACTCTTTCTAGATTATGAATCTAAAATAAATTTTGTTGGTAGAATTTGAACCTTTTCTTTCCATTAATAATGACAATCATCTAATACACTTCTTGAAAATGTAAGATCTGTAAATTGTGATATTTATTCTAATTTATTACTAGATATCAAACTTAAGAATGTGAATATAATTATAACACTATCACCATCTGTTTAAAAATTAAATTCATTCTAATTCTGTTTCATTAATTATTTACATTATTTTAAACAATGAATAAGCCACTCTTCATTAGGAGTTAATTTAGTTTCATTTACTCCAAAAACTTATGAATATAATTTTATAACTGAAGGGGTACAGGTAAAATTAAAAGTAAATTCAAGTTCATAACCTGCTTTCTCTGAATTTATTTGTGAAATTATACATTTGATAGACATTTAACCTTTTTATTTATCACAAAATTATGTTGATGTTAGTAGAGTCTAAAATATAAATATCAAAAGTTTCTTATCTCCTGCTACTATTTCAGGAATGCCACTTTCAAAGTTTAAATTAATAATATTAAAATGATCATACAACTTAAGAACCATTGATTCTATAATATTGCAAATGGTAACTTTTAAATAAAATTAAGATATTTCATTTTGTAAATTTTTTATTAAAGATTTTACTTAATGTTCTAAGTGTAAACATTCTGATAAACATTATCCTAAAACACTTAAATCAGATTCCTTTATCATTTTAAAGGCTCTTAAATTATTCCATTTAGTATAATCCTAATTTAATTGCACATATAACTTGTTTATTTATTCATACATCAATTAAAAAAAATAATTTTCTTCACTTTGGAAATATGATTGAACTAAAATAAAATTTCCTGACCATGGTTTTATATAATATTCAATACTTTCTTTATTTTAATTCTCTAATTATATTATTCCATAATATTTTCTTTTTATATAATCTTTTATTAAATTTTTCTATTCTTGATTAAACTTCAATGACTTATTTGAAAATAATTCATTAAAATTTTCATCTAAATATAGGATGTGATGAGGAAGATTAAGAAAAATACTATCTTGTTCTTATTAATGAGAGTTGATGCTACATATTTTTGAATAGAGAAATCTTTTTAGGATTTCAATAGCTCTCAAAAGTGCAGCAAAAAAAAAAAATATATAAATATGATTCAATTATCTTATGATTCCAATTTAAAATATCACTTGCATTGGCCAATAAGGCACTAATATCAAATTATTAATGCAGGTAAAAATATGTGAATAAACACAATCCTTTTTTGTTTCAATTTATTATGCCATATATAATATAGTTTGGATCAAAAATCTCCATTTATGCTTGTTTCTATAATAAAAATATGATGCTATTACAACACTTACAATTGTAATATAATTACTAAAAAATGCAATTTTCAAAATAATTATTACAGGAAATAAGTAAAGACCACTAAATTTTGATAATCTGAAATTCTGTTCATGTTTTTCATATAAAAATCGTCCTGTTGAAGATATTTAGTATTTATCCATTATTTAATTTTATAATTTATTATTACTCACTTAAATAATGTTATTTTATTATTATTGCTTTTCATAAAAGTTAAGTCTATGTAAAAAGTTTTATTATTGCATAAATAAATTGAAAAATCCAATTCATTTTGAGTTGGTATTATTTTAGAGTATTTATTAAGAGTAAATGTTCAAACTTCATTAATAAATATATATATTTCTTATCTAAATTATTCCTTTTATATACAATACATATTGGGCTGACGTAGAAAATTAAAATTAAATTTAATTTATACTTAAATATGGAATTTTATTAAATTAATTAAAAATGAATAGGTAGCATAAATAATAAGATTTTTAAATTGCAACTACTTAATTATACAAATGAAGTCTTAAAACTTGGGAAAATTTAGCAATTATTTTTCTCTAGGCTACCGATGAATATTTTTTTTTTAAATTAAGCCATTTCTTTTTTTTCTATTTAAATTTTCAGAATTTAATTCCTTCTGTTTTCTATTGTTATATTCTCCATAAATATTAATTTATATATATAATAATAAAAATTCTTTAGCTTTGTGATAAAAATAGATGAATACATTTTTGAAGATGATTACGTAATTCGATGGATTCTTTGTTGCTTTCAATGTTTCATTTGGACTATTTGAATAAAAGATATTTTTTAAATCTTTTTGTGGAGGGATAGCAAGTATAATAATCTTAACATTCATATTGGTCTACTCATTAAATTAATTAGTTATATGGGGATCAGGTGAGATGATTTATAAAGTATCATCACAATAAAAAACAATAATTGAAGGAAGTGATTTGGAGTAGCTTTTTTAAAATAGTAATCCAATTCAAACAGTTGAAATAGAGTTCCTAAGTAAAATAAATGCATTTAACAATAATAATATGATCATGATCCCTTTGCTTTATATTTAATAAGAAGATGAAATGTATGCTTTGTTTTTTGATGATGAATAAGAAAATTCTAATTATTTAATGGTTGATTTAGATAAATTACTTTATAATTCTTTTAATATAATTTTTGTTAAATGTATTGGGAATGAATATTATTTAGATGAATCTCAAAAATGCGCTAGTCAAGAAGCTAGTGATGAATTTTTTAATTAACGTGGATTATTATCATTTGTTAATATATATTATCAAGAATTTGATTTTTCAAGAAAAACTTACGAAGATTATTATTCATCTATTAAATTACCATTAGATCCAAGTTTAAGCAGTGAATTGCAAATTTTAACAAATTTTGAATTAACAGAAATAAATTCAGGATTTTTATTTTAAACAAAAGAAGAATATTTAATAAACTCAGGATGTTAGTCTTAAATTTACACTTATTCACCAAATTATCATAATTAATTATATTTGGAAGGTTATAATGCTACAAATATTGTTGGTACTGTTTTTTTAGAAATTAATACATCCATTTTTTATGTAAGAAATTAATATCCAACAATAAGTGAGGTTTTGGCAAATATTGGTTCTATTATATAGACAATATTATTAATTAGATATTTATTTTATATTTTGAATAGAAAATAAATGAATTCCTTTATTAAATCCACATTGTTATAAGATTATTATCCAGAACTAAAAGATTTAAAGGAAATAAATAAAAAAAACTCTTGTTAATTAAATGATAAAGATATAAGTAAAATAAGCATTAAGAAATTTCAAAAATAAGTTGATGAAATGTTAAATTATAAATTGGATTATATAAATTTAATTTATGAATTACATCAAATGTAAAAGATTTTATAATTGATTTGTCCAGCAGATATACTTTTAAAAATTCATAAAAATGATTCTAAATTAAATATTCAACCTGATCCGGAATCAAATACATTTAGCATTTAAAATAAATGGTCTTAATTTGAAGATTATGAAGACATCTTAAATAAAAATTATTTAGATCCATTTTTCTTTAGCTATTATTGGAAAGCAAAAAAAAAATTAGAAATTATAGATATCAAATCATCCCTAAAAAGTGAAAAACCACAAAAAATATGTTAACCTTCTAATATCTAAGAAAATGTGTTATCAGCTAATGATCTATTAAAAGTTTAAAATAATAAAATTGTACATGAAGATCATAATTTAATTATATAAAATTGATATAAATATATTTAAATATTTATAATTAAATGAATTTAATGCTTATTTTATTAGATATTGTTTATTAATATTTTTAATTGTTAATTTATTGAAGACTGGTTTCAAAAGTAAAGAATTTATCTTTTATAACCATGAAAACCAGATTTTAAAAAAATTTAAATCACTTTTTTTAGACAGGATAACGGATTTTAAAATTTATAATGAAAATGATAAACATTTCCAGTAATTAGCTGAAATTTCTAAAGTTTTTATTAAAATTCTAAATCTAAAAATTATAATTTTTATCGACCAAGTAGCTTAGATTTATTCAGAATTCTTTTGTAATTTGATAATTTTAATAATTATTTATTTATTGATAAAGATTTTAAATTCACAAGATGAGCATCTAATTTAAATTATTATTCTGGCCAAATTTATAGATAATGCTTTGGTCCATTTATTTCAAAACAGTAATCAACTATTTTAATATCTACTCAATAAGGTAGTTTTCTATTTTAAATTTCTATTGTATTTTATTAAATAGCAAATTTATATTCATTTAATTATGCTTGTTTCTTCGAATCTAAATTTATTTTGAATTAATCGATTATTTCTGACTTTTTGCTATTCACTATATTATAAATGATATTTAGTTAGACATATTTTTGGTTCTTAAAGTATTTTAATGATATCTTAAAGTAAATCTGAATTTATCTTATATAAATCTCATAAATAAAACATTCAATTATTGATGTGCATAAAATAGAGAGAACTTAAAGATGTCAAAATCTTAATACACAAAATCATGATGATCTACCAACTAATAAGATTATTATAAAAAAGCTTTTTTCACTTTTGGATGGGGATTATGATGGATTAATATCAATAAACAAAATCAATCTCTAGAATTTACCAAATCATCAAGTATAAATTTCTTAATTAACAATGAGGTTTACGATTAAATTTAATCTTCTTCATTTCCTTTAGATTTTGAATATTTCTATAAAAAAATTAAAGAAGACCTTTAGGAAGAATATTTCTAAACTTTGAAATTAATTAGTTAAATATTTAACATATCCAGAATTAAAGTGTTAATTTGATTACATATTTTAATCTAAATGATTGTTTAAAAGATATAAAATATTGTTGAAAATCGGATTATTTTTATGGTCATCTTCTACTAATTTATATTAAAGCAAATTTTATTTCTGTTTTTAAATGAAGAAATGTATTGATTTGTTAAGAGGATGGTCTCAGAAGTTATAAAAGTGTTTTTAGCTAGATTATATAAATTAGAATATTTTTTTGTTAGAATTTCTTTTAAATTTATCAGTAAAAAGTATTTATAATATTTTACAATTATATTTCTATTCAGGATAATAAAATTTTGCANTCTAAAAATTATAATTTTTATCGACCAAGTAGCTTAGATTTATTCAGAATTCTTTTGTAATTTGATAATTTTAATAATTATTTATTTATTGATAAAGATTTTAAATTCACAAGATGAGCATCTAATTTAAATTATTATTCTGGCCAAATTTATAGATAATGCTTTGGTCCATTTATTTCAAAACAGTAATCAACTATTTTAATATCTACTCAATAAGGTAGTTTTCTATTTTAAATTTCTATTGTATTTTATTAAATAGCAAATTTATATTCATTTAATTATGCTTGTTTCTTCGAATCTAAATTTATTTTGAATTAATCGATTATTTCTGACTTTTTGCTATTCACTATATTATAAATGATATTTAGTTAGACATATTTTTGGTTCTTAAAGTATTTTAATGATATCTTAAAGTAAATCTGAATTTATCTTATATAAATCTCATAAATAAAACATTCAATTATTGATGTGCATAAAATAGAGAGAACTTAAAGATGTCAAAATCTTAATACACAAAATCATGATGATCTACCAACTAATAAGATTATTATAAAAAAGCTTTTTTCACTTTTGGATGGGGATTATGATGGATTAATATCAATAAACAAAATCAATCTCTAGAATTTACCAAATCATCAAGTATAAATTTCTTAATTAACAATGAGGTTTACGATTAAATTTAATCTTCTTCATTTCCTTTAGATTTTGAATATTTCTATAAAAAAATTAAAGAAGACCTTTAGGAAGAATATTTCTAAACTTTGAAATTAATTAGTTAAATATTTAACATATCCAGAATTAAAGTGTTAATTTGATTACATATTTTAATCTAAATGATTGTTTAAAAGATATAAAATATTGTTGAAAATCGGATTATTTTTATGGTCATCTTCTACTAATTTATATTAAAGCAAATTTTATTTCTGTTTTTAAATGAAGAAATGTATTGATTTGTTAAGAGGATGGTCTCAGAAGTTATAAAAGTGTTTTTAGCTAGATTATATAAATTAGAATATTTTTTTGTTAGAATTTCTTTTAAATTTATCAGTAAAAAGTATTTATAATATTTTACAATTATATTTCTATTCAGGATAATAAAATTTTGCAAAAATTTTATGTAATAAGAATAATAAATATTAGTGCAATTATTATCAGTATCTGATAGAATACCTGAACTGATTTGCAAATTTCTATAAGAAGTCACTTTTCTAAGATAGTTTGATGAGACTTAAGGTCAAGGTTTTATGAGAAAATTAGCAGGTTTAGTCTAATTTAAGATATTTCAATAAGATGAGATAATATTAGAATAAGGAAGACCTGTTAACTCATTATACATATTTATGTATGGATAAGTAGGAAAACTTTAAAATAAAAGAGATAAAAACTTTGAAGTCGTATAAGAGAAAACAGCAATTGGCGAAATATATTTTCTAACTCGCTAAGCTTGTAAATTCTGGTTTTAAGCATTGAAATCATCCCTTATTTGTTATGTAACAAAAGACAATTTCTACAAAATTGTTAAAAAGAAAAATATTACAATGTCATTGTTAAATGAATTACTATAATATCCATTTTTTACATAATTATCAATAAGGTAAAGTAATTTAATTTATTAATGTAGTTTTATAGAATAGATATGCTAAAAGAGTTAAACAGTTAATTATTTAAATCATCAGATTGTATTTGATATTGATTAAGATGCAAACAGTTGGTATATAGTCATTTAAGGCGAGTTTGTAGTTTTATATCAACATTAAAAAAAATACTTTCCACTTATTCTACTGTCTTAAGGAGATTATTTTGGAGAAATTGAAATTGTATAAAAGATGTAGCGCTAATATAGAATATAATGTATAAGTAATGAAGCAACTTTATTAGAAATAAATAAATAATCATTTTAATAATTAATGATTTATGATTAACAATTTAAGATTATGATTCATCAAAATATATTGAATAGAATTAATTCATATCATGAAATAATCAAATAAAATATACTTACTTTAAGTATACCTTTGTCAAGTAAAAGAAGTAGATCAAAAATACATCTGAAATCTATTCATTTAAAAATAAAAAGTACTGAAACTTCAGTTGAACCAAATGTTTAAGAATTTTAAAGTGAAAGAGAGAAGGCTTTATTAAATTTATTAGAATCTAAAATAGTTAAGAAAGAGAATAAAAAAACCTTATATTAAAGATTGAGACAATAAAATCCTAGATTGTTATAATTTCTTGAAAAAATGGAGGAAGTTAAGTAGTCTTAATATAAATAATAATAATAGAAAAGATTTGAATAAATAAAGCAGCTTCCTTCAATTTAATTAAATCTTATGATTCATTCTATTTAATCTTATTCTCAGATACCTTTATTGTCTTTTAAAGGAGATTCTCCAATAAAAATAAGATAATTATCTAAAAGCAGAAATAAAAATAATAATTCTTCTGTACATACTTTATAACAAACTTAAGAGATTTTGACAAACATGGGATAAGGTAAATATTTTAAATTGTTATTTCATAAAAAAGAAACTTGAAAACTATTTGAATAAATATCTATATATCAAATTAATGACTCATATGTTTAAGTTCTAGGTCCCTAACTTGTTTTAAGTTCTAAGAAAAAATAAAAAGTAAATACTTCTAGAGGAAGATTAACTTGTTAGATTTCGTTTAACTTATTCTTAAGCTGCTAATAGATTAAAATCATCATTTGTTCCTGAATAATAGTTAATATTGTTACTTGTTCTTCTTTATAAATTATCTCTATATTTTTTAACCCTTTCAATATCATTAACCCAAGTTTTTCTAGAGTATGCTGAACTAGCTGATTGTAAACGTTTTAAAATAGTTTAATTTTCTGAACTTATCTTAACTTGTTCTCTTCTTCTTAATGCTTCTAATGAACCATGCATAGGTGGTTATTTTAATGTACTATTTCTTTATTAGATTTCCATCATTTTTCTAAGCAATTTACTATTTTTATCCATTATTACCTAATCATTAGCTAAAAAAATAAGTTTAAATATATACTATTTGTATATTTATTGACTAATCTTGATATTGAATGTCCTGGTTTCCATGGTTAAGAATTATTTATAAGTGGCTTAGAATTTTAAATTTTATTTAAATGCATTAGTTGCTCCTTGTAATAATCAACTAATAATTTATACTTAAGCTATTTTTTTCTTAAAACATATTGGATTAGAGTAAATGAGATTCCACATTATAAATAAATTAAATGACTGAAGTAGAAAAACAAAAATTAAGAAATGACTCAGAGTTTTATGAAATTGTTCGAACTTTTCATGAATTAGTGACAGAGATCAATAAAAGTTAGTAATCATTATATTAGGTATTCACAAAGGAAAAAAGCATTATCATAAAAAGAATAATCATCATATGAATTTAAGCTAAATTCAGAAAAAATCGAAACAAAAATAAAAAAAACCAATAAATTTAGAATTCTAAAGGAATCAATATCATATTAAATTAGCGTATGGAATTTACTTAACGAATTCTACTTCAGAAAACTCACTAATTTCAATGGAAAAATGGAATCCTCTTTAACAATCATTGAAAATAATAAAATAATCTTAGGACATAGATTTAAATAAAAAGTATATTTAAATAGTTGAACAATTATAAGAAAAGAAGGAAGCAACTTGAAATTAATATTTTTATTATAATCTAAGAAGTAGAAACTTGTTATTTATAAAATGGCAGATATTAATATTGTAATTAATAATACAATATTAATTTTCATAAATCTTTTGAACTTTCAATGAATCCTCCTATTTCTTAATCATCTATTTTATTTTCTTTAAGTTAATTGATATGTTCAATTATTTTTCTTTACATATTTTAAAATCTCTTTTTTGCATTATTTTTTGGTGAACCTGTTGGAGAAACATGTTTTGATAATTGTTTTTCTGATTCTAATTTAAATTTAAGAGCATAAACTTTGCACATTTCTTCAGGAGTCTATTAATCAATTAAAAGTTCTTCAATAAATCCAGTTTCAACTCTGAATAACCATCCATGAACCATAACAGCTAAAAATATTAATAATTTGATTTACGATTTCCTTTTTGCCAAGCTTTTTAAACTATAGGATTTTTCCATATATTCATAACTTATGCTCTTACATTCAATTAACTAAGACAATTAATTTTATCATTTTCATCAACAAAGGATTCAATTAGATCTGCATGTTTCTCATATACTAACTTTATTTAATTTAACCATAAGTCTAACAATCCTCCTACTGAATCTTAAGCCATAGCTGCCTTTACACCACCACAACATGTATGTCCCATCACAACAATATTATGAATATGTAAATGCTCTATTGCATATTAAATAACACAATTTAACTTTAGGAATCAAAGAGATTCTTACATTTAAATCAGTTGGAATAACTAAATTTGCTATATTTCTATGAATAAATATTTCTCCTGGATCTGTCTCTGTCAATTCATTTGGAGGGGCTCTTGAATCAGAACAACCTATTAATAAGTATTTTGGGCTTTATCCTTTTGATAATGTCACAAAGTAATTCGGGTCTTCTGTTAACTTTTTTGCCACATATCTTTTATTTCCCTCTAATACTCTATTGTAATGATTGATTTCCTATATACTATTACTAACTATTTGTTGATTCATCTTAAAGATTAATATTATTTATATATCTGCTAATGTATTTATATTACGCTAAATTACGTTAATCAAATTTGCGTATCTAAAATTTAAAAAGAGCTTTTTATTTAATTATATTGATTTCAGTTTGTATTGTTATTAATTTACAATTTTTATTCTAGAATTCAAAATATTTTACAGAATCCAATAAGTTGCAGTCCATTTCTATCTTATTTACTCTTTTTTTTTAAATATTTTATCTTAAGATATAAGAATTTATTCAAATAATCTTAATTAACAAAAAAAATTCAATTTCTTCTTAACTGATTTTAATTTTTTTATAAATAATAAAAATTGATTTTAAGAAATATTATATATTTAAGTAATAATATTATATAATACTTTTATGAAAAAGTGCAGAAGAAACAAATAATAATAATAGATAAAATATTTATTTATTTTGCTATATTTATTCTATTCAATCCTTTTTTGCATATTTTAATAAAGGATTATTTTGAGCTTGTTTCGAAAATTTCGATGGTTTTATTTATGGTGATGGTTATTATATATTAGATTTTTTTGTTGGAGTTCCTATTGTCTAAGCACTATCAACAGATTAAATTTTAGTTTTAATTAAAGGCGAATCAGACCCAACAGATTTTTACGAATCAATTTATTTTTATTATTTTATTCCCTTTTATAATACTAATCCTGGAGATTAGATAGGAGAATTCACATTTTTAGTAATATCGAATTTCGAATATCTAAGATACATATTAAATATTACTCATCATTAATTTTATTCATCATAGACTAAATTTCAACTCTTTCATCAATTTCGTCAAAACTTTAATCTTAATTTTCATCTTCCATAATTTATGTAACTATATCATATAAAAAAGGATGATTAAGACATCTTTCAACTGTTATTCTTTTAGTAGGATCTTTTTCAAGCATTTATTTAAGTAAATCAATACCATAACCAGAAATATTTTATAACTGTTTAATATCAAAGTTAATATTTGCTTCTCTATTTTATTTTACTACTGTAGAATAGCTTTTTCCATTAAAAGCAGATTTACCAGTAAGTAATAAATAAAATACTAATCCAAGACTATATATATCACACACAGAAGAATATTTAGAGTTCATATCTTTAATATTAATAACCTCTGGTGCTACAAATCCTGGAGTTCCACATCGACAATATAAATAAACTGGTTCATTTACATATGTTGCCAATCCAAAATCAGCAATCACTACTGATTCCATCTTTCTAAATTATATTATAATTCTTATATACTTAGGTTTCTTAAATAATATATTTTCTAATTTTAAATCTCTATGCATTATTTCTTTTCTATGCATTTCCTAAAGTCCTAAAAGTATACCAACAATTATCTGTTATATTTACTTTGTGGTTATTTAAGTTTTCTCCTTGATTAAATCATATAATGATCCTCCTTCTAATAATTCTAAAGCTAAATATAAAGAATTGTTAGTCTCATAAACTTCATATAATTTCATTAAATGGGTATTATTTATATTCCGCATTATTTTCAATTCATTTATAATTGCATTTTTTCCATTTTCTTCTGCATAAGCACTTTACTTTGCAAATGCTTTAATAGCCATTTATTAGTTATCTTCTATCCTCTCTGCTTAGTAAACCTTATTTTATAACATTTATTTATTTACACTTGCAAAATTTCCTTTCCCTATTTTTTTAAACACTCTGAACATACTATGAAATTACCATTAATTAATTCTTCCTCCTAAGTATGATCTCCATTCATTAATCTGTTAAGCTGATGCATTTAATCTCAATTTAATCATTTTTTCATCACAATCTCTTAAAAATTGTAAGCCTACGATTGGACCTAGAATATCATCATCGTCTTCTTTTTTTGGAATAGCCTATCTCAATATTTCAAATTTTGTATCAAATTCAAGTTTTATGCACTTGTTAGCTTGAGAGTCTCTCTATAATAGCTAATCTATTTATTACCTTTGAAATTAGTATGTATTGATCATAACCATAGAGGACTATTATCTTGCCATTTTCCTTAGTAAATTCCCCTTAAATATATAAATGTTCATCTTTAGCTTTAAAATCATTTGGTATAGGTATCCAAACTTTTTAATACATCAAAATTTTGAATATTAATGATAAAAGTATCTAAATTTATATCTCGATTTTAAACCTAATTTAAAATTTCTACGATCATATTTGAAATATTTTTATATAAGCTTTGAGTTTTAATTTAGATGTCTATGTTTCAAGAAACTATTTTAAAATGTTAACAAGACAAATAAAGGAACTAAGTTACTAGTCAAAACAAAAAATCAATAAATACAGAAAGAATTTTTATTTACAAAAATATTTTTCTATAAGAATTTCAAAGATATTTTGGATGTAAAATAAATATTATTTATTAAAAAATTAAAATTTAAAAATAATCAAAAAATATAACTAATTCAAATCTTTCTAAAAGTTTCTTATTATACTTTTATCTATTGAGATTAAGTGGGAATACTTTTTACATTCAATGATTATTTCATCTAATCCATTTCATGAAAATATTAAGTTAGTCTAAATTCTTTAATTATGAACTCATCCTTAGTTGTCTCCTAAACTAAATTTTATTAGAATTGTCCTAATATTTATCCAATCTCAAAAGGCGACTTCCCTTATAATTATCTAACCAAAAATATATAAATGAGACTTTTAGTGAAATCATGAGAATTTCGAACATGCTAACTAAAATCAAATAAAATATAACTTAAAAAGATCCACAAAAACAACATTTGGATATTCATCGATTAATTATTCTACACATTGATAATCATCTAATACTATTCCACCTAATAAGGGAACTGGTACATTTAATAATTCAATATTTTTTGGAGGAATTGAAGCTACCATTTAATGAATCCATTTAATATGTTTAAGAAATATCATAAGAATTGCTCCTAATTATTAAACATTTTAGGCTACAAAAATGACTGATCTTTCTAAAATGATATTTATGGCAATTAATCCTAAACTAAGTGCATTATTTAATATTTTTAGTTATTTCACATGGTAATCATGAAATTCATAATAAGATTGGGGTATTTATTGACTTGGTATTTATATAGGGAGGGTTTCAAAAAGAGGGCATTTTTGTATATATTAAGTAAATGTCAAATTATTAAACCTCTCTTATTTAGCACAATCTAATTAATTGAATTCATACTCATAACTTCTATTAAAAAGTCAATAAAATATTTTATTAAAGGCAAGTATGAAACTATACAGAGTACTCTTTCACATTTGAGATAACCATTTTTTATTGGAGTAATATCTTGTAAAGATAAACAAATGCAATAAGCCAATTAATTACTATTATACTCTATAATAAATTATATTATTACATGCTTTTTCAAACGACTCTGAAGTTTTAATTGGTAAAATAAAACAATTTGGATTATTTTCTGAAACATGTCTTTTAAATATAATTTCATTTATTTCACTTTAAGAATCAGAGAACTTTTTTTAGACATCTTTAGCTCCATAAGGAAAGACTAAATCAGATAATAATTATTCAAGATGACATGCTCCATATTAATAAAGAATTTCTGTTTTTCCAAATGTTGAATTTCCAATTAAATAAATTCCTTCATAAAACTTACATATTTAATGTCTATTCTATTATGAAAACTTCTCCATTTTGTTATTAATTTTTTGATAACTCTAAATTTTTTTCACTCCTTAACCTTCATCAATATCAACATGAACACTATATGAATTTTTTGTTGACAATGGAGGTCGATTATAAAAAGATGTTTTGCGTTGACTATTCTATGAATTTGAAATTGATGTGCTCACTTTTGTCTCTATTCCTATATTATTTCTATATTAATCTTACTAGTATGTGTTCTAGACGCTTTAGATCCAACTAAATGATCTACATTTGTTTTTTTAGTAAGCATATATATAGGTATTGGATCGTTATTTTACATTAATTTAATTTTGTTAATAAATTATATAATAATATTTAATTAGACTAATTAAATAATTATTCATCTTATTATTATTTCTAAAATGAGGCTAACATTCTCCATAATACTTAAAAAGGACTTAGACTCAATGAATGATCAATAATTTTTTATATTTTAACGAATGCTTAGACCTGAAGTATAATTAATAACTTGAATAACACAATCTACTATTTTAGACTCTAATCTTCATAAGGAAAATAAAAATCTATATGAGAAATATATAATTAAATCATTTTTTCGGTCAATTGGATGAAATAACTGGATATAGATTCTCCTCCTTAATTTGATTTATTAGTTCTTTTATTTACTAAAATTTTTTAGTTTTTATTGATCTAGGAAATAATTTATCTTCTTCTAATTAACATTATTTATTTTTTTTAGAAGGACGTAAGTTGTGTAATAATCCAATTACGCTAAAATATAAATTTGTTATATCTTTTGATTATAATAAATATTTTTATTTCATGAAAGCTTTTAAGGACAAATTAACAACCCAATTATCATAAATACTATTTTTAGTATAAGAGATCAATAAATTTAATTATTTAAGCATTATATTAGACATAAGATATGCAAACAATAAAACTGCTAAAGTTAAAAGTAAATACATAATGATATTCTATTAGGTAATTTGCTTCTATTCATTAGTTATAAAGTTAAACTATTATTATTATATCATATTAATATTTTTCGTATTTTTGAATAGTAATAATATGTAAGGGGTATTTGTAATTTATTTAGTCTAGATGATACAATAGTCTAGTAATTTAGAATTATATCTACATAAAACATTATCTTATTCTACTATCATATTGCAAGTATTTGAATAATTTTTATGATAATGATAATTCATAATCTATTCAAAATCAGTATAATTAAAACCAGTGTAAGTTTCATCAAATATTTAATGAATAGATTGATTTTGCTGATCATAAAGCTTGCTAAAAATAACTTAACCTTAATTGTTAATTACTATGAGAGTTGTCTCTTAATCAACAAGTTTGTAATTTAATGTTTAATTAAAATCTATATCTTTCGCAACAACTCCTTCAAATGTAGAATTGACATTAATTAAATTAGAAGTGATAGCAATTCTTATTCCTTCAGGATAATATATTTTATATGGTTATCCATAAACAATTAGATCATTATCAAATCCATTATGTATAGAATTCAGATGGTAAATATACCATGGCCTTTAATGAGGATAAAATCCAGGTTTAAAGTAAAAACCCTAACTTATAGTGTAGAATTAGGCCTGATTAGCATGACTATAATATAAGGCCTGGGTATTATCCATCGCTATTCTAAACGATGTAAGTGTTGATGTTATTGCAAAAACATAACTTAACTGCTCAATGTGACTTATCTCATATTAGTCTCCAAAAAGGCCAAAACAATATGATGACTAATAACAATATGAATCGTTCGTGTTAGGTTTATTTAAACATTAAGAAGGTTTAACAATTGATATTTCTGTTTTTTATGTAAATATATTGAGCAATTTAACAATTTAAATTTATTGTGAGGCAGACTTTATCAAATATTCAAGATTAGATTTAAGCAACCATGCACTATTTAATTGTTGTAAGGTTTATTTGATAAATATTTTCTCAGATGATTCTTCTATACATCTTTACACAATTAATTAGGCGACTATGATTGATGTAGCTAATATTATGAATACAAAAAGTGAACATACTACTTAAATCATTAATATTTAATTCTTTATTCTCCAATTTTTATTGATGTATCGAAATTTTTGTTTTCTTAATTTATTTAATATCATATAAATTTTAATACTTCGAACCTTCCCGATAATTTAATTATCTTAATAATTATCAATATTGATAAAAAAATAATGTATTTAAGCTTAACTAATCTTACATTAAAGGAAGGGTTTTATTGAATTTAATAGAGGTAAGATTTATTTAATAAATAATATTTATTATTGATTAAATTATAAATAATGATGTTAAAATTACATTGAAAACTAATAAATTTAAGAGTGAAACATTTAAATTTTTTTGATATAAAGGAATGTGAATTGTAAAAATGAAAAATAAATTAATAATTATTTATCAATTAGTGGTTTCTAGGAATTTATTGAATTTTTTATAATGATGACTAAAATATTATTGAAGATTTACTCGAATGCTTAAGTTTAGATGAAATTTTTGTATTTGTAATTTAAAGGCACTTCAAAATTGTTTTCATCCATTAAATCTTAATATTAAGATTCTTATTATCTATCAGTTTTATTCCAATTAGGAAGAAAAGTTGGTTTTTCGATTTCAATTTGAGAAGGTAAATATTTAATTTTCATAGAACTGAAAGTTCCAACATTAGAATTTGATGATGAATTAGATAGATGTCTAAAATCTGTTCTTTATCCTGGTTTTTTATTTGGATCAGGGGGTAATAAAAGGTGATGCTAAGAAGAGGGACTAGATTTAATTAAAATATACGCAACTTGTGGATGCTATTAGTCATTAACTGTCCAAATGATTTACTATGATAATTTTGAAGAACTTTTCATTAAATTTCCAGGAGAGAGTTCTTTAATTTTGTTGAATTCATAAGACTTTTTAGATTCTAAAGAACTGAATTTTTTAGTTGATTTCATTAAACCTTCAGTCCAATCATAAATTCCATCTAATAGAAATTAATTATTTTCTGCAATTTAATTTAGTAGCTATAAAATATACTAATAATTAGGTTAATCTAAGAAATTTAAAGATTTTAAATATTATAGAATTTCGACAAACTCACGAGGTTGATTAATGCATAAATCATTTAAATCTATATTTTATTTAATATCTCCAACAGCTTTTGTTCTTTCATTTTCTGACACTGGTAAATTTTACCATGGTAAACTGCCACGAAGAAAATATAAAATTACATAAAAAAGAGACTCTAAATCATCTTTTCTAGATATTTCATGTCCTAAATGTGCAGCAAGTGATGCATATCTAGGAGTTCCCATAAAAGTTTTATCACTTCGAAAAGGCCTATTTATTAATAAAATTAAATATTACATATGTTCTCCTTAAATACTATATATTTTACTAATTCCAAAATCAACAATATAGATACCATCATTATCTTTTGACATCAATATATTTTCTGGTTTAAGATCTCTATGAACTACATTTTTATTATGTATATTTCTTAAAATATTTACACAATCATGAGCAATTTGAATAGTACATTTTAAACTGAATTTCTTTTGCTATCTAAAATAATATGCTAAATCTCTCCCTAACAATTATATAACCATTATATTAAATTCACTTTCATTTCCATACCAAATTAATTTAGGAGTACCTTCAGCATCATTTAATTATTTCAATATTTCTACTTCTCTTTCCAAAGATCTCATTTCTTCATTATCTTCTTTCTCCAATTTCAATGCAGCATCTTAATTTGTTTATTTATCAAAGACTAAAAAGACCACTCCAAAGGCTCCAGATGAAATCTTTTTTTTGACAACAAATCGATTCATAAAAACTCTTTGCTAACTACTTTGACTCATAAAGAAAATTTATTTATAATTTGGATTTTATATTAAACTCTTGTCAATCAATAATAATATGGGTATCCACCATAATAAGCAGGTCTAACTGCAGAATATGTTAAGGGTGTTGCATATGATGCTACAGGTTAAGTAACAACTTATTAAACTGGTTGAACAACTGAATATCTCAGAGGAGTTTGAGCATATTGAACAGGAGCAGCTGGCTAAATAAATAAATAATTATCCTTACAACTCTTTATACTTATCTCTCTACTGCTTCGTATTCAACTCTTGGAATTGTTTTTTAAACAGGTACATATTCTGTTTATGTCTCATAAACAGTTCTTGGAATGTAATCAGTTTAATATTCAACAGGATAATAATCTGTAACGTATTTAGTAACAGGCTTTTAAACTTCGATAGTCTCAGTCTCATATTCGACAACTGGTCTTTAATACTCTCTATATTCGACTCTAGATTCCCCCTTGATTGTTGGTTAAGCAGCAACAACTGGTTAGACAACAGATTAGACAACTGGTTGAACAACGGATTAAGTGACAACTGGAGCTGTATATACAGGGGTTGGAGCTGTATAAATAGGAGTAGTTGCAACAGGTCTAACATATGATGTTTGAGGATATGCAAGAGGAGCTGCAAATGATGCTGCAAGGGGTTATGTGTATTATGGGTAAAATCCTGGATAGAAAGACATTTGCAATAAATTTAATTATGTGTTTATAATTTAATGATTTATTTCGTTAAATGAATGTTCTAGAATACTCAATTTACAAGTCTACACTATCTAAAGTAATATTTCCTAATTTTCCTCATATCAAATCTATTGCTGTTTCATATTTATAATGATTGTTTTTCACACTTATAGCCAATATATATTAATCACCTGTTTTAAGTCTTTCATTTAAACCATAAATTTTACATATACTTTTCCATTTATTATTAATTCACTAAATTGTCTAAAATTCTATTTCTTATTATATTTTTTATGCCTCCAATCAACTATTTAAAAATTATTTATTATGTTTTACTCCTAATTTGATTCCTTATTCTTCTTATGTAGTATTTGGAATCATCACTCCTACTGTATCAACTAAATAAGCTAATGGTTTATCATATATTTTCATCCCTACTACATTTTTAGTAGTATAAGGACTCACTGTTAAATTTGCTATTGCTTTCCTTTTATTTAATTTTATTTAATTTTGGCTTTGTTTATCTTAATTAATTTATCATTATAGATTTACCAACATCAGGATTCCCCAAATCACTAAACCAACTATCGCAAATATTGCTGATTTATATGCATTTATCACCAATATCAATACTTTTAAATTTAATCTTTCCCTTGATGATGTTGCTATAAATTAAATACTTACTTTTTTGTATTTCTCTATTATTAGCTTTTTTAATTGCATAAATAAATCAAATTTATTAATATTTTAAACTTCTCTTTATTATAGGCCTACATTGAATTAACAAAGTGATAATGTTTTTATGAAAAAGTCATTTTAGCATCTCTCAATTCAAAAATTATTATACTTCTTTAATTCTCTTTAATTTTTCAATTGCTCTTTTTCCTATTTACCATAATCTCTTCTCTGAATTATTCATTTATTTATAGTTTAATTATTTATAATAAATTATTATTTTTAAGTTTTTATTTATTAATCAATATAATTTTCATTACTTGTATTTAAATAACTTATTTATTATTAATTTAAAAAATGTGAAAAATATTCTATTAAGATAATTATTTAAAGTATCAACTAANGTTGAACAACGGATTAAGTGACAACTGGAGCTGTATATACAGGGGTTGGAGCTGTATAAATAGGAGTAGTTGCAACAGGTCTAACATATGATGTTTGAGGATATGCAAGAGGAGCTGCAAATGATGCTGCAAGGGGTTATGTGTATTATGGGTAAAATCCTGGATAGAAAGACATTTGCAATAAATTTAATTATGTGTTTATAATTTAATGATTTATTTCGTTAAATGAATGTTCTAGAATACTCAATTTACAAGTCTACACTATCTAAAGTAATATTTCCTAATTTTCCTCATATCAAATCTATTGCTGTTTCATATTTATAATGATTGTTTTTCACACTTATAGCCAATATATATTAATCACCTGTTTTAAGTCTTTCATTTAAACCATAAATTTTACATATACTTTTCCATTTATTATTAATTCACTAAATTGTCTAAAATTCTATTTCTTATTATATTTTTTATGCCTCCAATCAACTATTTAAAAATTATTTATTATGTTTTACTCCTAATTTGATTCCTTATTCTTCTTATGTAGTATTTGGAATCATCACTCCTACTGTATCAACTAAATAAGCTAATGGTTTATCATATATTTTCATCCCTACTACATTTTTAGTAGTATAAGGACTCACTGTTAAATTTGCTATTGCTTTCCTTTTATTTAATTTTATTTAATTTTGGCTTTGTTTATCTTAATTAATTTATCATTATAGATTTACCAACATCAGGATTCCCCAAATCACTAAACCAACTATCGCAAATATTGCTGATTTATATGCATTTATCACCAATATCAATACTTTTAAATTTAATCTTTCCCTTGATGATGTTGCTATAAATTAAATACTTACTTTTTTGTATTTCTCTATTATTAGCTTTTTTAATTGCATAAATAAATCAAATTTATTAATATTTTAAACTTCTCTTTATTATAGGCCTACATTGAATTAACAAAGTGATAATGTTTTTATGAAAAAGTCATTTTAGCATCTCTCAATTCAAAAATTATTATACTTCTTTAATTCTCTTTAATTTTTCAATTGCTCTTTTTCCTATTTACCATAATCTCTTCTCTGAATTATTCATTTATTTATAGTTTAATTATTTATAATAAATTATTATTTTTAAGTTTTTATTTATTAATCAATATAATTTTCATTACTTGTATTTAAATAACTTATTTATTATTAATTTAAAAAATGTGAAAAATATTCTATTAAGATAATTATTTAAAGTATCAACTAATGTAGACACAAAAAGTTTTATTCTATTGTAAAGTTAAACATAATATCCAGTAGGAATGAATCACTTTTTCGATTAAGTTCAAACAGATTATTGATATTAGTATAATGTTCAAATGGTTAAAGCTATAACTATTTGAAAGGAATTAATATCGTGATAAAATGGAGATTAGGAATTAAGAGGAACCCTAGAGAGAATCATCACTATCACTATGATATTACTATAATTAATGTTGATTATTTCTTATGCATAAATGAAATAATACTTATCTTGAACTGAATTGATATAATTTTAGAAATAAAACCAATTTTATATTCATGAGGCTGATTGGTTTCTTAAGATAGACTATAGCTTTAACTTTAATTATTTAAATAAATCAAATTTCTTGAAAAACTGTTTTTCTGAAAATACTTATTAGAATAATAGTTTTAATGTGAATTTTAAATTTCAGTTTAATCTATTAAATCTTATTATGAATCAGAATTCTTTAAATTGTTTCAAGTTATTTTATTTTGTTATACTGTTAAATAAATATTAAGTTTAAAAAATATTAATTGAAATTGCCTCCTTTATTCCTAGATCAATTTTTTTCAAGACATACAGAAACTTATTTATATTTTTGGATAGTTAATGGTAAAAATAATAATTTTACCTTTTTTATACATACTTTGATAGAATTGATTAAAAATAAAATATAAAATTTTCATCATAGAAAATATCAGAATTAATTATCTATAATTGCAGTTAAAGTGAATATGAAGATCACACAATAAAAGATATCAAAAAGGCAAAGAAAAATGTGATTAATTAAGTTAATTAATACTTTTTATTATTAGAGGATCAATATAAATAATATATAAAATCTTTAACTAATCAATAATAAATTTTTAATTAATAATAAGAAAATTTTCAAAATCTTCTAAATGAATTAGAGAAATTATTAGTTGATTTGGAAAGTTCAAAAAAATAAATGTAATAAAAAATATCTTTAGTTTTGACATAAAAAAAAATCAACTTAAATTTATGAAATGATGAAAAATTTATAAAATTTGTAATAAAATAATCATCTTTGATTTATATTAATTAAGGTAATTTAGAACATATTTAATAATGGTTGTCTATAATAAAATCTTAATTGATGTAAATGGGTTCAATTATATGTTCAATTTAAATAGAATAAAATAAATTGATGATATTTGGAGAATATTCTGAAAATAATAAGGGGTCAAATGAAATTATAATTTAAGAAATAAATGATAATACAGCAAAAGTAGTTTAAACAATTAATTTCTTGAAGCAAAAAGTTTTTGGAATAATATAGTATTTATTATGGAAATATTTGGATACCTTAAAATGGAGTTCCAGATAATTAAGGTAATTTTGCTAATGAGTAAAGAAGAATACTTATATTTGATGGAGAATTTGGAAGTAAAATGATTTGAAATGATATCATAAATTATATTCAATCTTAGTTTAAGCTTTGATTGGTTATCTACCTTTATGACCTAATCCAGAACCGTTAGTTTTCTTTAATAATGTTTAAGTTTATGTTAATAATTAATTTTTAGCCATAGGAAAATGATTAGAGAAAGTCTTACAAAATGAATTAGCTGATTTAAATCCATTAGTAGCTGTTTCTGCTAATTTTTTAGCATTGTTTCCATAATAATTAGATTATCTTAGAACGCCAATGTCTAAATTTTATGCACTTTTTATAATTTATTTAATTTCTATTTGATTATTAGGTTTAACGGCAGGAGTAAAATTAAAATAATTTTAAGTATCATTCTTTTTTGGAGTCAAGAATAATGATTTAGTAGACATGGCTTTTTAATTAACTCTTTTTAATGGACTTTATAATGTATTTTGTCTAGTTGATCTTACTTAAATAGATTCTCTTCTATCAATTTCATGATGTTATCTAACATATTATGTGCTTGCAGGTCTTTATTATCTTCTTTTATTTAATTCAAAATCAAATTATTATAATTGTTGCATAAACCCTGGATTTGGGTTAATTTAAGGTCGTCTATTCATTAAAAATTAATGTGCAACTTGAAGCGAATAATTATAAATTTGCATTAAATAAGCTATCACCAAGGTGGCACTTCTGCTAACTCCGACAAAACAGTGAACTAAAACGTTCTTTTTTTTTCGTTATTCATCTATAAAATGTATAGCCTCTTCAAAATGTCTTCTAATAGGATCATAAGCAGTATCATGTAACATAATTAACTAAGCTTATCAATTTTTATTACTTTTTATTCGCAATCAAATTTTAGATTTGACAATTCTGTACCTACTGTTAAGACTGCTCCAATCTAGTTTTGTTTCATCAATTATAGATTCAATGCTGCTTCAATTCCACTTAAAAATAATGCTCCATAGGTTTCAGTCTTTCCTAAAATTAAATCCATTTGTCCTGATGGGAATGGGGGTCTTGGTTATAACATTTATTTTTCTGTAAAAAAAATAATAATTTATATTGAGGGTATAAAATAGCAGAGGTCTTTTGATTGAAAATAATATTTAGTTATTTCAATAATATGATTAATCATTTAAGAAATTATTAAACTAATATTATTCATCTTCTAAATATTTTAAATCTAACTAAATAAAATAATTCATTATTAATTCATTCAAATTATATATTTTCAATATAAAAATTTTATTAAATAATTGATATTTTTTTATTAATGTATATATAATTAATGTTCAATCAAATCATTCTCTTAACAAGATCATTGATGAGATCTTCTCTATTTCCCCAATCTCCTTAATTGATGAATGATCTTCTCTTAGCAATAAAGCCACCTCTTGGTCCTCTCAATTTGAATGCCCTATAAAAAATTTAATAAATAAATTTATTACCACAAGAATCTATTTGCTTCTTTGAAATGAGCTCCTACTGTAACAATTTCATGGATAAGGTCTTCAATACTGTGAATTCCAACTTTTCCTAATTATTATTCAATAACATTGTTGTTTGTGATTGGGATTCTTTGACCATTAATTTTGGCATATCCTCTCTTGTAAATAAGATTTTTTATGACAGCTCTTGATGGATATCCATAAGTCACATATGGCTCAACCTTTCTGATCATTTCAATTGTAGCCTTATTGACTCTAACAAAGGCTGCATTATGAAGTTATCTCAATTTCAAAAGTCTCAATGTTTATCTGACTTGTGGGTTCAAGGTGTTGATACTGTTATATATATCTTTAATAAATACCCTCTAATTCTGACCACTAAAATCAATCTAGCTTCTGCTGGTACATAGAATCCACCTTCAGTTTTTGCCTTACGTATGTTATCAACTAGGCTCTTATCAGCAGCTTAGTATTCATTTTGATAAGCTTATGCATTCTTTTCCCATTAAGCTCTTCTTGTTTTGTTTGCTGCTAATCTGTCTGTTCTTCTCTTAGCAACAGCTTCTCTCAATTTGGTATCTCTTGCAGTCTTCTTTACTATGTTTTCTGGAACCTTTTATCTACACCATCTAATCCAAAAACTTACTCAACTTGCATTTGTGGCTTCTTTTAAGACATTTTAAAGCAAAATAAAATCTTAAATTTTAAAATCAAATCAACTAAAACTTCTTATTCATATTCTATCCCCTATTTTTCTTATAAAATGCAATTTTGCATTCTCCTAAGAATATTGGCCCTATAGGTTAGCTTAATAAATCCATATCTGAACTTCTTAATACTATTGGATCCTCTATTTCATTTAACTCTATCGTTGATGTTTCAGTTTGAATCTCCTATTATAAATTTAATTTTATTCCAATCGTATGAGTATTCATTAAAGTCTCTCTATCTTATAAAGACATGCATATATATTATAATCTAAATATATAAATAATTTACCTTGATAATTAATAAATAACATTCTTTAATTTCAATTTTTCTTTAGCTGATTATGAATATTTTTAATAAAATTATCTCCATTATTGAAGATTTCTTTTTTCATTATCTAAAGTTGTTACCGAACTAATTTATCCTAAAAAATTGAATCTTATTTTATAGTCCTATATTTATGGAAAGTAAATTGAAATGATATCTAAAATTTGAATCTACTTTTTCTTAATATTTTTAAGTTTAGTAAACATTTAATTGAGGAAATAAATTATTGAACTCATTGCGATAATTTGTATAGTAAAAATGTATATTTTATCATATACAATGGTTTTTTTAGTGATTATTGGATTTATTTCAATTTTTATTTTAGATAAAGTATAGGATGCTATATTGATAGATGAAAAGGAAAGTGTTGCATCATCTATTTAGTTATAAATGTGAATATCTGAAAAAAGTTCATTATATCTNATGGATATCCATAAGTCACATATGGCTCAACCTTTCTGATCATTTCAATTGTAGCCTTATTGACTCTAACAAAGGCTGCATTATGAAGTTATCTCAATTTCAAAAGTCTCAATGTTTATCTGACTTGTGGGTTCAAGGTGTTGATACTGTTATATATATCTTTAATAAATACCCTCTAATTCTGACCACTAAAATCAATCTAGCTTCTGCTGGTACATAGAATCCACCTTCAGTTTTTGCCTTACGTATGTTATCAACTAGGCTCTTATCAGCAGCTTAGTATTCATTTTGATAAGCTTATGCATTCTTTTCCCATTAAGCTCTTCTTGTTTTGTTTGCTGCTAATCTGTCTGTTCTTCTCTTAGCAACAGCTTCTCTCAATTTGGTATCTCTTGCAGTCTTCTTTACTATGTTTTCTGGAACCTTTTATCTACACCATCTAATCCAAAAACTTACTCAACTTGCATTTGTGGCTTCTTTTAAGACATTTTAAAGCAAAATAAAATCTTAAATTTTAAAATCAAATCAACTAAAACTTCTTATTCATATTCTATCCCCTATTTTTCTTATAAAATGCAATTTTGCATTCTCCCAATAATATCGGCCCTACAGGTTAACTTAATAAATCCATATCTGAACCTCTTAATACTATTGGATCATCTAGTTCATTTAACTCTATTACTGATGTTTCAATTTGAACTTCCTATTATAAATTTAATTTAATTCCAATTGTATGAGCATTCATTAAAGTTTCTCTATCTTATAAAGACATACATATATATTATAATCTATATAATATTAAATAATTTACCTAGATAATTAATAAATTATATTTTTTAATTTTAATTTTTCTTTTGCTGATTGAGAATATTTTTAATAAAATTATCTCCATTATTTAAGGTTTCTTTTTTCACCTTCTAAATTTGTTACAGAACAAATTTAACCTAAAAAATTGAATTTAATTTTATAATCTTATATCTATGGAAAGTAAATAGAAATGATATCTAATAATTTTAAGTTTTTTTTCTTAATATTTTCAAGTTTAGTAAAAATCAAATTTAGGAAATAAATTGTTGAGCTCATAGCAATAAGCTATATTATAAAAATATACATTTTATCATAAACAAATGTATGTTTAGTGATAATTGGATTGACTTCAATTTTTATTTTGGATAAGATATCAGATGACTTATTTATAGATGAATAGGAAAGTGTTGCATCACTTATTTAGTTATAAATGTGACTATATGAAAATAGATTATGATATCTAATTTCAGTAGAGACAATTTATTATGTTAAATATCCTATTTATTAAGTATTCTTATGAATTTAATATTTTAAAGATAAAGGTATCTGATAAAATGTTTAGTTTTCAGAATTATATTGTGTAATTTGTAATGAAATTTCTATTTCTATCGAATCCTTTAAGATATCAGCGATCTAATTTTGACTTGCACAAGCAATATTGTGATCGGATTCATTACATATCTATATTTCAAATTATCCGAAAGGAATATTATATAAGCCATCTTAATTAGAATAGATTTACTATAAATCACTTTCATTAGTGGAATGAACTACAATTAACACATTTTCAAATGTTGAAAGTTATTGAGATAGAAATTTTAGTTGAATACCCTTATTTTAAGATAAGAGATTTGTTTAATGAAGTCTTGAAATAATAATCTTAGGTAATTGATTATTCCATTCATCAACTAAATAAAGAATCAATAGCATCCATATTATGAGAGAAGAGATAAATTTGAAGTTTGAAAGCTTTAAGTTCTATCTTTAAGATATCGGTGAATCCCTAATATAATTCAGTTAATTGTCCATATAAAAAATAAATATCAGAGAAGCAGAATTCCATTCAGTTATTCATGATTTTCATAAAATTATCATCATTATTCATTGTACACATAGTATACTTTATTTATTGATCAATCATATAAATATTAATTATGGGAATCAAATTAGCAATCGTTGTTTCGACAATAATGGGATTATTATGTGCATTTAAGATATTTTAATACTTGAGTGTTCCATCATATTAATCAATTATACACATAAGCAGAGATCATGATATTAAAATATATAGAGATAAATATGGTGTACCTCATATTCAAGCTCATACATTATCAGATGCTTTATATGCTTAAGGATTTGTTTAAGCTTAAGATAGATTATGGCAATTACATATAAGAAAAATGGCATCTTAAGGTAGATTATCTGAGATTTTTGGGGAAAGAACTTTGAAAATTGATTAATATTTTAGAAGTATAGATTATATGGATTCAGCTAGAAGAATAGTAAATTAATTAAGTTCTGAAGGTTTAAATTTATTCTAATCCTATGTTGATGGTATTAATAAAGGAAGAAGTACATTTACGCTTTTGCCTATAGAATTTTAATTAACACGTTCAGATTTTATTGAATGGGAAATATTTGATGTAATATGTTTCATTAAATTTATGGCATTAACAACAATTAATGATTTTCATTCTGAAATGATGAGATCATCCATAAAAGAATTTGATTTAGAAACAATAAAATATTTAACAGGAATAGGACCAGAAAATTTATATGATATTGAAACTACAACAATTAATGAATAAGAGTTGAAAGAATAAACAAAATTACATAGTGATAAATTTTAAGATTTAAATATATCATCAAATATAAAAGCAGCAGATTTAATGCAATCATATGAATTTTTGATTGAAAATATTATTCCTTTAAGTATAGGAAGTAATAGTTGGGCAGTTCATGGTAACTTTACTAAAACAGGTTATCCATTTTTAGCATCGGATCCCCATTTAGAAAATGGATTACCATCTTAATGGTATTAAAGTTCAACAACATTTCCAAATGGAGAATTTATGGCTGGTGGAGCTATTGTAGGATTACCATATATATTATCAGGTAGAACAAAACATCTTGCATGGGGAATTACAATCTCTTATGCTGATTCTAGTGATTTATATGAAGAATAACTAAAAGAAATTGATGGGAAAATGCATTACTTATTTAAAGAAGAGTGGTTACCTACTATAGAAAAAGTTGAACTTATTCATTATGGTGATAAAACATATTAAATGAAAATTCATAGAACACATCATGGACCAATTTTAAATTTCTATTTTGATGATAGGGGAACTAAAACTATTACTTAACCAGATAAAACTTATTCTTTAAGATCTTTGATAGATATTGATGATAAATTTGGACCAGAGTATTATAAATCATTTTTATTTTAGAGTTATGTTACAATTTATATAAGGAACAGATTTAGCTGAATAATTAAAGATTCTTAAAAAAGTTATATATCCAGGTTTGGGAATGATATTTGCTTCATAAAAAGACATAGCATATATGGTAGTTGGAAAATAAATAATTAAATCAGGAAATCCAGATGATTTTGGATTTATTAAAAATGGTTGGAATGGATAATCAGAATGGCTAGGATTTATATCTGAAGATGAACATCCTATCATAATAAATCCTCCAAAAGGATTTGTTGCTACTGCTAATAATAGATTTTTCCCTATGAATGAAAAATATCATACTAATTGGAATATAAATCCTACTGGGAGAGCTCATAGAATTTATTAATTTTTAAATCAAATTGTACCTAATAAGGTTTCTTTTGAATAAATGAAATAATTATAATTAGATACAGTTGATAGTTATGCAAAATAAAGTTGGCCATCTTTAAGAAAATTAATTTAATCAGATTATTTTAAATAATATATTGATTCTTGGGATTTTAATTTAAATATAGAATCAAAATAAGCTACTCTTTATATGTTATTTGAACATTATTATTGTTTAAGTTTTAAGAATTTACCACCAAGATGGTCATAAACATATAACTTTGATTCATTTTTTTTCTTAGAATTAACAAGGTTTAATGAAAATGGAAAATGGTGTCTACCTTTAACATGTTCATAGATTTTAAATAATGCAGTAGAATAAGCTGTAAAACATTTTGAACAATTACCTCAAAAAGAATGGGGAAATTGTCATAAAAAATTCTAAGGACATTCTACATTTAAAGATAAGTTCTTTGGTATTTTTGATAGAGAAATACCATTTGGAGGAAATAGAAGGTAATTTAATTAATTTTTAATATAGAACCCCTTCTGTATCAACTTTAGACATATCTAAATTTCCATTTAGAGGTTATGCTGGTGCTAATTATAGAATGCTTATTTCTATGGCTCCTGGTGAAGTTGGATAATTTATTGTAGATGGTGGTGTTAGTGGAAATCCTCTATCAGAACATTATGATAATTAATTATCATTATATGCAGATGGAAAATATATATCTATGTATCAGAAATAATTTGAAAAATTAACTTTGCTCAAAAGGGTTGATTAGAGAGATGAATTGTGAAATGTATTAGTAAAGTATATATTATTTTAATCCATCTTATAAGAATCTTGTCTTATTTCAATCTCCTATTTATATATTAACTTTAATTAAATAAATTAATATTTATGTTTTAATCTTTTATTAGCTTTTCTTTTACTAAATTTATTCCTTCCAAAGTTACTTGTTGGAATTGTAAATCAAATGAGTTTATTAACAGATTTATTTGTGGCTAATGCAAATATTTAAAAGAACCTTCTATTCAATTATAATTTGTTAATTACTTTGAACTTTTTGATTTGCCTATTAACATTAATTTAGAAACTAAATATTTAGAAGATAAATATAGATCATTACAATTAAAGTTTCATCCTGATCGATTTGTAACTATGCCTCCAATCAATATTTCATATAGTCAAGAATATTCTGCATTCATTAATGAAGCTTATTCAGTGTTAAAAAATATTCATGAAAGAGCTGAGTATATTGTATTTATTTCATAATAATATTCTTAGTTATCTCTTAAGGGATTTTAAATTAAAGAATGTAGTGTATTATTAGATTTAGAATTTATGGAGGAAATTTTAGAATTACAATCACAAGTGTAAAGAGGAGAAAATATATCATAAATTAATCAAAAAAATAATTTGGAAATTGAAAAAATGATTAAATAAATTATTTCAGATATTTCCAATGAGCAATATGAAAAAGCCTACAAAATTATATTATATTTAAAATATAGGCAAAGATTAAAGGATTAAATTTTAATACATATCTGAAATTAATCTTCATTTATAAAATTAAATTATAAATAATCTCTATTAATTGTTTCTTAATCTTAATTTTCACTCTATTTTCAAGTTAATATTCATAATAAACTAATAAATACTATTTACAATCAATTTTGAAATTGAATATCGAAGTTATTTTTAAACAAAATTCAAAAATTTCTTTTTATTTTTACTTTTCTTCATTATTTTCATTAGGCTCTGTTAAACTCTTAATTATCGCAATATAATTAATTCACTGAAAGAATTTTTAGTATAAAATTGATCTTTTTTCTATATAAAGAAAGCATATATTAAAATTTTGAGTCATGATTTATTAAGTTGGGCTTATTTAATAATGATTTGTAAATAACTATAAAATTCAATGATAAATGAAATATTGATATTTTCTGCTATCTGCTATCATACATCACTACATATCTTACATCACTACATCACTAAGATATTTTTTAATTCATTTGTAAAATCTAAAGTTACTTATAGAAGTAAATTTTTAAAAAGAAGATTACATTTAAGGAATTTAAACTGCTTGTTTAAAGAAGTAAAATAACTTTTATTTATTGAAATTGTATATTTTATCTATTAAAATAGCTGAATAAAAGTATATGAAAAAACTAAAATAACAATTTTTGAAAAAAAAGGAATTTCTAATTAAATTCAATTTATATATAGAAAAATCAAAACACTCAATTTAGTAAAGATTATCAAAATTTAAATTTATTTACATTGTCGTTCAATTTTCAGTAAATTGATTAGCCAAACGAAAATCTTAAATTAAAATTAAAAAGATATTTATTAATATTTTTTCTTGAAGGTAAATGTAATATTTTCTTTAATAAACAATAAAGCATAAATTTTTAAATGTGTAAAGATTATTTAATTCTTTATTTTTTTCATAAGTAAGAATATTAATATAAATAATTTTTATGAAAAAAATATTTCCTTCAAATACTTAAAATGTGATTTCAATTGTAGATCCCGATCAAACTACTGTTTAAAGACTCCATCAATCCTAAACTTCTAAGGCACATTTCTCTGTTGTTCCTAGTGAACCTAGTTAATCATCATATGAAATTATTGAGAAAAACAAACTTCAATATTTAGAATATTATGGTTAATATACAGAATAAAGATTTATGGAAAATATGGCTGGTTAATGTATTTTATAATATGATAGGTTTGATGCCAATTCCTGAAAAACTGAAATTACTTGAAAACTTCTTTAATATGTTTGAGGAAATGATGTAATGCCTAAATACTATTTTAAATAACCTTATCTAAATTAATTTTACTTCTTTAGACTTTTAATAGATATACAATACTACACCAGAAAATGTTGCTAACACTCTTTTTAAGGATATAAAAGTAATAGTAAATATATTTAAAGACACTTGAAGGATTACATTTAGAACTACAATTTCAATCATCATTAAGATATTTGGAAACTGTACTAGAGGCCCTCAATCTGAATCCTGATTTATCAAAGAAGCTATATTAGCTAGATGTAAAACAATGGTCATCATAATGTTATGGTCATTTAAATCAACATATCACTTCTCGTAGTATGAAAGCGAGAGAAAAAACATTTTGTTGTTGCAAAGTATGAATCACTGATTTATTCATATCTCTTTTATTTAAAGTGAAAGACTACAAACTTTTAATTTATATTATTATTATATATTTCAACAAATTCTAAACTTCTTTTTTTTCATATTTCTATTTTCTTAAAACAAATTACAAGTAATTTTTATTGAACATACATTTATTTAATATTTTATTAGATGTGTGCATCTTAAAATAATCTTTTTTTGATAAGTTAAATTTTGAGTATGTTATGTTAAAGTTAAGCAATAATAAAGAGCAATAATAAAAATACTGATATCAATGTTATTCATTTGATTTTTTGTTTTTAATCTTATAATACAATAAAGATAAAATCTATATTGAATAATTACATAGTAGTTATTATTCTAAATTATATGATATTTAGAAAGAAGCCTTATAAAAACTAAATATAGGGTTGCTTAGATTGTAAATTTATTTCATATCTATTTTAGATCATAACTTTCAGAATATGTTACTAATTAATAAAATATATATTTAGATTATATTATCCAAAGTGAATTGAATGATAAATTCAATTTATGTAAATATATTTTTTAAATTTCTCTAATACAATTTTATTTTTCGATTTCTAATTAGAATAAGATCATACGTTTTTTCATATATTGTTTTGATTTGGTAATAGAAAATAATAATATAACATTATTTTCAGTTTATTCTCATCATTAATTTTTAAACAAAAAATAGATTATGATGTTCCAACATAATTTAAATTAAAATGGACGATTTGCTTTAACAAATGGATGATAATAATTCTGATACTTCGATTATTGATTTTGATTTAGTATCAGATGATGAAGAAATTATCAATGATAATGTTTAGCCTAATTAAGAAAGTTAAGATCAAGAAGAAATTCCAATATAAGAAGAATAGGTTGTTGAAGAGAAAGCTCAAACAGTTTAGATTGAATAAAATTATTTTGAACTTAATTACATTCAGAAATAAGAAGAAGATAATGTTATTTCTTTACCAAATAAATTAAAGCCAAAACTGATAAAAAGAAAATAACCTAGAGAATGTAATTTACTATAAGGATATCAACTTTTAAAGTCTTTTGGAAATTAATCTCTTATTTCATACAGAACTATATAATAGAAAAAAGACTAGGCATTAATGAAGATGACAAATTTTATAATCTCTGGAGTTTAAAAGATGAAAAGATTATGATTTTTTGTATATAATTAATAAAATTCATTATTAATTTGGATCCATTTAGATTCCTAAGTATAAATGTTTATCATTAGTTCTTAATTATCTATGAAAAAGTTGAAAATCATCCTTTTAAATAAATAAAAAATACTTTAGCACTTGCCCCTTCTCTTAAAATTTAAAACAGAATTAAACCTGGTTCTTGATAATTCCCTTTATCTAAAAAGTTAGGTCTTTTGTGATCTACAAAATTATGATTCAAATCTGGAGCTGGAAAATATTTAACCCATAATTTTGTTTATTTATGTGTGCCCATACAATCATCAATATAATCTTATTATTTTTGTTCCTCTTTCATTTACTTTTTTTCATCTTCTTCAATAGCAAATTGTGGTCTTTAATCATGTTCAGACATCATATGAGGATTTGTTAATGGATCAGGTTTAATTCTTGTCTGTGATTATTAATTAAATTACTTTAAAAAATGGCTTTTTCTTATCCAATACTTCATCTCTAAATTTATGGGTTGAGGGAGGATTGTAAAAATCTTACAATTTTTCTTTTTCTCTCTACTTTTAATTAGCCAATTTATTTTTTAATGTTTAAACATCCTCAGGTTTAAAAGTAGCAAAAAATATAGGTTTATCTGTTTCTTGATCTGAATTGATTTATTTTTTCGTTTGTTTTGGTTAAAAATACTTTGAATCATTTGTCTAAAACCCTGTTTCTGATAATCCATGATAAGGTTTTTTTTATAACACAGGTTAAGAAAGATATTTAGTAGCAGTTTTACCAAATTGTTATGTTTAATTTTTATCCTAGCATTGTGTTTAAGAATTAGTCTTATCTACTTTATAATTTAAGTTTTCAGGCATAAATTTATATATAGGATTTCTACTGGATTTACATAATTTTGGTTCTTTACTTAAACGTTCTGCTTCATTATAATAAGCTTAAGTATCGAATTTCAGAGTAGGATATTCTTATTATTAATTATTACTAGTCCTATTTATGATAATAAATTAAAATTACAATTTTGAATTAACTACTTTTTCAAATGGATTATCAATTTCTTATTCATTAATGATTCCATTATTTATTGGTTTAATCATAATAGTTTCTTACAAGAGAATTCCTGCTTCTGGTTATTGTTCTGGAAATTATCGAGGTTCTTATAACTCTTAAGTATGAATAATTTAAGACTAAGAAGAGTTTAATTAGGGTTTAAAAGGAAATGGTTCCATTTCATGCATATCATGGACTTTGCTTATTTTAACAGGTGGTAAATCATGATTTGTTGGTAATTTTTCACCTGCTGCTATTAACAATTAAATCCAATGATCTCTAAATGGTCTTGCTTTTTCAACCCAAATATGATCTTAATTTAATACATAATGTAGTTATACTATTTGATATTCAAATAAAAATACCAGCTCCTAATATTTCATCAATATTAATTGGTTCTTTTAATTAATCTTTGAATGCTACGATTCTTTTACTAATTGCTTCATCTATCATTGCTTAGGCTAACTTAAAATAAAAAGGATAATACTTCTTCTTCAAAATATAAATAATGCTTTTAACTAAAGATTAATATGTCTTCTTTTTTAATCCATCCATCATTATCTTAATCCATTTTTTCAATCAAACGCTCTATTGATATTCTTGGAATTTAAGTAGTTTTATGAATAAGTTTATCATATTTTTTTGGTACACTAGTTGATTTATTTGGAATCAAAGATTTTTACTGGAATTTTGATGAAGATGCTTCACCATATTGAGTTTTATTATTTTACATTATTATAATTATTTAAAATTAGAATTATATTTAATGAAACTGATTATAAGATCAATCATAATAAAGGATCATACTCAATTAAATCGATACCAAACTTTTCAAAATTTTTAATTGTTATCTCCTAATTGATATAAACTTCTTTTATCGTATAAAAAGCCTTAGTATATTTAAATTTAAGCAAATAGATATCCTTTAGATGCTTTTCTAACTTTTCTAACATAATTTCAGGTTAAAAAGACAAATTTCTCAAAATTTCATTATTTTAAAACTATTTGTTTAAATAATCTATGACTAAATCATTTGGAGTAGCCAAACTTATTTTTTTTCTTAATTCTAAGTAGATTTGATATAATTATATTTTTTAAAACTCTGTACCTTCAAAAGTATAATTGATATCTTAATTTTAATCGAGATAATTTAAGTATTCTTCAAATTAACTTAAAATAAATGAATCCTTATAATGACCTTAAAATTTTTCTTTACTTATATCTTCAAAATTTTCTATTCTATCTGGATTTATATACAATGTAGGATATTTTTCAATGAATCGTAAGGGTTTTATAATATAAAAATAAAACATAACATAGGCTCTAAATAAATAAGTTATACCCATTATAATTTCAACGTCGTCATTATTATTAAAAATCTTAAGTATCAGAGATACACATATAAACCATCCCATGTAAATAAATAAGGGTCTTAAAGTCAATTTATAAAGTTTATCATCTAAATGATGTTTGATTATTAAATGCATTAAAGTAAGGTATAATACTTCTTCCAAAATACTATTTATCATAATAAACTCATTATTATCGTGATAATATTACAACTATAAACATGGAGTGTAATCCTTATTTTCTAAATTGTATTTAGTAGTTAGAAAGGATAATAGAGTAAATCCAATAATTGAATAGATAAATCCAGTAAATATCATCCATTCTTCATTTGAAAAATATTTTACCAACAATGAATGAGAATTTAAAAGGGTTTTATTGAAAGCATACACGATTCTGGCTGTTTTGATTAAGGCAAATGAGTAACAACACCCTCTAGAAAAAGTATAGAAAAAAGTTAATAAATATGAACCCCAATTTATGGGTCCTTCTGAACCACAGCATACCATTGTATTTAACAAAATGGATGTAATTTAACTTAATATTAGGAATACTCCCAAAAACGTTGTAATTTTGGCAGATAATTGCTTTAAAGGATAATGATTTTTTTTCCTGTTAAGTTTACATAAATAACTTATCTAGTAAAAGGTTAAAACAATTTAAATGACTAAAGCAATAATCAATATAGTATAATTTATTTCCATTTCAAATAAATAATAATTAATAAAAGAGATTAAACCAGAACTACTTTCTTATATATTTATATTATTAAATAATTAAAAACTATGTAATAATTTAGATTTGTATTAAAAATCTAAAATATATTAAATGAAAGATCTTTGAAAATAACAAAATAATTTAACTAAATTGTTTATTGTTATTTAATTTTTAACCAGGTATCAGAATTCAAAAGCCTTAGTTAAATAGGTTTGAACTTCTTTCTCATGAAGTTAATGAAATCCAGTAGCTGGTGATCCACTTGGTTTTCTGCCTATGTATTAAACTTATTATTGAATTAAGGTTTAAGTTTTGGAAATGACACTTTAAATTCTTGGTCTAACAAAGGACCAGGGACCATAATTTTAATGTTCTTCTTAGACCCAAACAAAATGAGCTTTGTTATATTTAGATATAACGGATTATAGGAATTCATATGGAAAAGGGGCTAATTATTCAATCCTCACAATGGCAGTATTCTAAATAGAATTATTTGATTACTTTGACTTTAAGATCTTCTCTTTTTTTGAGAATGTCATAATAGACTTATCCTGAACATAAGATGACTCTTTAAATTTCATGAGGTTAATTAATTTATTCAGGGAAAGGATCATCATAAATTTATGAGAATCTAGCTTATTCAGAGAATTCATTAAGTTTTGATTTTGCAGCTTATAACCTTAAGAGTTTTTTGGAAGTCATGGCAATAAGAGGTTTTCTGAAATCTCTTCTTAATTATCTTCTTAAGGAATGGAAATAATTAGCAGGTGTTGTACATTAAACAATTTACATATTAGAATTTCTCATTTATCTCTTAAGTCGTACTTTAGATAATAAAAATATATACCTCCTAGATTTCTTTCAAATACTGCAGGATCATCATCACTTAATTATAAAAATCTTTCAATTCTACCAGAGCTATGTTCTGGTCCTTATCCATCCATACCATTAGGTAATAATAATACAATTCCACTATCAACATCCCATTTAGATTCAGCACTTGCAATATAATTATCAATAACTATTTATGCTCCATTTGCAAAATCTCCAAATTAAGCCTCCCAAAGTACTAGAGTATTTGGATTAGTAATTGAATAACCATATTCAAATCCTAATACTCCATATTCAGATAAATGTGAATTATAAATACTCAATCTATCCTCTTAACCTTTTGGTATAACTTTATGTAAAGGAACATAAGGATTACCATTTGGATTCTTTTAATCATGAATAACAGCATGTCTATGTGAAAATGTTGCTCTTTGAACATCTTCTCCAGATAATCTAATATTAAATCCTTCATGTAATAATGTTCCAAATGCTAATGCTTCTGCTGTTGCAAAATCAACTCCTTAATCTTTTTAAATCCAATTCAATCTTTCCTCATAAAACTTTCTTATTTATTGATGAGCATTAAAATCATTTGGTATAGTATTAATCTTTTCTCCAATTTATTTCAAAATAGTCACTGGAACTCCAGTATCTTTAATTCTTCCCCAAAGAATTGGAATTTTAATCATTTCCCAAGGTACTGGTTGCCAATCTTTTAAATTATAATCCATTTTCCTCGATTTTTAATAAGCTAATTCTAAATTATCTTCATGTTATTTCATTAATTGATCGACTTCTTACTTTGTAACAATTCCTTAAGCAATTAATTTCTCAGAGAATTTTATAAATACTGGTGGAGTCTTTTCAATTTTTTCATACATAATTGGTTATGTAAATTTAGGTTAATCTTATTCATTATGTCCATATCTCCTATAACCAACTAAATCTATAAAAATATCTCTTTTAAATTTATTTCTATAAAGTGTTGCAACTTAAAATACTTTATCTACTAATTCAGGTTCATCAGCATTAACATGAATCACAGGTGCTTAAATAACATGAGCAATATCTGTACAATATAAACCTGATCTACTATCTTTTGGTACTGTAGTAAATCCAATTTAATTATTTGAAACTATATGAATAATACCACCTGATTTATAACCTTCTAAATCTGCCATTTACAATGATTCATAAACTATTCCTTAACCAGCAACTGCTGCATCTCCATGAATAAGTACTCCAAATGCTTTTTCTCCATTCTTATCTTTATGATAATCTTATATTGCTCTAACTTTCCCATACACACAGGGATCTACTGTTTCTAAATGAGATGGATTTGGTAACATCTCTAATCTTAACTTTTTATCACCGAATTTAACATTATGAACACTTCCCAAATGATATTTAACATCTCCTGAATTACCCCATATATCTTCATTAAATATCCCTTTCAAATCTTAAAATTCTACCATTATTTCCTCTGGTGATTTCTAAAACACATTGTATAATGTATTCAATCTTCCTCTATGAGCCATCCCAAAAACTATATATTCTACTCCTGCTTAAGCTGCACTATCAACCATAGATTATAATCCTGATATCATTGAATCACATCCCTCTATACCAAATCTCTTTGATGTATTAAATTTCTTTTATAAAAATGTACTAAAAGCATGTTCCTAACCAAGTCTAATAACTATATTCTTTCACTGTTACCTTTAGAAAGTCTTCAACTTTTATTCCTTTGAAGGCAAAAACTCTTCGAACTTTTCTATTTATTCTCTTATCCAATTTCTTTCTTCTGTTGATTAAATATGCATATATTCATAAGATATTTTCCCACAATAAGCTTTCTCTAAGTAATTTATTAAATCTCTCAATTTCATCACTATCATAATATTCATATGCTTACATTTTTTCTCTTTTGATATCCCAGAACTTACTTCATCATGAATATAAAACTCTCTATCTAAATCTTCTTCTCCAAAATATTCACGATAATCCAATTTTGTATACCCTTTTACTTTCCCAATTTATTGTATGTGTTCTAAATCTAGTGGATCTACAATTGATTTTTCATGTCCTCTATGTCTGTATTTATTAATTAAAAGTCTCACTCTAAAGTGATCTGACAACAATTTTCTAACACTTGAAACTTGCTATTCAAAATTACTTTAAATTATACATCTGCTTAAAATGATATACTCTAACCCTTCTAAGGCTCTGGTGTGAAATCAAATTTATTAGATTCACATACTTATCTAAAATATGCATCCCAAGTTGCTGGCACAGAATTTGGGTCTTAAGACCATTTATCTAATAAATTGTCCAAATATTCTGCATTAGAACCACCAAGAAAAGAGTTCCCAAATTTTTATAATTCTGAAAAATTGAAACGATTTAGATTCCTTCCAATAAACCTTAACATATTAAAATTTAATAATTTATATGCTTAATAAGCTTTACCTATATTCAATAATTTAGATATAAATTTCTCATTTTATTATAACAAAAAAAATCGACAACGGCCAGATTCGAACTGACGCGGGGAACCCCAACAGATTTCTAGTCTGCCGCCTTAACCACTCGGCCACGTTGTCTATATCTATTACCTTTCCCAATCTCCTCCCTAAATATGCTCGTTGTTTCTGTCTCATTTAGCATATTTATTACTAGTATCTAAATTTTAGAATTTATCCTCAAATGTACTTTTAATTATTTAATATTCCTTTACAAATACTGTCAATAATCGTTTTATTGTTTACTCTTAGTCCCTAAATTTATCTACAAACACTCTTTTTTATATATTTTCAAAATCCATCACTTTTCTTATTTTTATTTATTAAAAATCAATTATTTCTATTATATTTATAAAATCATTCATTTATTTCTCATAATTTAACTAGCTATAGTTAAAAAAATATGATATATCATCAATAAATTTATAAGTAATTTTAAAAACAACCAAAACTCAGGTAAAAGTCAAATCTAAGCAAAAAAAATAAGAAAAACTATAGTTTGATTGATCAGAATATAAATAGATAGGGTTAATTATTATACCAAATTAAAAACACTGTAATTAAGTTCTTCAAATAAAAATTATAAATTAATTATTTAAAATAAATATATTATAATTTCAAATAGCTGAAACTCTATCTGTAATATGCTTTTTCAACTCTATTCTAAATTAGTAAAGCAATAGAGGACGATTTCTTATTTGAGTATTTGATCAAAAATTTTTATAATATATTTTGTGTACACCTTATTGTAACATCACAATTTTTTATTAATACGTATTTTGTGCAATATAAGTATTAAGACTTCGAATCTTCAGATTTAAATATTTTTTGCATATTATGAATTCATTCTTGTTTTACGATCCTTTATTCATTCTTCCTTAACAGATGTTGCTCTAACAAATAGTCTAATACAATTCCATGTTAGCCTTCAGGTAAATACTTTAATTAACTTTCATTAGAAATGCTTATACTATTTCTCAATCAACAAGCCCTTAAATTTAGCCTAAATCTCCTCAAGAGTGCTCCACAATAGAATAAAACACTGTTAAAAATGATGAAACTAATGATGACTAAAGCTCTTTTGAACTATCTAAAAGTAATAAAATAAAGAAAAATATCAAAAAAACTAAAGAAACAAAGCCTGATAAGACAAATCCTTTTGAAAAAAAACATAATAAAAAGATATTTCTTTCAATGAAAGACATTAAAGATGTTTAATATAAAAAGTAAAATATGTCATCTATGAAGATTTAAATTTGTTCAGGAAGACTAAATTCAAGAAGGCCCAACTAACCTAGAGGAGAAGAAATGATATTTTAAATACTCTCTATAATGTTTGTAAATATGTAACAAGTTTTTTTTATATCATCAATCATATTATTTCTAATATAACATATATTTTTATAAAAAATCATTATAAAAGTCTTTATCAAACAAGATGTAATTTTCACAATGAATGACAGCAAATAAGGAAAAATAAAAGAACACTAAATGATCATGTTTTAAATCGAAAACTATTGGATGATCCGTCATTAATAAAAATTATGAAAATGATGTGATAAATTATAATATATAATATATTATTTATAATAATAATTTAATATTGCAATTTAATTTATATGTAATTCCATATTTTCTAACAGCTCTTTATATAAATAAGCTTATTGATTACAAAGATTCTATCAAGTTATTTATAAAATACATTTTCCATTAGAAATAAATAATCTTTTGATATATAAATTTTTTAAGACATAATATCGATTAAATAACTTTTTCTAATCATTTACTTATGGATGTCCTTTATTTTACATTAAAATAATAATTTCTGACTAAATTAATCTCATAAAAAATAGATAGAAGCTCGGTTAATACATCTCCTTAAAAATCTAAAAATAAAATTATAAACAATTTTACTTATTTAATTTTTAATGCATTTGATAAGTTTGAATAAGTCTATTAATATATTTTTTGGGCTTAAATGAAATGTGAAAATCGTTTTTCATTTTACTCTATTAAAATCTTAAATCTTATTCAGAATTGAATAATTTTTAGTATTAAAGATCCTATTTTAAATCAAATTCTCCTGATGAAGATTAAATCGGTAAATAGTATTATAAATTAAATTATTATTTATGTTGTGCTTGATATTGATTCTCACAACTTCAGCACTCAGAATTCCAAAAAATTTTCTGATTTCAAACTTAGAGAGAACAATTACTTTAACTAATAAATATATTGAGGTCAAATCAAAAGTATAAACTGAAATTATATTCAGATCACATTCCAAAATGATGGAGTAATTCCAATAGAAAAAATTTATTATACTATTCATAACGCCTTAAGTGATAGATTATATCATGTAGAAATTGAAAATAGCAAATCTTAATAAAGAATTGAAGATATTGATGTTAAATATAAATAAAATGCGACAGTTTATGAATTCATTCTTAAAAGAGCAATAGAGCCATCTAATTCTGAAGAGATTGAATTAAATGAGCAATATTTCAAGCGATTTAAAGCATTGCCTAAAGAAATTGGATTAGAGGTATTTTTTTTGAAAAAGAAAATAGGAGGAGTAATATGTATAATTTATGGATTCTGTTTATTTTTTTACTCCCTATGTTGTTAGATCATAAATTACTTATTACGAAACAGATAAGATTATGTAATTTTAAGATTAAATCGTAGTTCTTATTCTTTAAAAACAGCAACACAAAGAAATTAACTTTTAGAATTTGGACCTTATTTAGATATTAAACCATTTTCAACTTTAATCCACACAATACATTTAGAAAATAATTCTCCTATGGTTATTTTTACATCATCTCAAAAAAATATTGAAGTGTCTCATTGGGGCAATATTTAAATAGAAGAGCACTATTCAGTCGAAAATCAAGGTGCTAAATTGAAGGGAGAGTTTGGAAGAGTAAATTTTAATAAATATAATCCTACAGTTGGAAAACATTCTTTGAAATAATTAACTGCTTAATTGCCTTATGATTGTTGGGGAATATATTATCGGGATGAAATTGGTAATATTTCTACTTCAAATGCAATTAAAGGAGTATATTTTAATTATTTATAACTTTAGAAATTAAATGGTGAATAATAGGCACAAATTTAATTAAGACCAAGGTTTGCAATTTTTGGTGGTTGGAGAAGTAATTTTACTTTAGGCTACAATTTACCAACAAAAAAGTTTAAATTCTTATGTATTTAATAGATATTTAGAACAAAATGATGATAATTATAGATTAACATTAAATTTCTCTTTTTCTGTAAAGGAAATGGTTTCAGAGAAATATGATTTTTAAATCACTTTGCCAGAGGGTGCCTATGATATTGAAGTAGAATTACCAATTGAAGTGAAAAGAAATGATACTTTATTATTTTCTTATTTTGATACAATAGGAAGACCAACAGTTATTCTTGAAAGAGCAGTAACTAGTTAATATGATAATAAACAAATCATAGTAAATATTTTATTTATGATTTATAGATTAAATACAAGTTTTCAAGTCTCCAAATTCTTAGAGAACCATTAATGATATTTGGAACATTCTTACTAATATTTCTAACAATCATATATTTGAGAAGATTAAATTTACAAACATTAAAGCTAAAAGAATGATTGAAAATAATAACCCATTATCAATTTATTTAATTTATACCTATTATTCAATTTATTGTTATAAATAATAATTATTTTTTTAATAATTAATATCTTAAGAAATGGGTGTATAATTTATTGAATAATTAAAACATATTAATGTAACTTTGAGAATATAAAAACTAGATATTTTGCAAACAATTTGTTCCAATTTAATTACTTACTTGATTAATTTTTTTTTAAATACCTATTTAAAGTTTGATTACCAAATTTGTTTGCATGAAAAAATAATCACAACAATATAAATTCAATAAAATTGATAAAGTTCTAAAGTGACATGATATATAAATTAATGTATTAATGTTTAATGTATTATTTCTTATAATGTCACGAATCATTATTCTACGTTTAATTCAACATTAATTCCTGGGCCAATCTTGAAGTTGGTTATATCTTTGAATGTAGGCAGTGTGCATTAGAAATCAATTACTCTTTTATGAATCTAATCCTTATATAATTTTATTACTCTCATTTCAAATCTATCCCAAGTTTTTGAACCTTCACCACATGGACTCTTTCTGACAGTCATTTTAAGGTGTTTTGTTGGCATTCTAACTGGTCCTTTGAATACAACTTACTATCCTTAATCTCTCTTAATATTGAAAATTTATTCATTACTTATATTCCTCTAGCCTTTTCAATGACCTAAGTAGTGAAATTTTCTAAATCTTAAGCACTTCTGGATGTAACAATCATTCTAATTTTTTTCACTTATTATTCATCTTCTACTTTCTTGTCTTTCAAGTCAGCCATAATATTTTTTTTTAAAATATATTTTTAATAAAAGATTTAAAATGTTTTTCTTCTACGTGAGGCTTTTTATTTATAATTATAATTCACAAATAATATCAATTGGTTGTTTTTAACACTCAAACCAATCTTCTGCTTTCAATTAAAGCCTTTTTCAAATATACTATTATATTTTTTAACCAAATATATTTTACAAAATTATTATATTTATTTTCATTAAATCTCACAAAACATCCATTTACAATACAAACATAATAAAATATATGTAAAAAATTTATTTATTATTAGTTAGTTTCGATATACTTTATAAAGAAATTTAGAGTTTAAGGATATATTTAGTTTTCATCTTTTTTTTTATTTAAGCATCCTTATTAATATTAGTTAGAATAAATAATTAATATAAAATTTCAAATCAAAATTTTAGCTAAGTATATACAAATTTTTGAAAATTGATAAATGTATTAACAAGAATCATTCAATAAGTAATTAAAATATTAAGATGGAATAATCTTTAGAAACTTTAAATATTATTAGTGAATTTATTTCATAATCGAATATGATTTTGTATTTAAAATAAAAACAATTTACATAACATCAATTTAGCGAATTTATATCGTTATCAAAAAAAGAGCTTAAATAAAAAATAGATTCACGTATGTAATAATTAATTTATCTTATAGTTCTAATTACTTGAAGTGACAAAAAAATATTTTTAAGTCGAAAGAGCAAAAGAGATTATTTGAATTAAATAGTAGTATTTATTATAAATTTTAAGAAGAACCGAATTCAAATGATGTACCTTGTTTTTTTTATCGGAACTTCCAATATATATTTGATCGATAATATTCCCTCTCACTGATATTATTAAATGATTTAATCTGAAAATAATAAAACCATCATTATGACATAATCTATTTTGGATGATTCAGCTGACTTTTGGATTTAAAGACCTTAAGTATTGTTGCAATTTCAGTTTTCAGATAATCTCTAAGTTGTTAATCGAAATAGGTTAATGCTGAAAACATTGTTTCTTGGAGGACATTATATAAAATACAGTGAAGACGTAAAAAATAAACATATATATGAAAGAAATATCTTGATATAAGAAATGTGTTTCTTGAAATTGTTTACCATCCTAGAACATAATAAACAGGATTTAGATTAAGCAAGAATGGAGAAAAACTGGATGTGTATGGTGAAGTACACAGTTGGGTGGAGGTGCTTAAAAAATATGCTATACAATTCAATTTATAATAAAAATATAAAATAATAAAGAAAATAGGAGAAGGCAGCATATTTCAAGTAATACAATTGTTCAATTTCAAAGGTATTCAAAATAAAAAACAAAATTACAGGGTGTTTATACGCAGTCAGAATTTACGATAAAGTTAAACTTCATAGCTCTAATTATCTCCTTGATTTAATAAAAAAATAAGTAACAATGTTGAGATAAGTGGATCATAAAAATTTAATTAAATTATTTGAGATCTTTGAAAGTTCAAATCATCTTTACTTAATATAAGAACTATTGGAAGGAGGCACTTTAGATTCCAAAATTTCTCAAACTAACTTTAATTAAGAGTAAATTATTTTTATAGTTAAATAAACATTAAATGGTTTAGAAGAATTGCATAAAAAAGGGTTTATTCATGGAGATGTAACGTTAAAATCAATTGCTTTTAAGAATTTATAAGAGCTTGATTCTTTATGTCTTATTCATTATTCAAAAGTTTTGTTAATCAATTTAGCTAGAAATAATAATAAAAGACTTAGCTAGAGAACTTCCTTAAAAAAAGATAAAAATTAAATTTCTGATTTATAATAATTAGGAATTATTTTGATCAAATTATTAACTGGATATTAATTCCATTAATACAATATACCCAGCTCTATGGATGATATAAAAAGCATATTAAATTTTTAAAAGGTAGGTAAAGAATTAGAGCTATTACTTTAATAATTATTGCTTACAGATTTTGAAACTTAAATAAGTGAAACAAACACTCCACTTGAACTCTTAAAAAATAAAATTTTTAAAAAATCATTGGAACCAAAGAACTTTGTTTTAAAATATTAAGCTCTTAATGAATAATTAGAAAGACCAAGTTTAAAACCTTAGGATGAAGATTCATTAGAGATAAAGTCAAGAGTAAATACATTACCATTTATTGAAAAGAGACAAAGTAATTCAAGAAGTTTATCGAAAAGAAAACCGTAGGTAGCACCTATTAGACTGTCAAAATAGAATAAATTTGATAAAATTGTTAAACCTCCTTCGCAATCCTCTGAAAAAAGATAAAGTAATTTATATCAATTACCCAGAATGAGTATTCTACCTAAATTGAAATAAAAAATCCAATGATTGAATTTTTCTCGTATTTTGTTTATCATTAATGATCATTAAATGTGTTTTTAAAGAATGAAACAAAAAGATTTTTTTTTTCTTGTTCTCAAAAATAAAAAATAAACAATCATGTTTTTGATGTAGTGACACTATATAATAAATTTAAAGAGTGATATAAGGAATTTATTGACTATTTTCAAATTTTCATTCTTCTTACATTTTTATAAACATACTTTCTAGTTATCTAAAAAATAAGCAATGACATGATAAAAAATTAGGATTTAGTTGAATTTAGAATTTTTTCTGATTGATTAATCATCATAAGATTATCGAAATAATAAAATAAACTTTCAATTTATTTATTTTATAACAATAAATATATTATGATAAAGCAATAACTATTGTAAGTTGGTTCAGTTGATTCCTATTTCAATAATCATACTTCTTTATTCCAAAAATTCTGTCCTGATCCATTTGTAGCATAATATTCAAGCGAATTTTAAATCAGTAATCAAAACAGGTTAGTTATCAAACAATTGTCTATAAGCCAAAATTTTATTAAAATAGGAGAGGATGTAATGAAATTCAAACCATAATTTAGAGATATATAAATTTAACAAATGTTTGTATGTAAAAAATAGTTCATCCAAAAACAGGATTATTTGGTGTTAAACTTAGTAAAAATGGTGTTAGTTTTGAAATGTTTGGCTAACTTGATGAATGGATAAATATGATGAAGAAATACACAATATAATTAGATTTTGGTTAAAAATATTAGCTCTATAACAAATTAGGAGAAGGATATTCAACAATAGTATATCTTATTTAAATTAATTAATAGGTTTATAAAGCAAAGAATTAAGTAAGTAAATAAGAATTTGCAGTAAAAGTATTTGATAAAAAAAGATTATTGACAAATAATTATGAATCTAAAAAGTTTCTTAAAGAATTAAAAATAATTCGATAATTGGAACATTCAAATTTACTTTGTTTTTATGAAGTTTTTGAAAGCAATAATCACATTTATTTATTAGAAGAATATTTAAAAGGAGAAAAACTTTCGCAATTAACATAAAACTCATAACATCTTAAAGAAGAGTAAGTTTAAAGTGTTATGAAACCTTTGTTTTAAGCAGTCCAATATTTACATGATCTAAATATATATCATAAATAAATTTGCACTTCTAACATAATACTTAAGTAAAAACATGATTTATCTAACCCTTGTTTAATTGATTTTAATTAAGCTGAGTAATTTTCAAATTCTGACCATGATGATTACCAATATTTATAAGTTAATTAAGAAAAATAGAAATAATATCATATCAAATTTGATGTACTATCTTTAGGAATTATAATGCATAATTTGTTAACTGGAAATTATTGGTAATTTGAATAAGCTCTGAATGATGCAATGATGAATAAATTTTAAGGAGCATTAGATTTTTAATTTATTGATCCACCTTTATCAGACTAATGTTTTGATTTTTTAACAATTATATTTAATCAAGGTTAGAAGATTAGAACATGTAAATAATTATTACAACATCCATTTTTCGATTAAGAAAATTAAAAGTCTATTAAAAATATTTCTATTTAGTTTCTTGGAACACTTAATCAAAGTTAGACTATTTTTAGGATTAGTACAAAACAATCATAAATGTCTCCAAAGGTTTCAAGGGATGTAAAAGTGATTCCGATTAGAAAATAATTTAATATAATGTCAAAAAGTCCTTAAGAAAAACCTAATTTAAACAGTGATTATTTTGAACCTCCAAAGACTCATTTGATGTTTAGAAGAGGTAGTAGATAAAAGAGAACTTTAAATTTTGATAATCATAATGATAAAAGTAATGATTCTGCAGATTGATTTGTTAATCATAATTTTTATAATTATATTAGTTCATTACTGTAATTTATTCTGGTGAAATCTAGATATAAAAATTTGAAAATAAATAAAAATAAATGAATTCAGAGAATCTATTAGAAGGTTTAGAATAAAAAAATAATAATTCTTATATTTTAAATATATTTATAAATTAGATAGGGTTATAGATGCTTTCAAATAAATAAGCTCATAATTTAGAAAAATAATTGAGATTCTAAATCAAAAATAGAGAACATAATTTAAAAAAAAAACATATATATTTTAATTTTCTAAAATTATTACAACCAAACAGGATCTTTTTCAATTTAAAGTTGAATGTAGATAATCAAAATTAATAGAAAAAAAGATCCTAAAGACTGAATAAATTGATGGAAAATTGGTATAAAAGGAGAAATAATTCAAAAATTATTCATATATTAATTTAAATTATGAAATTCCTCTTGATCTCAATAACATTAATTTTGTTTTAAGTTAGAAGCGTAAGTGTTAATTTAACTGATGTCTGTCAATGCACAACACTTTAGGCTTAAAAAGATTGCCTTGAATGGACTAAATGTGAATGGGATAAGACAACTAATAAGTGCAAAGCAGCAGGTACAGCAACAGAAACAGGAACAACAACAAGATTTATCTCAAAGAGTTGCACAGATACAAAGGATTGTAGAAAGACTTAAGGTTGTGCGTTGGTTGAAGATAAGGATAAAAAATAAAAATGTGTAATCATGGGAGATTGCTAATCTTATTTAGGATCATCAAATGCTGAATGCCAAAAGTATTCTTTTAGATGCAACTGGGATCCTAAATAACAAACATGTACTTCAAATAATGTTTGCGATTAATACAGTGGAGAAGGTAAGAAAACAGATTGTGAGAGTGTAACTTAATAGAATGGTGAGAGTTGGTGTAAATTTAATACAGATGATAATAAATGTCGTAAAAAAGAATGTTCAGATTATACAAAAACAACAGATGCTGAATGTGCTGCTTCATTACAAGATGGCAATTGTAAAAGTGACAAAAAAAAATGTTTGACTGAATTAGTTAAATGTGAATCATATCCAGTAGAGGATTGTTTAAATGTTATTACTTCTGATGTGATTATTTCTAATAAGCAATGTGAACTTAATAAAGATAAAACAAAATGTTAAAAAGTGTCATGTCAAGGAGCAACGGATTCAACAAGTGATAAAGGCTGTGATACATACATGACCGGATGCATAACAAATAATAAGGAATGTTATAATAAACCTTTGCCTAAATGTTAAACCTATTCAACATCAGATTGTTCTTCTTTAAAAGGGCCTTTAGGAAATTGTATTTTGACATCAGGTGAAACTCCACTTTGTAGGGATCCAATTTGTGAAGATTACTAAGAGGCTTCTGATGAAGATTGTAGAAAAAAAGATCCAACTTGTCTATATACAAATGGAGTATATTGTGTAAACCAATTAGCTGATAAATGTGATAGTTACGAACCTTCACAAACTGGAGACTGCAATAATCTTTTCAGTAAGGAAGGGAAATGCAAATCTACAGATTAGACAAAATGTGCTTTGGATAAGTGCGAAGAGTAAAAATTGACCACAAATGAAGAATGTGCTAAATATTCAGCACTTGGATTACTTTAATCTAGATGTATAACAAATGGAGTGCATTGTGTGTTAAGTTTGGCAGATTCTTGTAGCAGTATAGTAACTAATGATAATGCTTGCGATTAATTTATCAGTAAAGAAGGAAAATGTAAATCGAAAGAAGGATCACCATCAATCTGTGAATTAGCTTCATGTAATGCTTAAATATTTACCGATGATGTAGAATGCTAAAAATATTCAAGTAATGGAATAGCACCAGAGGTCAAATGTAAAACAGATGGTAAGAAATGTGTTGATAATTTAAAAACTTGTAATTTATATTTATAAGAGGAAGGATGCTCTTCACTTAAAGGATCAGATGGGCAATGTACAGATGATAATGCTGCAGATTCTACAAAATGCATTGTCAAGACTTGTGATCAAATCACAGATCCTTCTGCAACATCTTGTCCTGCAGGAAATAATAGTTGTTTTTTTGATGGTGTAGGTTGTATTAAGGAATTGAAAACCTGTGAATCTTATACATCAAATTGTGATAAAATTATTTCTAAGACCAAAGAACCTTGTACTACTAATCCATCTGATCCTAATAAATGTGTTAAAAAAACTTGTTTAACTGCTCCTACAAGCACTTCATCAGATGAGTAATGTATGATATATCTTTTGGGCTGTGTTACTACAGGTTATGGATGCATTGATAAATTATCGACATGTGATACTTATAAAGGTGTTAAAAGTACTTGTGAAAAATATATTGGAACTGATGGAAAATGTACTGCTGAAGATTCAAACAAAGAAACAGACAAATGCAAGGCCAAAGATTGTGCTAATGCTACTTCACCTACTAATGATACATCATGCAATAGTTATTCAAATGTATGTTTTTATAATGCAAGAGTATAAAAATGTTCAAAAAGAGTTCTCGCTTGTGATACATTGAAATCGTAAACTGATTGTGAAGGTTACTTAACATTAGAGACTTCCTAATTCTGTATTTGGGAGAACTCAAAATGTGTCTAAGCTACTTGCAATACTATCAATAATGTTAAAAGTAAAGAGGGCTGCGCTGTCTATGGAGCCAATTGTGAATATGATGGCTTAAATGGATGTAAAGACAAAATTAATTATACTTGCTCAACACTAAGATCAGCTAGTTTATGTACACAAGACTCTTAATTAAACGCATGTCTTTGGGATACTACTAATAAAACATGTATCAAATACAATAAATGTTCTGATTTTGCATTAACTCCTGCTAAAGAAAATGAAGAGAAAACTAATGATTAGATTTCTGAGGAAACAAAGACTTGTAAATTATTATCTGATAAATGTTACTCTGCTGGAGGAACTACTTGTATTTCTAAAGTACCATGTACTGTAATCAAAGAAGAAAAAAGTTGTCTAGGTACGATAGGAATCGATGATAAAGTTTGTGGTTACGATGCTAAAGAATAAGCTTGTAAAACCTTTGGATCATGTACTGATATTGAATTAGTAACACATACTGAATGCTAATTATATAGCAATACATGTACTTCTGATGGTAAGACTTGTGTAGCCATAAAAAATTGTTCAGATGCTACTAACAAAGAGACATGTGATCTTGGAGGTTTAGATGGAAAATGTATTTGGTCAGACCCTACATGTCGTTTATGGACTTGTTCAGATGCTACAGGATCTACCCATGATGCTTGTAATAAATTATCAAGTTCATGCACTACAGATGGTACTAAATGTATGGATATTGGAGAGTGTAGTACATACTCAGATAAAAATTGTGTTTTAGGATTAAAAAATACTGTTTGCTTTTATGACAAAGAAAAAACAACATGTAGAAACAAAATCTGCTCTGATTATACTAATATAACTAATTAAAGCGATTGTGATAAAGTAGGTTGTGCTCATGATCCTGAAGCTAAAGCTTGTATTGTAAAAGATAAATGCTCACTTTATAAGTAAGAAAAAACATGCAATAATAATAAATCAAATGATAATAAGGAATGTGTTTGGGTTGAAGGTCCATAACCTGGTTGCAAAGAATTGGCTACTTGTTCAGATGCTCAAAAAAACAAAGCTAAATGTGAAATGTTGAATTGTTACTATTTACAAGCTAACTCTACTAGTAATCCTCCAACTGAGTCTTAGTGTAAAAATATGGATTGTTATGGTAAGAATCCATCAAGTACAGCTGCATCTGGTTGTCAACCATTCTAAAGTGAAAAGGATGGTAAAAAAAATTTAACTTTCTGTGGTTGGATAGAAAAAGATAATAAATGTGGAGAAGTAGATCCAAATGGAATTTACAAAGAAGATGTTTGCTTTAAGCTTTCAGAGTACACATATTACTGGAGTACATCTACCAGCAAATGTACTTCATGCAAAGGATCAATTACAACACCCCCTAATGGTAATAATACCACAAACCAAACGAATAATACGACAGGAAATGTTACTGATAGTAAGGGTTTTAGATTAGAAATAGCTATATTTATCATCATATCATTCTTGTTAATTTGAGAAGAATTAATAGATATATGCATAAAATTAAATATATTTTTAATATCTATTATCATTATTGATTAAGTTATTGAGCAGCTGAGGATAAGGTTGCTTAGATTGATTTCTTAGCAGCTTCATTAAATCTTCTTTCTTCAATTTATACTTAATATTATTGTTTAGAATTACTTTATTTTTATAATTTAGACCTTTAAACATTAGGTATTAAGAATTATTATACAAGATCCTTAATAATAGTTTCATCACTATTGTATTTCCTTTCAAAATGTTCAACAGGAGCATTCATTTTTGATTTTCTAAGATTGGTCATAATTGTAGCCTATCTTGTAGCAGCTATAAAATAATATAAATAGAGACCTTATTCTATAGTATTCTTAAATATCCAATGCAAATAAGTATCGACTGTTCCTTAATGAACTCTCATAATTTGATTATATTAAACATCTTCTCTATCTCTAAGTATCTATTCTGCCTATCTTGTTCCTGCCTCCTATATTTCTCTTAATCTTCTATCTTCTTCTGCAGATTTCATCATTTGTGATATTTTTCGTTCCTATTTGATTCTCAACAATTCTTTGCTCAACATATCTAAAGTTTCAGCAATCACTTCTCCTTATATGGCTTCTAATGCAGCATTCTTTACTTTTTCTTCATGTTGTTGCATTAAGATTTCTTCTTATTCAGCCTCTGGTAAATCTGGAATCTTTGCAACTGTTAATAGCTCCTCAATTAATGCGGTTCTCTAATTTAAATATTATTATCCTTTACTTTCTCCTTTCCTTCATACATTATATTCTGCATTGCTCTTCCTCTAAATAATCTCTAAAGTAAAACTACTGCTGAATTTCTCTTATCTTCTCCCTATTTTTTAATTGCTTCTTCTTTAAACTATTCATAATTCTCAAATTTAATTTCTTATTTCTTTAAATCTCCATTCTCAAACTCTTAATTATATGTAGGTGTAGGAGGCCTTATTATAATATTTTTATTTCCTATATGATCTGCTTAACTTTCGTTTGATTAATCTTAATTATTTGATCCATATATTTGATTCCTTGCTTTATTTACTTCTATTTTATGTTATATTTCTAATCTAGTGTAATCTTTCTCTATGGTTTTTATGAATTATCCTACATTTACTGTTGTTTCTAATATTGATGGTTTTATTGTGCTTGATAATTCTGTTAATCCTTTATAGGTATTTAAAGCAACAGGTTAAACTTCATATTTGCTAGCTATTTTATCGAGACTTAATCCTTCTCTTGTAATTCCAGCATATACCTTAGAAGCAAAGTTTGCATAATCTTCTATAATTTCTCTTCCCTTATCTTCGTTATCTATTTCCTTTCTACTCTTTTACATCTTTCTTAATATCTTTATTTTTCTCTTCTATATTTTAGCTACCATCCTATTCTTTAATTCAGTCTTCTTAATCTTTATGCTTTCTATTCTCTAAGCATTTTTCTCCTCTACATCTTTTTCCCTTTCTTTTAATGCTTCCTATAATAAATATAGTCTCTCATTTTATGTTCTAAAAACAACTTAAAATAGTTTAGTACATTTTGATATCTGTCTCTTTCTTCTTCCATTCTCTCTCCTCCTAAGACTTCATTAATACTCTTCTTAATTTAAATGATGCTTCATCTGATATAGGAGGCAATGCATTTTCAAACCACACTTTTTCTCTATTCCATTCTATAGACTCCAATTCCTCTATTGATGCAGGTAAACCCTTATCCCATTTTAAATGTTGCAAAGCCAATATCTCTATTGTTTAATCTTCATTTTAATCATGAGCAGGAGTATAAGGGTCAGTCTAAGCTTCTGTATCTCGGTAGTCTGTTTAAATCTCAACATCTTTAACCTATACTATTTAATTCTCAATCTACTCTCTCTATCGTCACTTTTGCAGGTGAAACTTATTCTTTTATCTATTAAACTGGAGGTTGACTTAATTTTATAGGAGTATCACTCATTGTTGGTACCAGAGGTCGCTTAAAATAAAGAGGACGAGTAGATCCACTTATGTAATTCTGCATGGATTGATTTCTATATTGATCATGAAGCACATATGCCTCTTACATTTTATTATATGTTAAATTTATTATTCAAAAAATTATAATTTAAAAAAAGGACCTACTTGGACTCGAACCAAGGTCTTGAGGGTTAGAGCCTCAGGTACTAACCACTATACGATAGATCCTATTCTGATTAAAATACTCCCTATCTACATATATTATTTTATTAAGATTATTACCAATTCCTCAAACTAACCTTTTATCTTAGGGTTTAACTTAATTAACTTAATTAATTCTAAAAATATCATTATTCAAAAATACGCTATTATCTATACAACTGATTGATTCAATTCAAAATTTTTAGTACTAATTCCTTTTAAATTCTTTATTTTGGTTGTGCACTCTTCTAATTTCAATACATTTTTATAAGGATTTAATAATAATATATATTTTTATTTATCTCAGTATTCTTAGTATATTTTTAATTTAATGCTATTTACTTTTAATTAATTCGAATTTCTTTGTGGTTATGATATTTTTATGTTTAATAATATAAAAATTGTAAGTTACCATAGCATAATATTTTTATCGATAAGAAATAGAAATATTTCATGCAATCACATTGAGAATTTAAAATATAAAATAGATGAGGCTATCTAGAAATGCTCTTTTCATTATTATAATTTATTAATAATAGCATTATTTGTTATTAATTATTAAAATAAATAATATGTATAAAATCAAAATCCATCAAATCTTTAAAGCAATAAATTATATACAAATCCTCATATTAATTAAATTAAATGGGTTGCTGTATAAAATCTAATAAATTCAATAAGATTTCAGTCATCAAAACGTCTGGTGGTGTGAATATTTTTACATCAACAACAGATATTCATCAAATTTATACTTTTGGAAAAATAATGGGAAATGGTGTCTTTGGAAAAGTAATGATGGCGAAGATGAAATCAAACGATGAGAAACTATTCGCAATTAAAGTTATAGATAAAATCAAGATTAAAGGAAAAGAAACTTAGTTATCCAATGAAATTTACTTTCTTTAAAAACTTGATCATCCAAACATAGTAAAATTTTATGAAGTTTATCAAAATAATTTGAATTACTACATTTGTATGGAATATTGTGGAGGAGGGGAACTAGTGAAAAGATTTCCACAAAATTAAAATTCATTAACAGAAGGATAATGCCAAAAAATTGCTTTTAAAGTACTAATCTCTAAAACTATGAATGTAGATACTTTCAGCAATGGCTTATATGCATGAATAAGGCATTATACATAGAGATATTAAACCAGAGAACATTTTATATAGTTCAAAAGATTTGAATTCAGAACCAAAAATTATTGATTTTGGAATGGCAATTAAACTAGATGAAGAACAATCAAAGTAAATATTAAATATAAATAGTACAGAATACGAATGAATTGTGTTGGAACTCCATTATATGTAGCACCTGAAGTAATAGATGGATAATATAGTGATAAATGTGATATTTGGAGTTTTGGGATAATGCTCTTCTATTTGTTATGTGGATATCCACCATTTTATGCTGGTAATTAAAAGGATTTATTCAATAATATTTAAAATTAAGAAGTAATTATTTATTAATAAACTAGTTAATTTTCGATAGAAGACATTGGAATTTGATGTCAAAAGAAGTTAAGACTCTCCTCAAACGAATATTATGTAAAAATCCACTTGTCAGACCTACTGCAAAAGAACTCTTGAAGGATCAATGGTTTAATATTTCTTTGGAAGGGGCTGAAAATAAAAAGAATTTAAGACGATCTAAAACAAAAGCTACTATCTCAATGCAAATAGCTCCAAATGATTATTTTGAAGATTGCAGATCTATTTATCAAATTTTAAAGAAATATAAAAATGGAGCAAAATTTAAGAAAGAAGTAATGAAAGTCCTCATAAACTTAATGAATGAAAGGGATTTGGAACTTGTAAAGAGACTTTTTCAGAAAATTGATGAAGATAATTCTGGAACCATAACGTATTGTGAATTATAGAAAGCATTTTTGAAGGAGGTATAAAATGAATTAAAGTCAAATAGGGATCTATAGTATCATAAGAAGAAATAAAATCATTGATGATGGCTATAGGATTTGAAAACGAAAATGAAACCGAAGATTGTTCTTCTATTAAATCTTATTAGTCTTTAGTAATCAAATATAGTGATTTTTTATTGGCTTGTATCGATGAAAAAAAAGTACTTACGAAAGATAAAGTATTCATTTTTTAAATAATAATAAGTTGTTCTCTTTATTCAAATACTTTGATACTTAAAATATGAATTTTATCACAAAAGAAAATATTTAAGAGGTTTTTGCACGACATGGTAAATCCTTGACTGATACTAAAATTAATGAAATGATATTTGAAATTGACCCAAATCACGATTATAAAATTACATTTGATGAGTTTTGCTAAATGATGTCTACTGATATTGTTACATAATTTATTGAAATAAAAGAAGGTATGAATGAAAAATAGACATGTACATCATCTAATATTCAAAAAGAAACAAAACTAATTTAATTTGAGTGAATAATTTATGTTTACTATCTCTTGTTTTTAAAATTGTTATTAATAATATTTGTTTAGCACAGAATTCATTATTAAGTCTATAATATTTATAATTTAATGGGAAATTATTGTCATTCAGAAGAGTCTCCAAGATCTGAATAATAAATTTTAAGAAGGTCACAAAAAGGGAAGGAAGTTTTTCAAAAATTAATCTCAACAAATAGATAATTTTTATCATAGTGTTAAGACTCATTTTTTAAATTATTTCATGAAGTATAGAAATAGGTCTTAAATAGTAAATAGTTGAAAAAGACTTACAATCACTTTCTAAATATATAAACTAAAAAATGCTAAATTTCTCTATCAAAGGTTCCTATCCAAATGATGAAGAAAAATATATAATATCAAAGAAGATATCTGAAGATATTGGATTAAAAAAAAAGCATCTTTACAATTAACTAATCTTTCATTATAATTAATTTCTTATGGAACTCTTTGAGTTGGATTAAAAATAGCCAATAACAGCTATCTCAACCTATAATGAAGGAAATTTCAGAGTAAATACTCTATTAATTAGAAATACTTTCCTTCCACGTAGTTTATCTGACAATTCTAGATTTTAAGAGGTAATAGTATCGAATTAAAATAATTCTCATAACTCTACGATCGAATAACAAATATTTAGATAATTTTAACAAAATAAATAATTGGCGAATATTTTCTTAGATTAGTTAAGTTGCATTTTTAAACTGTGTTACTTAATACTTGAATATGTTTATTAACAATATATTATTTAAATATTTGGAAATTCGATTGATTCATTTACTGATCGTTATTCATTAATATCAAAAATTTACTAAGATAATATCATATAAGTAAATCCCTAAATTTAATAATTGATAACTTCGGCACTTCAAATAAAGTATGAAAATAAATCATCTCTAATTTAATCTGAAAATATGTCTCAAGCTATTTTACAACCTTAATTAATTCCAAAAAATACTGATTTTATTTTGAATGATTAATATGAGATAGGAATGATAAGTTCTATTGAAAAATACTTAAAGTGTTAACATTCAGAATAGAAAATAGATTATAGTTAAGAAAATAAAAATTATTATTACTCTTAGACCTTTTAAACAATTGATAAGATAGTTTGTTGTAAAATGCCTTGGTTAAAGTTAAAACTAATTGGAAAGCTGGATCAATAAATTGAAGATATTTTTTTATCAACTCGATCTTAAAGCCAAATAACTCATTTTATCAATATTATTAAACCTGAAGATTCAAAAGTGGAAGTCTTACTTTATATTCTCTAAAAGTATATGTCTGCAAGAAAAAATATAAATTTATCTTAATGTTATTATGAATTAAGATGGATGCAAGAAGATGATAATGTTTTACATATAAAAGTAAAAACTATTATATGTCCATATTTCAGTAGATTTTTATCCTTATATGAAATGGCTTATAAAAATTACCAAAGAAAATAAGCTCAACTTTTATATAATTGATTTTAAATTAAATAATAATCAATATAATATCAACTTTTAGTATAGAATTATCAGTCCTATATTAATATTGGTGTCAAAAATATTTAATAAAATATTTATTAATTATGTTTTGGAAATGATATAACACATGTTTATAAGAATTTGAAATCTAATCTGCAATAAACTGAATTGTAAATGTAGACTTCACTAAAATTATAAGACTTTTAATTTATTTATTTTATTATTATAATCCGTTTTCATAAGTAATGAAAACTCTTCTTCTATTCATTATATTCCTAGGAATAAGAGCAGTAAGAAGGAAAGATGATGAACAATTTTAAGCAAATTAAGAAATTTTGCATAATGATCCCAGTTTTGATGATTTAGAAGAGATTGCAGAAAATCCGTTAGGAGCTAAGGTTTTATAAACAGTTGCTTTGTAAATAAAAAGTGGAGAAGGCATTGATAGTATAGTATCTTTATTGACAAATTTAAAGAGTGATTTAGAAGTAGATTATGCATTTATAAAAGGGAAAATAAATTCAATAAGATGGGTCTAATGCAGCTATTTAATCATAATGTAAATCAGATATGGACAGTTATAGTTAAAGAATATAATTAGCAGTGAATGAAATTAATGATGTTGAATTTAAGGTTGGAAGATTAGAATCAGACATTGAAGATTATACTGGGGAATTAGAGCTGAAATAATCTTAAATTGATGTAATGATTGAACAATTTTATAGACTTTTTAAGGAGCCGAAAATTCTTTAAGAGATTTACGATTGAAATAATCAGCTAATTATAATAAAAGATTAGGTTAGTTGAAAGAAATGATAAATGCGTTTTAGGTGATGCTTCCTAAAATGCATGAACTTTACGATAAAGTTTAATAGAGAGATTCAGAAGTTTGAATTATATATTTGATCTTAGTCTTTTATTTAAGAAGAAGCCTTTGCAAATTCTTTTGTTCAATTAGCAAATAGTGGACCTTCAAATCCAATTTTAGCTTTAGTTTAGGTTACTTCAATGATGGATTCAAGGTCTATTTAAACTATAATTGAAAAAATGGAAGTTGTTAGAGACTCTTTAATAACATCAGTAGATGAAGAAACTGCTTTAGAAGAATAAGCCATAAGAGTAATTATTAAATTCTAAATTATTAGGATAATGATGTCACTCTTAATGAAATATTTAATGCTATGTAAGCTTTGACTAGAGAAAAAGCAGCAGATGATGAATCTTTGTAGGATACCATTAGGACTAGAGATTAATAATAAAAAAGAGGAAGTGATGCTTAAGCCGAATTTGTTGCCTCAAAAACTGGAATGAAATAAAGAAGAGGATAATGTTAAGAATTATTAGTCTAATATTAATAAAATACAATTTAAAGAAGCAGAGAAATAGAAATCATTAAAAAAGTGTAAATTATTATACAGACTAAGTTGAATGTTGTGAAATCTTTTATCCAAGAACAATAGATTTCTTGAACTAATTATTTTTAATCTATATAAATAATTTATGTTTATAATAAAAGCTAATTAACAATTTTATTGACTCTAGTCTTTCTCAATCAACAATTATTTGCTTTGTCTTTATTATTCATTTTCATTTAATTTTCTATATTTTAATAAGACCTTATGTATGCTGTTTAGATTCTATAATCTAAGATAAGTATTTATTTCATACATATAATAACAATATTTTTGTGATAATATAGACTTACTATTTACTTAACTCTATTTTTATTTAATTAAATAATCAATTATTAAGTATAACTTAAAAAGAATTTTAAACTAAAAGGAATGGTTTTAAATAAAAAACAGCAAAATAAACACTACCTTCAGAATGAAAGTTTACAACTTAAAGAAATATGAAATTTATAATACTAGGGCCATATTAATTTTTTTTATGGTAATTGAACTCCAATAGGAATAAAGGAAAACTTGGAAAATTTTTCATAAATATTTCTTATTCTAAATAGTAACAACTTTATAGAACAAATAATAAAGAAGCTTAAATGATTAAAAAAATTTTATTATAATTATTTCAATTTATTCATTTTTCTTATATTCATTCTAATTGCTCATCTTTATCTTATATTTTTTGTTTTCCTTTCATAAGAATTAATTTTTCTTTTTGTTTAGCTGTATGATTTTACTTTTAGAACATTTATGCTAATGGACTTTTTATTGTATTACTATTTCTTTTTTTCTGTAGTGAAGGTGAAAGTGCAATTTTATAACTCTACTCCAAACTCATTCTTTTTTAAGTGTTTGGTTTTAATTTATTTTAGCTTTTTTGTTTTGCTTAAGTTTCGTTAACATTGTTTAGTTCACTTTAAATTCCCAAAGAAATTTAAGAAGAGTTTTGTTCAATTTAAGTAATTTGATGATAGTCTTCTTTTTCACATTTTTATTCTTGTATATTAAGGAATCTTGGATTTAAAATATAATTCTTAGTTAATGATGGGCAAAATAACTGATCCTATTCTTCATGTTCAATATTTTCTTATTCATGTTTTAGAGATTAAGTCTATGGTCTAGACGTATAAGACTCTTAAGTTTTGAACTTCCGAATTTATCCACAAATTACACCCATTAAATTAAAGATTCAATTATATAATTTTGTGGATTGAGTAAAATTCCTTTTAATGACTATTAATGAACTATTTATTAATTAAAATTCAAGATAATATTATTTAAATATAAAATATATTTGAAAGAGAAATCTATATGATAATATCTCATTTAACTCTTCCATATAATATAGAATTAGAAGGAAGTAAGTGAGTTGCTCTTCTATAAATTTCTGGCAGATGAACTCTTTCAAATGGTTATGGATTTGGTAATGTTTTAAGTCTAAAACTTAATGGACTTTGAAGTTGAGGAATACTATTAGTTGGTAAGACTGTTAGTGATTTTTTAAAAGATGCTTTGACTTAATAAGGTTTATTTTTGCTTTACAATGTAAATTTAATTTATTATTTTAATGCCCTTATTAATTTTTCTCTCTAAAACCATTTATGATTTAAGGCTTAATGAGAAGAAAGTCTTTCTTATGGATCTAATTTGAGAAGACCTTTAAGTAAATCCAAAGCTAAGTTACTCACCTTAAGATCTTAAAAATCAATAAAACCTATTAAATTTTATATCACTTTTTCTTAATAATTTCCATCAAATGGCTCTCTTCCAGTAAATAAAATATATAAGAGAATACCAACACTATAAACATCCACTTATAGATCATAATTCTAATCTGCTAAGATTTCAGGGGCAACATATCCAACAGTTCCACATCGTTTAAATTAATAATTTCCATCTTCATCATGAAATTCAGCTAATTTAAAATCAGTTAAACATAAACTATCAAAATTATCTATTTATCTGAAGATGAAATTTTCGAGTTTAATGTCTCTATGCATTATTTTTTTTGAATGGAGATAAGCAATTATTTTAATTACTCTAAATATCACTTTTGCAGCTTTATCTTCTGAAAAAAAAGGATTTTTTATTACATAATCTTGTAAATTATGTGATGGCAAATTTTCGACAATCACAAAAATTTGATCTTGACTTTCGAATAGATCAAAAAATTTCATTGTTAGATCAGTTTGTAATTAACGAATCACTGAGATTTCTCTAAAGAATTATTATCTATCCTCATCATCATAAATAGATGATTTTTAGTATATTTTAATAATATAATCTAAACTATCTAATTTATTTTTCCCTTTAAATTATTCTCCAAATTTAATTTTGTTAAGTTTTTTAATAGGAGTATAATAACGATAGAAATCATATTAAACGGCAAACCTTTTCATAAATTTATACCAATTATTAGCATTTCCATAAAATTCAACTTTATCAAAACATTTTGTCAAGCGAACTCCCATTCCCAATTCAGGATCTGATATTAATTCTATAATGGCATTTTCGTAATTGATCCAAACAAATTTTTCCTAAATATTTATTGATTTATTTTACATTTTTATTCTTATAATATAAATACTGATCTAAAAGTTTTTAAGTTCTTCTCTTAACTTATTATTTTTTGCTTAAATAAACAACATCATCTTCTAGATGAAAAATAGTAGTAAGAAATGGTAGATGAGATTTACTCCACTTCATTTCTTCAAAGGAAATCTGAAAAAAAGAACGACAATGTTTATAATTACAGCTATGTAATACAATTAGGATTACCTTGGATTTAAATCTTCACACATATCTTGAAATTAATTTGAACTTATTATTTATTATTAATATTCAATTTGTATCAGATAAATTTGATAAATCACTTAATTCACAGAACATTTAATTAATATATTCATAATTTTAATCATAATTATTTTAAAGGAATTTAAAATCTTTGAACCTGTCTTAATTTATTAGCAACTTGCGCTCTAGGAGTACTGATAGGTTTAAGACTAACAAGAGAATTTTGTGTATAAGGACTATCTTCAATATTACATTTTGTAACACAATAAGGACTATGATTTGATTGTGAACTTTTTGGACTGAATTAAGTTGAAATAGCAGAATATTATTTAATATTCATGTCAAAATAGGCTAATTTCTTAGATACATTTTGATTTTATTTTCTGATTTTGAATTAACATGTTTTTGTTAGATTGTCAGTAGTAAACCATGGATGATTTAAAGCTTCTTCAGCTGTTAATCTTTTTATTGGATTTTTATTCATAAGTCCCTAAAGTAAATCCATACCAATTACACTTAATTTACATTCATCGAATTTCACTTTAGCATAGTAATTTCTCATTACTACATCGTCATAATCATTACCATCAAATGGTGATTTACCTGCAATTAATATGAACATTAAGATTCCTATACTGTAAATATCTATTTTGAAATCATATACTTTATCCTATAGTAATTCTGGAGCCACATATCCAGGAGTCCCACATCTTGTAAATAAATATTAACCACTTTAAGAGTAATAGTCAGCTAATCCAAAATCACCTATACAAATGTTATCAATATCATCTTTATTTCTTAACATAATATTTTCTGGTTTTATATCTCTGTGTAAAATTCCTTTCTCGTGAATTGAAGAAACTGCTTTCAATAATCTAAATATTAATTTAGCGCTTTTTTCTTCAGAAAAAGGAGGTGATTTTTTCATATATTTATGTAATTCACCTCCTTTCAAATATTCTATAACTAAAAACAAAAATTCATCTCCTTCAAAAACTTCATATAAACGAATAATAGATTCATGTTAAATTTTTTTCATTATTGATATTTCTTTAATTATAGCTAATCTATCTATACTCTCATTTAACTTTGCCTTTCTGAAGCACTTTATTGCATATTCAGATCCATCTTATTTGTTTACAGCTTTAAAAACCTAAATATATTTAAATGATATAATCATACATCTGCGAAATTCCCTTATCCAATCTTCTTTTGTAATGTGTAATGATGAGTAAAATTTTTTTGAATACAATATTACTTAAGATAATTATACCATGGTTCTACATCTCCAAAAAACTCAAAATATTATTTGTTTTTTGTAATTTTAATTCCTAGTCCTACCTTTTAGTGTTTTGTATATTCAATAGTAGTATTATCTAAATTGACCCATTTCTTTATGGTCTTTTAGTTATTAAGTCAAACTTACTTATTTTTTGAAATAAAGTAAATAGTGATTAAAGATTCCTAGAGTTCCTTTATATAACCCTGAATTTCGATCTATATACATTGTGTCATGCATTTCTAAAGCTAACTCATTTTTTGGAAAATCTGTAACATTCCAAAAAACAGTTTCATTAGGGTCATCAAAAAATGAATCTTTTATAATCACGTCCATTTCAGCTGTTTATAATATAAATTTTTGATTTAAGTAACTCATTTAAATATGTTAATTTCAAAGATAGAATAAAAATATTGTATCAACTGTGAAATTTTGTTAATCATAATTAGATTGTTTATTCTGAAATGAATATATATGGAACTCAAAAAATATAAAAATATATATCCATTTTATTAAGTTTAGAAAGTTTATGAAATCTCAATACATAAATTAATTGTCATTTGTTATTGATAACCTTGAATTGAATTGTTGACATTTTATAATTTTTTTATTTATATATTTACATGTAATAAGCACATAATTCAATATACTAATTGAAAATTGTAAACACTGAAACTAGATCAGACATTGTTTACTATCAAATCTAAGTATAATATGGAAGTATATTCTTAGGTTTTAAATACATAAACAAAAGTGTCATGGAGTTTTGAAGAAAGATATAAAAATATGAATAATTTACATGCTCAATTGTCTTCAGAGTTAAAATAACAACTTCCTTATTTTCCATCTAAAAAGTTTTTTGGAAATACAGATCCTGAATTTATTTCAACAAGAAAGGCTGGATTATAGAACTATTTTAAAACTTTGCTTCAAATAGTAGATGTTGAATAATGTCCAACTTTAAAGAAATTTTTGACTAAAGGAGAACAAAAACATATAAAGGATCAACCATAGTCATTTAAGGAAGACACTATAAAATAAAATGATGTATAAGGGAATGCGTCAAATATAGAAAAAATCTAACAGCAAAAATAACTAGAAAATGAAAGAATAAAGAAGGAATTAAAGGACAAATTGGCAGCTGCAACTTAATAAATAAAATCTAAATTTGTTGATTTAGGTAGTTTAGTTAATGCTCCAGAAGAACATGATATAAAGAAAAAGAGAGCATTTTATGATTAAATTCGTATAGAACCAAAAGTAATCAATAATTTTAATAGAGTAGAATGTATAAGTCAATATAGATATACCAAAAGCAAATCCTTAAGCAAAAATGATTATTGCACAATCAACAATTGAGCAGACATAACCAAAATTAATTTAGTTGATTTAATAATTACAAGCAGGAGTAGAAAATATAATTGGAATTTGAGTATTTAAATAAGAACAAGATATTTACTAAAAATTATATTAAATTATTGAAACTGTCTTAATAATGTTGACCATTTTAGAAAAATTTGACATTTTTGGAGTTCCTATAAAATTGAAAACAATAAAACAATAAGAATAGTTTAAGACTTCTTAGAGTGGAGTGATAGCGATTATTATTATGATACTAAGTTTAGCATATTTCATATATGTGATATAATTATGGATAAATGGAAAATTAATTCCAAAAGTTACAAGTTCCCAAAGAATGATAGAATACACTACTTATGAATGGGAAAAAAGTGAGATTTCTTTCACTCTTTACGATTTAAGCTCAGATATAAATCCGTTCACATTAGAAAACAACATTATCATGCCAGTATTGGTTGAGATATCTGGATTATTTGTGGCTGCTAAACCTAGAATATTATATAGCACACTATAAGTAGATGGTGATAAGAATGTTGTTACAATAGATAAAGGGAAATTAGTTTTAAGTTAAGTAGATGGAACAAAAGAAGAAGATTAGGAAGACATAAAGTAATATTTTATATTTTTTACAAAATGTCGTCCTGATTGGATAGATGAAGGAGGATATTGTGCTGATCAATAAACTATTGATGAATACTTCAGCATAAATCATGGATTACTATTTTTATCCATTAATCTATAATAATATAATTATGAAACTTTAGAATTTGATGAAATTAAAAAAACTTAATTCTTCGCTTTTGAAGAGAGCAGCCCTTTTTATTCTTAAGTAATTTTATAAAAATAATAAACAACTATTGATAATGGAGTATTGTTAAGTAACCTAGAGTCATTTGAGGTAATAAAAGATTATGAAGTAAATACATAATCAGTGTCAATCAAATTTGCATAGAATACAATTAAGACAAAAGAAAATACTAAATTTGAATTTGATTCGCTATGTACATTTGTTTTTAGAATTGACAATATAGAAACAAATGAAACTATACTTATGCCCAAATTGGGAGAAGTGTTGGCACAAATAGGTTCTATAGTAAATATGATAATGTTATTGAAAATACTATCTAATATGATTAACACAACCATGTTAGAGAGTTCAATATTACATTAAATAATTGAAATTTATTATCCATAATTTAAGCAAGTTGAAATTAAAAAAAACTTTTTTGGATAGGTAAAATAAGTTCATTATAAAGGAGTAGAAATAAAATTAAGTATGTTTTAATATAAATACAATTAATTAATTGAATTAGCAAGAACAAAATTCACTTTTAATAATTTAATTTAAGAGTTATCTCGAGTTTAATTAGTATTAATAAATTAGATAGGAATGGAGAATATTAAAAATATATTTAAGATAGAAGAGGATTTAAAATTCTTTGATCATGATACCCCAAATTCTAATTGTTAGATTTAAAATTTAGCTTCCATATCACCGGAAGAGTCTCCTTAGAAATCTGATTTTGAAAGATTTGGATTGTTTAATTCAGAGATTTGATAGTGACTATTATATAAATACATAAATATTAAAAATCGTACGTCATAAATAAAAGTGTAAATGTTAACATTTGATAAATATCCATTCTTAGCCTAACTTGGTTTAAAAGCCGAAAACTTTGGAGCATCACTTGGAGGAACATGGGTAGGAGATGGTGAATGGACAACTAGTTATAATCCAAACACTGGAGAAGCCATAGCAAAAGTAAAGTTAGGAACACTTTAATAATATGAATAAGGAATGTAAGAGCTTTTGAAAGTTAAAAATATGTGGGCTGAGGTATATGATAATAAATTTAGATTAGTTACCAATCCCAAGAAGAGGTGATATAGTAAGATAAATAGGAGATGAGTTTAGAAGATAAAAGGAAGCCTTAGGAATGTTGGTCTCATTAGAGATGGGTAAAATAAAATCAGAGGGATTGGGAGAAGTTTAAGAGATTATAGATATTTGTGATATGGCTTGTGGATTATCAAGATCATTATATGGTTTAGTAATTCCATCAGAGAGACCATCACATTTTATGATGGAATAATGGAATCCTTTAGGAGTAATAGGCATTATTACAGCATTTAACTTCCCAGTAGCTGTTTTAGGTTGGAATTTAGCACTTGGATTAATTTGTGGTGATGTGTGTGTTTGGAAAGGAGCACCCTCAACAAATTTATCATCCATTGCTTGTACTAATATAATTCATGAAGTCTTTAAAAGAAATGGGGTATAATATTAAATTATTTCTATTAGTTACCAACAAGTATTGTATTCACTATTTGTGGAGATGGTGTGTAAATTGGAGAAGCAATAACAAGTGATAAAAGAATTCCATTAGTCTCTTTTACAGGTTCTACTCAAGTTGGTAAAATCATTGCTGCAAAAGTTGCTAGTAGATTAGCCAGAAGTTTATTAGAATTAGGAGGAAATAATGCAGAGATTGTTCATGAAGATGCTAATGTTGATTTAGCATTAAAAGCTGCTGTTTTTGCAGCTGTTGGAACATGTGGATAAAGATGTACATCATTAAGAAGATTATTATTACACAAATCAATTGCAGATCCATTCATTCAAAAAATGATCAAAGTTTATGCTACCATTAAAATTGGAAATGCTTTAAATGAAGGTAACATTTTTTTGTATATTCTAGATACTTTATGTGGTCCATTACATACTAAAGCATAAGTTGAACAATATAAAAAAGTTATACCTGAGATTTAAGCATAAGGAGGCAAATTACTTTATGGAGGTAATGTTATTGAAGGCCCAGGAAACTTTGTTTAACCAACCATTTTTGAAGTTAAAGCTGATCACCCTATCTTATAACATGAACTCTTTATGCCAATCTTATTTATTGTTAGATATGATACATTAGAACAAGCTATTGAAATTAATAATAATGTACCATAAGGTTTGAGTAGTTCATTGTTCACTTCAAATTTAAGCAATTCTTATAAATGGACAGGTCCTTTAGGGTCAGATTGTGGTATTGTAAATGTTAATATTGGAACATCTGGAGCTGAAATTGGTGGTGCTTTTGGAGGTGAAAAAGAAACTGGTGGAGGTAGAGAATCAGGAAGTGATTCATGGAAAACTTATATGAGAAGATCAACATGCACTATTAATTTTGGTAAGACTTTGCCTCTTGCTTAAGGTGTTAAATTTGATATTTGAAAAACATTATTATTGTACAAATTAAAATTATATTTTATTATTTTCTTTATATTTTTCTACTTAATTATCTATGCATTTATAATTTATAAGAAGAAAGTACTTAAATTATTTTAAGTATCTTAATTTAATAAATAGTTAAATTATAATAATCTCTCAAAATAAGAGTTTTAGGAATAAGAAAAAAGATATGATATAAAATAAAAGCAAATGAAAAAGAAATTGATAGCAAATTTTATTATTTAGATTAGAAGAGTAATGGATGTTACAAATTCAAAAAATTTAAAGAAAATCTATTTTATTTATAATATACTTAAAAATGCAATAAATATCAACTAAGGAATTCAAATATTTAATGGTTTATATGTTCTATGCTATGAAGTTATGATATCGAGTTCATAAAAAGGACATCTAAAAGGTATGGAGTAATATATTATTAGATTTATTAATCAAAAAGATTAGTAAATTCTAGAGATAGTTGGTTAGTTTAATAAAGAAGAATGTATTTAGGAATTAAAAAGAAATATTTAATAGATTTTGATAGGTAAAGTATAAATAATAATTATGAGATTAATCAAGCGAATCTTAAAGTTTAGTTGGAAATACTCTTAATCATCAATAATGGTATAATAAGTTGGAATAATTTAGGTATTATAGATTACAGGACAAAAGATATTTAGGTTCTCAATTAATTGGGAAGTAAAGGATGTTAAATGAGATATTCACATAAGTTCTTAAAAACATAAACTAACTCTTAAAAAAGAGATTCTCCAAGAGTTGAATTAGAAGATGGATTATAGTGATATACTAAAAGGTTATGAATATATTTATTAACAGATGAGTAATAATATTAATATTTTCATTAAATAATGAGTGAAGAGATTATAGAAAAAAGACCTGAGACATCGAAGTGTTCTCGATTAGAAAAAAGAAGAATGATAAGTTAAAATTCTTAAAGAAATCGTACTGCAATTTAAAGCAGAACTGCTTAAAATTTTAATCCAAATAGTTATAATGGGATGACATTAGAAGAATATTTTAGAAATAAAGTTTAAGATAATGGAAATACTGAAGTTGAAAAAAAAAAAAAAGTAGTGAAGTTTAGTATGATAGTTTTTGGTAACGAGCAATGAATTCTTTAAGGAATTCTAAAATTAAGATTTAATGAGAAGAACATATATGGGAGATAGTAAATATATGAATATGAAGCACGACATGAAAAAGAAAATATAAGATTACGATAAGGATTTGTTTTAAAAATATGCAAATAAATTTGATTTAGGAAATGCGTTTGGAAAGTGAATTTATTATATATATTCACAATTTTTAAATAAAATAAATAAAAGATTTCAATATTTATGGGTAAGTAATACGCAAGAGAGCCAGCTGTTGCAAAGAAATCATGTAAGGCTAAAGCAAGTGATTTAAGAACACATTTTAAAAACACTTATGAAGTAGCAAGAGCTATTAAAGGATAAACACTAGCATAAGCATTAAAATACTTATAAGATGTATTATAACACAAAAGATGTGTTCCTTTTACTCGTTTCAATGGTGGAGTTGGAAGAACTGGATAAGCAAAAGAATTTGGCAGATCATAAGGTAAAATTTTTATATATTATAATTAAATAGGAAGATGGCCAGAAAAGAGTGTAAGAATTGTTTTATCATTATTGCAAAATTTGGCTGCAAATGCTTAAGTTAAGAATCTTAGTAATGAAAAATTGATCATTAATCATGTTTAAGTTAATAGAGCATAAAAAGGAAGACGTAGAACCTATAGAGCACATGGAAGAATTAATCGTAAAAAATTAAAATATTGCAGCATTTTTGTCTTCCAATGCACATATTGAATTGTGGGCTGCAGAAAAAGATGAAAATGTTAAAAAGGAAACAAATAATCAATAAGTGGCTCGTTAATCAAGAAAATAAGTTGCTAGATCTAAATTAGCTATTGGGGCATGAATTTATAATTATACATATTAAATATTAATTTTATGAATAACCAAGCTCGTTTTCGATAGAGTTCCAATGCTTAAAGTTTTAATTATTTACCTGCCTGGAAATAAAATGACTTAGAAGAAAGGAAAAAATATCAAATTATCCTTTTACCTGTCAATCAGCCAAGAGAGGATTATATCATTAGTTCAATTTACTAAATGTTTAATACTAAAGACATAGAAGTTAATAAACTCATCTATTATTACTTTTATAAGCTCAAAGAAAGTGGACCACATTAATTTTTAACAAATAAATTATACTAAATATAAGAAGAGGATTTAGAATTCTTCATTCCTTAATTAGTGTATTTTATGTATTTTATTTTAAGGTACATACTGATAAAGACCGATTCTCCATATTTAGAAAAGTTTATAACAACATTGTGTAACAAAAGCATTGCCTTATATTAATTAATAAAATGGTGCTGGGTTTCATATTCTGACAAGGATAGAACAGATAAAAATAAAATTAAGAGATTATAAAGAATAGATGATGTAAAAATTACAATAACCATGAATAGTAATTTGAATAATCAATGTTAACATTACACAATGATCATAATAGTACAGTGAAAATTCCAAATTAAAAATTAAAATCATATTAGAGTGTTGTAGATCTATATTTGAATAATTTGATTTAAATGTCATTAATTTTGAAAACCTATAAACCAGAAGAGAGAAAACCGAAATTAAAAAATTTCATTACAAGAGCAAATGTAGCATTAGAAAAATATCGTTTAAAAAATTAAGAACATTATTTTTGTTAAGGAATCACAGTACCTTTTACAATGAGCAAAGATTAAAATAGTGCTGTGCATTCAAATTTGATAGTTAGAATAATTGAAGGAGAATGTTCATGTTTTAATACAAAAAAAAGAGTACCATACAGAATAGTAGTTGAAACAATTGAGTAATTGAATTAATTAATTATAGTCCTCATGAATTAAAGTTCAAGTAACCAAAAAAAACTGCAAATAATTCAATTACAAATAATAGATCGATTGCAAATTTAGATGATGATACAATGGAAGATTTTTTATAAGCTGATTTAAATTAACCTAATAAATAGGAAATTGAAAAAAAGATGGAGGAATTAGCTAAAAATAGAAATAAAAAAGAGTATTCTGATCTTATGAAAATAACATAAAATAAGGAACCAAAAAAAGGAATGAAAATGTTCAAAAATATAATGAGTGCTGTATATTTATCTAAGAAAGAAAAAACTGTAGAAAGAGAGGAGGATTAAGAATAAATTTTGAAGGAACAAATAATGCAAAATCTTTAATTGTATAAATAATTTTCGAATGCAATAGAGGAAGAAAAATTTTAGAAAAATAGATAAAGGTAAAAAATATATAATTATAAAAAAGGTTTAATATTTTATTTCCTGAAAAAACTAATGAGAGAACTTAATCGTGCATTCCAAAATTAAATAGTAAATATAGATAATAAGGTTAAAGAAAGGATTAGAATTATTGGTTGAGATAATACAAAGAGAATAAAAGAAATGGATTTAGATATAAGCATAAATCAATAAAATAATTAACTGCGTTTGGAAGAGTTAGATTTTTTAAAGAGTTAATATTATGTATTTAGTGATGAAATAATTAAGTTTGCCCTAGATAGGAGGAAGTTTTAAGAAAGATATATGTGTATCTTTAATATGATTTGATAGAGAAGAAGTTAGAGAAAAATAAAATGGATATTCATTAAGATATAGAATTATTGAGTAAATTTGGTCCCTGGGATGAGTTATGGGAAGATAAGGCAGAAATGTTGAAAAGAGAAAGTCCTTATTAACATTTTGAAACATATCGTTTGAAACCTATAATAGTAAAAGGAGGAGATGATTTAAGATAAGAATTAATGACAATGCAAATAATAAATAAAATGTATTAGGCATTTTAGAGTCATGGTTTAGATATGTATGTGAAAGCATATGAAATTATAGTTGTAAGTGCAAGTTCAGGTATATTGGAATTTTGTGCAGATACAATTTCAATAGATGGATTAAAAAAGAAATATCCTGCTTGCAAATCTCTTGTTCATATTTATAAAGAAATATTTTAATAAGATTATGAAGAAGCTTAAATGAGATTTATTTAAAGTCTAGCTTCTTATTCAATTATTAGTTATCTATTATAAATTAAAGATAGACATAATGGAAATATTCTGATTGATAGTAAAGGGAGAATAATACATATTGATTTTGGATTCATATTGTGTACTTCACCTGGAAATTTGAATTTTGAAAAGGCTCCTTTCAAATTGACTTAAGAATATATTGATTTAATGAATGGAAGAAATTCTGATCTATTCTTTTATTTTAAGAATTTAATGTTCAGAGGATTTAAAGCACTTCAAGGATTTGTTGATGAAATAATTATGATTATTGAAATTATGATGTAGGATAGTGATTTGCCATGCTTTGAAAAATTCGACGTAAAAGAATTTAAAGATCGTTTTAAAGAGGAAGCAAATGATGAAGAATTATAAAAATATGTTGATAAATTAATTGATTACAGTGACAATAATTGGAGAACAATTTAGTATGATAATTTCCAGAGGATGACTAATGGTATAATGCCTTGAATATTAAAATATGCGATATTTATAAAATCTTTAAAAATTTCATTAATGATATTTGTACTACTTTTATTGATATCTTAAACAAATGCTCTTTATTCAAAGAAACTATACAGAACTAGAGGCTTTAATGCTGTAGAAATTGATCTAGGAAATTATGATGAATTGAGTAAAGGGTCAATTACAATCAATATAATACTAGAAAACAATTCATTTTCAACTGTTCCATTTCTAGCTTATTGCAACACAAAAAACTAATAAATAATAAAATCGATAGTTAGCTCTCCTGAATCAATTAAATAATAATTAGAATCAAACAAGTAATCATCAATATAATAATTAGAAAAATATGTGTTTTTGATAACAATGCTATGATATATTCATAACGCATTTAATAGATTGTGTTATCAGATCAAGTAAATGAAGATAACGAATAGGCTTATAATAAATTTAGTATCTATAAGTTATCCGAAAAACAAATTTCAATTTACATCTACTCATCGGATGATGCTTAATATAATATTATATTAAAAAGTTCTTAGAATGGAGAATGTTATAAGTTATAATATAAAATAATGTAGTTAATGTAACAATAATGGATTGTGTATTAGTAATTAAATACTTTTCTGTTAATGCAATGAAGGCTATTTAGACAGCACTTGTTAATTGTAAAGTACTGTAATATTTGCTCCAAGCTTAGTTTAAGTATAATAAGATTGTAATTATAGTTTGAAATGAAATAATAAACTTTTAAAAATATTCTAACTATCCCTTTGAAAGAGAAATCAACATCATTATAAATTGAAGTAAATTCAAGTGCAAGAATAATTACATATCTTGGATGTCAACGTGATAAAGATTATATACCATTCTATTAGAGCAATTCATTTTATTAAAATGAAATTTCATCTGGAATTTTAAAATTTTCTAAGGATGATATTTAATATTGTTAAGAAAACACAAATAAAATTGAATCAATGTTAGGATTTAATTTGGATAATTATATAATATTATTATTAGTAAATGATTAAAATTATAATACCTAAGTAGAATTAAAACTCTTCATTGAGAGCAGTTAAGAAGATACTTCTGGATTAGAAATATATTATATTTTGGCAGGTGCTTTAGGTGCTCTTATTATTGCATTGCTTATAATTATATGTGTTATATATTTTCAAAGAAAAGCAAGAAGAATAAATACTGGACCATAAAATGGCTAAAATTCGGGATTGGATTCATCTAAAAGAAAATATAATCTAAATTTTAAATAGGATTATATTCCAGTAGAATTATATGAATAAATTATTCAAGAATATCCTGGATTAGTTGAAATTTCAGATTGTTAAATTTGTCTTGTTGAATTTTAGAAATAAGATTTAGTTAAATTAACATATTGTCTACATTTGTTTCATTCAACGTGCATCGATGAATGGAGAAGAAGAAATTAAGTAAATAAGTTATAAATTAATATAGACATGTCCATTTTGTAGAGATGATTTAACAAAGAAAAAACGTATACAGTAAAGACAAGAAGAATAAATTTATTAGTTGGGAGTAATTTCAGGGGATGCAATGTAAATAGATGAAAACAAACTTGCTGAAATTTAAAAACGTGAATAAAGATTGAAATAATTATAATGTAATGTTTATTATTCATATTTTTAGAAACATCTTCACCTGATTCTGCAAATGCAGCATAAATGAAGGAAAACACGCCATCACCATTTTTCAAAGGAGATTTAGTGAATTAGTAGCTCTGCTTATAATAAGAAAAATGAATATTATTGATTTAATTAAATGTTTCTATATTTATTGTTTACTTTTTGTTCTGCTGATTCAATTTTTATTAAGGAATATCGATAGGTTAACAGGTAGATTATTATTGAAGCATAAGCAATAATCAAATAACAGATATCATTTGACGAAAAACTAGTGATATCAATAACAAATTATCCTTAATAAAATGCACCATTATTGTTGATTTGTAGAGCAAACACTACTTTTACTTAATTACCTAACCTAGACACTATTTAAAGGTATAAAAGCAATATTTAATAGATAAAATTGTATTGCAGACTTAAATTCATATGATTTCAAGAGAGAAAAATAACAAATTGTCATAGATTATCAAGAAAAATACAAAACTTACATGAATATCATTTTTTAAGAGAAAAATAGATAACCATTTATAGTAGTTTACTCAGAATAGAAAATAGACTTTAAAATAAATATTGGAATCTAAAAAAAGTCATCCTGTTTATGGTATTAATGATGTTAAATATTAATTAGGGAATGTAAATAAAGTAGCACTTGTATTTAAGGTTAATGTATTTGTTAAGAAGGCTACTTTGGAGATGACTGTAGTATTAATATTTTACAATTCTTATCGAATGATAATTATAAATAAGAAGTTATTTATTATATAAACGCTGCTGAATTAGAAGTAAATTATTTCCATAGATTATAGGTTATATATATGAATTTTACAGACAAACATAATTATTTATTAGATTGTTAAGCATTTAATCCATATATATATAGAGGGAAGTTTTTCTTTGATAGTTTCATGGAACTTTCTCGTTAATAATAAATTGATTGTTTTCAAGAAACATAAAAAATAAATAAAGAATTTTCTATAAAATTGCAACCTTTATTTTATTTTATACCAACGAATAAAACTATATACAGAGGCTCTTAAGATGAGGAACCTGAAAAAACCACTATCATTTATATAATTACATCGATTGTGATTCCTATAACATTAATTTTGATTTATTGTTACTGTAAGTGTCGTAAATCATAAAGAAGAATGAATAATCTTAATTCAGAATAAATTCCAACCTGTTAAAAAGTATAATAAGAAAAATTAATTAACAAATATTTACCAATTTAATTATATGATTAAGTAATTAAGAAGTTTCCTGGACTTTTAGATGATAAAGTTTGTTAAATTTGTTTAGAGGAATATAAAAATGATGATTAAGTTAGAGTAACTTATTGTACTCATTTTTTTCATGTAGAATGTGTTGATTTATGGATAGAGAAGAATGAAGTAACATTATAAAATATATATTATAAGACTTGTCCAACCTGTAGATCTTCTTTTAACTATGAAACTATGACTAAAATTATTAATACAGAATTATTAGATGGTTAATACCAATCAAGTAATTCTACTAAATAGATAATCTCTGAACAATCACAAAAAAATATCAGACTATATGGTTAGAAAAAATCATCCTGTTCCCCAATAATTCATTAACATATAATTTTATGATCTTAAATATTATTTATGTTGCTTTCAATTTGATTAATTATTTGATGATTTCAATTATTTTTACTTTGATACAAACTATTCTTGAGGATATTGTCTATTCAAACTCTTTCAATTTAACAATAGGAATTTAAAGTTTCCCATTAAATTTATATTGTATTAAACTTATTTAAGAAAATGAACTCAAAGTTATGTTTACTTAATAATCAAACTATATTTCTTTATTAGCAATTTGTTAGATAAACTTTAATGAAAAAGAAAAATCTTAGACTCTTTTTGAACATGATAATTATCATGATTATAATTGTCTTATATACTATAATGCTTACATATTAGGAAATTAAATTAAGTAAATAATACTTTCTCATAAGAAAGTGCAAAATTTAGTTTCTTTATATCATATTTAATTTTCAATAGAAAATAATTCATGTATTGGTATAATATATTCTAAATTTAATTCAAATTTGATATTAACAATTGATATATTCGGATTTGATTATTGTATTGAGTAATTTTATAAACTATTTAAGTAACTGTAAAAATTAAGGAATTTGTATTAAAGGCTTCTGCTAATGTTTATAGGATTATTTAGGTTTTGATAGTGATGTACTTTCATCAGACATACAATACAACACTTATTTTCATGGATTACAATTATTTATAATTGTAGACTAACGATTATAAATTAATTCTTAATTCAGAATTACAATATACCATAATTTGCAATGCAAATTCTTCTCATTTATTAATTGCTTCGAATCACAATAATACCATATACATTAATGAAGAATCAACTTTCAAATGTAAAGAAACTACTGAAAGGCTTAGAGTTAATTAATAGATATGAAAGAATAATATTATTCAATTATTTTGGTTGTATCTATTTTAGCATCAATTCTTGGTTTAATCCTTTTATTCATAATAATAACCAATACATGGAAAAATATATTATTAAGAATAAGCAATAATTGGAATTTAAATGATAGCTATATAATTTATTTCACTTGTAGATAGAATATCTTAAACCAAAGCTGAAACTATATGTTCAATATGTTTTGAGACATTTAAATCTCAAAGTATTGTAAGAATGAAATATTAAGATCGTATTTTCCATTCTAGAAGTTTAGAAAGATTGATGAAAAATAACAAAGTATTCTAATCAAATAATCTAAGGTTTGCCAATTATGTAGATCTGCATTGGATACTTACTATTTAAACAAAGAATAAAAATTCAACCTCTAACTTTTAAAGGAAAAAGTATAAGTGCAACCATTCTTGAAAAAATTAAATCTCCTCTCAAAGCATGAATGTTCTTTACATTATATTGATGAAAGTCTATCATAAAATTCACCTGTTATAAAATAATAACTAATTACTTCACCTAACCAATTTATATTAAAATTTTTTAAATATATCAATTTTTAATCTCATTTCTAGCATAATTCTTAATGCTGACAATCTAGAAGTATAATTACATGAAACAATGATATTCCTTTTATTTAAAAAAAAATCTTATCTAAATATCTCATTTATGATTAAAGCAATTTTTTCATCATATATTGGTAAGGACTTTAGTGAAATAATTGAAAAGACATTTATTTTAAAATAAAATTAATAAGAATCCACATAGATTTTAAAGTTTCCTTCTTGATTTTCAAGTTAAAAATTTTATAATTAT